GCCCCACTCCTCCTACAAACAAATTAATGTGAAACACATTAAGTACAATTGTCATTTTATATTAACCATAAAGATGAAAATGCAAACCTCAACACAAAACTAATAAATATAGACCTGCAGAATCCTACTGCCACAACCAACAACTCACGGGTGAATCAACCAATCTGCTCACTCCCATCACCTGACAGAACAGGAAGCTGAATCTCCAAGTGATCCTCTTCTTTCTAAAATGAAAAAGAGAGAAAAATAATTTGTAGGTTAGAATAAAGTAATTTTAAATATTGAATTAAACAAAACATGTAATCAATGGAACTTACTTTGCACAATTTCTTCACTCCATTCAAAGTGCGACACTAGTCACATCCACATAACAACATCTCCACCATAACTGGTGACAAAGAAACTTGGTAGCTATCAATAACCCTGCTCCCAGCATTGAATGCAGACTCTGAAGCAACTGTAGTGATCGGGATGGCTAGTATCTCACGAGCCATTGTAGACAATATAGGATACTTGGTTGAATTTGCCTTCCACCACTATAAGGCATCGAATGAGTCATGATCCCCTACACACTTATGGCACCCCTCTCCCAAATAACAGTCCAACTCAGACTTACTAGGCTCAACAGTTTCAACCACGTCCAGAAAACTGCTAAAATCATCCCAAGCCTCGGGTCCCTCACCAATGGCTCCATGTCCATCCCTTTGTGATGTAAAAGCATGGGCGATAATCACACCTTGATTAGCTTGAACATATTCCCCATTTAACTCATACAATGCATCTTGGACAATCATCATATTTGCCTGTGCTTCTGTTTCAGAATACATCTTAGGGAATGCCCACTAAATAACCCTCATTTTCAACCGAGAATCCAATACAGTAGCCACAGACATCAACACATTACATTCCCCCCAATATTTATCAAACTTCTCTTTCATTCTCCTAACCATTACTCTAATAAAATCATCTTTAGATTCACTTTTACTATCCAACATACATTTCACTACACACACCTCCTTCAAGAATAAATTAGACGTCGGATAATCACTTCCTGAAATGAGTTTGGTTGAACCACTTAATACTTTTAAAATTTCTTAGACTTTCTCCATTTTCTCCCAATCCTTTTCACTCGGATTATTATGATAATTGATATCCCTCTCTTTCAATCTTGGAAAAACCTTTTTGAACTTAATTGTCTTTTCCAATATTTCATAGGTAGAATTCCACCTCGTTTTACAATGGAGAATAAGTTTTCGATACGGTAATTTAAGTTGTTGAACAATCTCAGAAAATACCTTAAGCCTACTTTTCTGAACTATTGATATACAACACACTCTCATGGATGTTGTCAATGGTGTGCCTAATTTGATAAAGTCTCACTTAAACAATCAAGTTCAAGATGTGTGCACAATATATCACATGAAACAGTTTACCTTCACAAAGGAGTTTCCTCACAACTTCAAAATTTTCCTTCAAAACCTTAATTGCAATATCATTACTTGAAGCATTATCCATAGAAATAGTATTACCTTATTTTCAATTTCCCATCCCATTAGGCAGTTGAAAATGCCGTCCGCAATCGCAATACCAGTTTGGGGAGGAGGTAGATGAACAAAGTTGAGGATATGTCTATTCAGCCTCCAAGTACTATCTATCGAATGCCCGGTCAACACCATATACTCCATCTTTTGATTCCATGAATTCCATAAGTCTGTAGTCAAACTGATTTTTGTCACACTCTTCAACAAAGTCTTCAATTTGGCCTTCTCACTTTCATATACCTTCATACAATCTTTTTTACAAGTATGGTGGGAAACCGGCGTCCATCCAGGAATCTCATACTTCATCATATTGTTCAAGCCCTCTTCCTCTACAACTGTAAATTGATACTCATGTATGAGCACCCAATGGGCGATCAATTTCCTTATTTTCAATATGTCAAACTTCCCACTTAAAGCTGGCAAAATAGTAGTTGCAATATCATTACCGGCACTCAGAAAAGTAATATGTTGTTGCCTCATTTAAGCTTTTCTCCTTAAACACCGGCTTAAATGTCTATTAAACTGGGTGGTGCTTCTGGTGGCATTAATACACAACTTTACTTTGCAATGGATACACTCTGCATGCCTTTTTGGTACCATTAGAGAGTACCACCTCCTTGAACTCCGTCCATACCACTGATGTCTTTGCTCTTTTTTTCTTTTGAATTGGATTTTCATTTTCATCACCATTATCCAGGCTACTAATACTTTACTCCGTATTTATTGTGGTTGCATTCAAGTTAAGGTTACCGCTAGGTGTATCGGTAATTGTATTTTGTATTGTTAGGGTACTTGAGGAATTACCCTCCATTTACAAACCTATAAATGGAAAAAAAAAAAATTCAACAATTTAATGCAAAACCAATATGAAATAATGTAAAACTATTACATTGCATACACATCAAACCAATACATTATACATTGCACACCAATATTAATTGTCACCAATACATCTCAACATTCATTTATTCTTTAATTAGAGATGTTGGTTGAAGAATTAAATGCTCTATTTATTCATTCAAACCCATTTATTCTTTAAATGACTTTGTAGAATTATATGTCTTATGTCTATTTCTTCTACTACATAAATCATAATGTCTTTAATACAATTTAGAATTATATGTCTTATGCCTATTTATTCTACCAAATTAAAGATTCCTTCAAAACGTACAAAGCCCCTAGTCCCCACCACCAAACGCAATTTAGTCTTCACTGCTCTTTACCCTTTTGCAATTTAATATATAACAAAGCCCCTTTACCCTTTTACAATTTACTCTTCATTGCCCTTTACCTTTTTGCAATTTACTTTTCACTTTTTTTTACCCTTTTGCAATTTAATATATAACAAAGCCCTTAGTCCCCACCACCAAACGCACAACCACAACCACAAACAAATGTATAAATTGCCCTTCTGCTATTTTCTGTAAAACACATCCCCACAAGTACAAGTCCACAACCACAACCACAATCCATAAACAAATTAACAAACTACTTTGCAACTTCAATTTTCATGTAAACAAATGTCTCATAAGTCCACAACACAACCATAAACAAATTCAGTAAAGCAATTTAAACAAACAATGAAACAAACTACCCTACAGGCTACAGCAGACTGCTCTTCAGTCTTCACAGACAGCTCCTCATAGACGGTTCTTGTATGGGTTTCATAGGAATCACAGCAACACCACGACCACAACAAGACCCTGATACATTGTTTCACCGGAAAAAGCCCCTTGCTACAGACAAACAATTCACAAAAATGATTCAATCATGACAAATAGCTTAAAAAATCAAAAGGGAAGCATGCAACCTGCAAACATTCGAACAAATCATATATAAAACAACTGGAAAATTATATTGTGCTTTAGTTGATAAACAACACATAATCTAGGTAACCTACCAATACTTGATTCAAAACTCAGCAACACAACACATAATATTACTTGTGGAATACTTGATTACTTGTTACCTACCAATACTTGATTACTTGTGGAATTGATGGTCGACGGCGTCGTAGATCTATTTCATAGCGAACAGAGAAAATGACAGGAATCGCAGCCAAGCATCGACGAGACTTCAATGGGTCTGATGGCGACAGCTCTGCGACGCAAATCCGATGAAGAAAACACTGTTGACGGCGAAGAGTTGACGACAACTGGGAGGTGTGCTGGTGCTGCCGACAAACCGTGCTGGGGATTGATGAAATTTACAGCAAATGAGAAAGTGTCATGGTTTTAAGGATTAAAAAATCAGGGGCAATTTTGTCATTTTTTAAAACTTTTGTTGTTAAATTTTCTATTTAATCCCTTGTACTTCAGAAAACCCCAAAAAACCCCTCGTTTTTTCGAGCCAGGCTCAGCTCGCGAGCCTAACGAGCCGAGCATGGCTCGAACTCGGCTCATTCTATCTCACAAACGAAGTCAAGTTGGCTCGTTATCTGACAAGTCGAGCCGTTAACGAGCCGGACTCGAGCTGAGTCGAGCCGACTCGGCTCGTTAAACACCCTTACTTATAAGTACTTTAGCCAACCACTTTGCTTGTTTGTCCTGACAACATTTTTGGGCTTATAAGCCAAAAATAATAATAAGTTAAGGGGAATCAACTTTTTTTTTTTTTGGCTTATAAACACTCTATTTATAAACTACTTTGATAAGGTATATTACCATATTATCTCTATTTAGTTTTAAAATTCATTCATATAAAATAATATAGTATCTTTTTTAGTCATTTTAATAATAAAATATACTTATAAACTACATTTGATCAAACATGTTAACTATTTATCAATCACTTATAAGTATTTTAATCAAATACGAAATTATTTAAATTATTTTATAAATTAATTTTTATAAGCTCGACCAAATAAGCTTATATACCAAGTGATGTGGCTGTTTATTTGTCTAAGGATTTCTTAAATTTAGGAAATTGAGATAAGTAAATAGCTTCTTTGTACACGTAAATTACCACGTCATTTGGGATATAAAATGATTCATTATTAAAGAGGAGTAACCTTTACTTCCAGTTGCCGGTAATCTCTCTGTCACATCGGGAATTCACCACGCCAAAGGTGTGTCCGATCACATGTATCTCATCCAACGTTCAACACTCTACACGCGTCCAATCAACGGATCCTCCTCTTTTTAACAAGATCTAACCTTTTCAACACACGTGGCAATCTCCTATTAGTGAGCACACAAAAACAAAACCGTCACGGGGTAGGGAATAAAAGGGAGNATAATTAATTAAAAATAGGTCTCTCTGATACAAAATTAACCTAAAAACAAAAATACATTATGATATTCTAACCCATTGACAAATAACAGCTCTTTTGCAAGAAATGTACTGCGGACTGAATTATAATGCCCATAAAGCACAACACTGCATTGAAAGTCTGATGAAATTATAGTGATTCTTAATTTACTGATACATCATTAGGATATAAAATACAATATTTCTCTCTTAAATAACTCAAACTGGAATCAATAGCCGAGGAACATACTGCAAATCCAAAGTCCAAACAAGTCTTATTCAAGCCTTCGAAAATTTCATGACTAGGAAAGGGAATCAAAACCCGACTAAGGACAAGCTGTTTTCATGGTGTTAAGAAGATGCTAATTTTTTTTTTCTCCAACTCTATCTAGCTTGGGCAATTTTGTACAGAAGATCGGGAAGTTGTATTTGGGAACTCTTCCTTTTGGCAATAACTAGCTTGACTGTGGAGTGAACCCAAATGATATTGCTAAATTAATTTTACAAAAAGCTAGAACATTACCAAACAGAGTAATACACCACCAACGAGAGCAGCCAGATAGGCTGATGAAACTAGAAGCGCCGAATGTCTTTTGGCGGCTTATAGTTGAGAGGATGGGTTTCTGGTGTAGCAGTTTCATCTTCTTTCCACATTTTGATTGTCTTGTCAGCTTCACATGTAACAAGCCTAGAACCAGTTACATCATAGGAGAGAGCATAGATACCAGCTTCACTCTCCAATGAGCCTGGAACAAGATAAAACTCAGTATTTAACCTTATCAGGCTGAGAACTATAATAATCAATAGACTAATAAATAACCACACATACCAGGCTGTACAATTGTTTGGTCTTGCTGGAAATTGTGACCACTCTTCCAATCCCAAAACCACAAACTCCCATTGTCACCTTCAATTACACAAGTGCAAAATAATCAGAAATATATACATAAATATATTCTGTTCCAAGAGAATCTGCCAAATTCATCACAAAAAAAAAAAAAAAAAAAATTTCCCCCAGCCATAATGTCAGGCACCACCATTGAAGCATATCCAAAAAGTAAGAAATACATACCTCCTGTAGCCAACACACCATCCTCATTGACAGCCATTGCATTAATTATAGTTTTCTGCTGTGAGCTGCTCAAAACAACAGAGTTCCTATTCAAATAAACAAGACAGGGCAAACAAAAAAATATTTCCAAAATAAAATGAAGGTCTTTAAAATAATAATCATGCGTCATCATAGCTCTCAAAGTGACTTGAGATCATAAATTCAAACCACTGTTCTCAACTAAACTCAAGTGGAAAACAATTTTGCTTCATAGTTTTGTGAGTGAAACAATGTCATAATGAGCATGCATCATCACAAACCTTCAATTCACGTAACTTCAGACAAAAGTCATCTACGACAAATTCACAAAAGAAAAAATAAGGAAAAAAAATGGATGAACTATTATAACAGGAAAGCACCTCAAATAATACAACTTAAATTATAGACAGAAAGTATAGTATGTATGACAACTTACAGCATGTTATGTAAAAACTCTCCCTTTGGAAGGTTAAATTTCTTTATATTTTCCGCTGAGGCAGATGCAAAACAATTTCTGCAATAAGATAGAGAAAATATATTAAAGAAAATGACATAATGTTTAAAAAGTACAATATAATCATGATCTATTATTTCATAAGCAGTAATAAATAACATGTCTGACAACATACTCTGTAGGATGCAATGCCATCGCTCGCACAGATTTTTTATGGTGTGTGAGAGTCACCATTGTTTTTCCTACAAGACAGGAGTACTTGATGTGTTAATTTTCTCCAGAGAATAAAAAATGACAAGAACTAGTTGCAAGAAATAACAATAACAACAATAAAAAAGAGTATAAAATACCATATCTAAGGTCCCAGAACTTAATGGTTGAGTCATGGGAGCCAGTAACAACTTGTGGATCCTGGAAACAAACAGAAGACAGTTCAGTTTAACCAATAGAATTTTCTAGTTAGTCATATCATTTGCATGAACAATCAACATTTTCGTCTTTTAATGTGCATATCTCAGATTATGCAGAAGAATATCATCAAATGATGCTTTTGGAGATTCAGAAAACACCAACATTAATTCATTCTCTTCTAGAAACAAACACTATCACTCTTGATCCAAAGCCTTTTCCCTCCATTTACTTTGCATTCAAGTAACAATCCTTGACCTTTTTTTTTTTGGATAGGAAATGTAGAAATGTATATTAATGAATAAAACTTAGTCTACGACAAAAATAACCCATCTAAAAAGGGGCTAAAGCTTTACAAAGAGTATCATGAGCCTGTGCGAAAAGAAAACCAAAATAAGAGACACTATGGCATGTACAAAAAACCAGACTTATCTTAATATGCCTAACAAATTAAGATGGATAAAGAAAAAAAGAGGTGTCCACAAAATCTATTGAAACAGAAGCCCAAAGAGATGCCAAAAACTTGATCTTGCCCCAAAGAGCTTCACTTTCTTAACACTTGGCTCACAATTAAATGGATACAACAGATAAATTCGAAAAGACAACCTCCCAGTCAACTCCAGTTATATTATCCGCAGTCCAACCTTAGAGCTCAAAATTGCTTGTAAGTTTTCGATCAAAGAGAACAATAGGGGAAGAAAGGGTGACTGGGGCATTTCGTAAGACTGAATACATTTAAGAGCAAAGGGCATTAAATGCAGGCATAGTCTGAATTTGAAACTTCAAAATCACTAATTCATGCAAGTTCCTTGAAATCCGTCTTAAGACACATAAAAGGAATGAAGAATCTAGACTAAGAAACATAAGAAAAGCAGCAACGAAAAACAAAAAAAACAAAAATCAACCCCTAAACTATTTTAAGACAACAGCCATTGAGTATGAAGTGCATTTTCTTTTGCTAGAAATGCATGTTACATGCAACAATCAACATATCCCACCCAAAACACATACCGTTGGTCGAGTGAAAACTGAGCAGACTGTATTTTCATGCCCAGATAGAGCAAAAATTTGCATCTTTGTGCGAATATCCCAGACCTGACAATTATTATAACATCAAAAAAAATTAAGATCACTTCTCATCTCCTGAACTCAGCAAAAAATTTAGCCTCCCTCTGATAAACAACCACAAATATCGCATCCATGATAACTTTGGCGAATAATTTCTAAACAATGGTAAATTTCATACCCGACAGACAGAATCACGTCCTCCAGTAAACAATATGTCAATGGTTGGATGAAGACCCAAGCAGTAGACACCACTTAGATGGCCATGATAAGACCGTATAACCTAAACCGACAATTATAAGTATCAAGATCAAAGCCTTCCACAGTATATAGCTCAGAAAAGTTAATTTAAGAAAAATTTTGAACTTCTGACCTTATTTTGTTCAAGGTCCCAACATTTAACTTGTTTGTCATCACCAGCAGAGAACATATAGGTATGTTTGTTGCTAACAGCAAGGCCTGAAAAGTAAATCACATGTGCTCACCAGTTAATCCCTGACTCACACTAGAATATTAACAGCATGTCAGCAAATAAAAATTCATGAGAAAGTAGTAAAAAATAACCTCGAACTTGCTCAATATGTCCAGTTAGTGTGAGCTTCAATGTTCCTTTTGCGACGTCCCATATCTAGTCAACAAAAATTAAGATTTCATAAGGGGAAAAAATGAAACCATTTGAAGCTGCCTATGGATGCTGGTTATTCAAATGATGATCAGATTATATGGTATTCTGCTAACTTAATGCCCTCCTTTGGAGTTACAGACCTCAGACCAGCAATTAATCAGAGTTCTTCATGACAACAAATAAAACAATTCTTTAATTCGACTCCTTTATCCAAATTAGATAAGCCTGACTACCCTATAAATTTAATCTCTGATTTCATCCACGAATAGATAAGAAGCATCATGGTTATCAGATTATAGGGCATAGCATAATGGTGAACAACAAACCATCTGTCAACAACACTGAGATAAGTTATACAGAGCAGTGAAGCAAGCCTGTATACTTATAACATGACATAATCAAGAAAACTTCAAGAAAACCAACAGGAAATACCTTAATTGTGCGATCTGCAGAGCCAGTGCAAAACCAATCATTACTAGGATTGAATGCAATGGATCTTACCCATCCCAAATGGCCACTAATGACCTGTAAAACAAACGTAATTCAAATATTTTCAAGTATCATTTCATGTCAGCAAGTGATTGATGTACAGAACAGACAGATAAACCATAGAAAGATCGCAACTTGAACAAACATGTATGGAGAGGTTAATCAGAAAAGAAAATAAGTCATTCCTACCCAGTCAATCAGTCAACAGCGAAACAATCCCATGTATCCTATGTTAAATTTTAGTCAAGTTTGATTCCCTATGACATATATTTAATTCCTTCTCTTTTGACAAAATTTTCATGTCAAAGCTCACCAGCTCTGACCTGCAAATTGATGGTCAATATCCGCAAATGGTTGCATTCTAAGTTTCAAAACAGAATGGAATTAAATAGTAGATAAGAGAGCATGTACAAGCATGAATAGTGCAAGTCTCAACTAGTTAAATTTAGGATAGGTAATAGAATAATAAATGGAGCACCAAGATGAACCAAATAACTGTTTTAAGGAGATTTCACAACTAAAAAATATATGAATGGAAAACTAATTAGAAAATGTATGGTTGCCCCTTGGTCCGAGTACATAAACAAAGGGAAACTATAATTTGGTTCTATCAAACATTAAACAATAACTTTTAATTTTAAAGCAGTTGAAGGTTCCGTGGCCATATAAATGCATGTTTTTGTATATTTTTTACTGGAGCAACTAGAATAAAAAGATAAACTACTTACATCAAACAAGTTGCATGTGACCAACAACAAAATGTGAATGAATAAGTCTTACCCTGTAGCACTTCCATGGAGGATGCCATACAGGCCGTGGCCATCTGCTCGGTATTCTTTCGATTATTGCAGAGGTCGAATAATTCCTTGGAAGAGCAACCAACAGGTTTTAGTAAGAATTGCTTCAACATCCAGGGTAAAATCCACATAAAATTGTAAAAATATATAAAATAGTTCATAATCAAAATTTTCTAGATATATCTAATAGTCTAATGAAACTTTAAGCTGGAAACATAGTAAATCTGGTTTCAAGTTTAAAACTTCTAAATTGTACTTCAGAAGCAGGACACAGGGTACCTCACTGACAGCCATTCCCACATTAACAAGTGAAAGAGTCCAAATATAGAGCATGTGGTAACAATAAAGAATGCTGAAGAAAGCAAAATGAGCATGTGGTAAAAAAAAAATTCAGTTCCAGAAGAATTGAGTTTAAAAGAAATTGAAAAAATTTCATCTGATTACAGAAGTATTGCAAACAAAAAACTCCACCAAGTGGTGTTCAGCTGTTAAGCTGAAATACTGCATCAAATTAAAATGAAAACAGTGGAATGCAAATCAGTTGTTTCCTATTGCTCTCATACATATAATAGAAGAGTTGAAAGAAGCTTGACAAAGGAGAAAACAAGAAACCTTTCAGACGATCCAGAAGTAGAAACAACCATAGTGCCTTTGCCTTGAAGACCAACATTATTTCTGACAAAAACATAATACAGGTTAGCACAAAAGTAAAAGCATTTCAAAGACAATAGAGAACCGTTAGAATCCAGTGCAACTCAAGTGGTGAAGTACAAAATATACCCCAACAGCAAACCAAATAGCTAGAAATGAACAAGCAAAAGTTGATAAAATGGGACAGACCAATATACTCAAAAGAGACACCATTGTCTATCCAGAATGAACTTACAAAAAATAATAGCGATAGAGAATACTTACGGGCCCTTTGTTTGCGCAGATGGACCAACAACCAAAGCATTTTGAGATCCTGCTTTCTGAGGATCCCTAGAATCCTCCGGCCCTGCATTACAGTAAAAGTAATATTCCAATTGAAGATTTAATAAGTCTAAATTCCTAACACTAAAAGATGCAAGCATAAATTCTTAAAACCATAAAACATACAGAACTCTCAGTGATTAAATCAAATAAAAATAATACCAGTCAGAGCAAGGATATTGGAAGATCCTGACGGTTGATTTCCACTACTCGAATTAACATGGTGTGCAGGTTGACTCGAACTTTTAATTACTCCATACTCAAGATTAATCTATACATTAAGTCGAAATTCAATTTCTAAGCCACAACATAATCACGTTATGGAAACAAATCAATTTAACTAAACTAAATCAATTCAACTAACCTTGTGGCTCGTGCGAATTTTTTTACTGCAGCAAAAGAAAAAATGTAAAAGATAACAAAAAATAATAAACGAAAAAGAGAACATTAGGTTTGAGAAATTAACGGATACCTCTCAGGATCAGGAGGAGCTAAGTGGCCATGGACAGGGCTAAAGAGATCGAGAGTTCGCTTTAAGGATTTGAGACTAAGCTTCTTCAATGATTGTGGCTCCACGGGCTCCAACTCCATTGTTTGTACGGGCATCTTCTTCTCTTCTTGTAAACCGTCTCTGCTATTAACACTCCAGCAACAGCTAGGGCTTTAGACAGAGAGAAGAGGGAAATCGGTCCGCTCCAAAAAAGAAAAAAAAGAAAAAATTGTTTAATGAGGATTTCTCTAACGCGAGTACGTTCATTTCTTGTACTCGGCTTGCAATATAACCCGGACCGGGTGTCAGTTATGTGAAAACTAGTTTTCCAAACACCTACATTAAAAAGCTCTCCTTTGAAGGTAAGGTATGATTAATCCAAGAAACAAGGTTACAATAATTAAGTATGTAATTCTATCAAAATTAGAATATCAATTATAATAGACTAATAGTAACTCTCAAATATCATTATTTTTATAGAGTAAACGACATGTTCCCACCAAGGTTTGACGAAATCCCAAGTTAGTACCACTAGTTTCATTTATTCCAGATTCCCACCCTTAAAGTAACAGTGTTATGAATTTTTAGGGTTTAGAAGATACAATTACCATAATACCCTTAACTCTAAATTAATTAAAATTATGTTAACCCCTAAAATAGTAGAATTACAAAACTTACCATTTTATTTTCAAATTATATCAAAAACACCCTCGGTCATATAAACCTCCCGGAAACAGCCCGATCTGGGCTGTTTCCGACGACATCGAACCCCCTGGTCACCTCCATCACCTTCCCCGTAGTCCGTCGTCCAAAACCCCTCCAGTTCCCGACTCATTTGCCCCTCCAATCGCCGGCACCGTTAGGCTTAGGGTTTCGGTGTTCTTCACCAGATTCTGGTCGATTCCGGCGGTGAAAATCCAATTGGACACCACCAATGCAACCACCGTCCCCAAATCTATAAAACCCCTATGTCCCCAGCAACCGTTTCGTCGTCATTCGCCGGCCGAGAGTTCATGTTCATCGGCCGTTTTTCGTTGCCGTGGCCGGAGATCGACGAGTGATGAGGGGTTGTGAATGGTATGGTTTTGTAGAGGGGAGGATGGGGGTTCAAATGGTGGTGACTAGGGTGATTTTGGGTGGAAGAATCGCCGGAAAAGAGCGAAAAACATTGGGAACGACGGCTGCTAACATGCGCCGGAGGACTGTTAGAGGCGGTGGTCTGCTAACATGCGCCGCCCATGTAAAATGACCAATTTACCCCTTTACCGTTACATCAAACGTTTTTTCGTTACTTTAAGGGTGGGAATCTGGAATAAATGAAACCAGTGGTACTAAGTTAGGATTTCGTCAAACCTTGGGTCGGAATATGTCGTTTACTCTTTTTTATATGTCTTTTAGTATTATCAAGTTATTATGTATTTTTTTTATTTCATAATCGCGTTAATTTATATCCATTTAAGTAATAATATGCGCACGTTAAATATACATTAAAGTTTGTTTGTCCCAATTTAAACGTATAAATTAGAAATTAGAGTTTTAAAATTTTTAATTTTATGGATCTAATATTATGTTTTTATTATCAAATTGAAAAGTTTTGGACTTACTGTTGTATTCATCCGATGGAATAATAAGAAAGTCAGACAAAATGGATCCGTAACTTTTGGAAATTATTGGTAAATGAATAACATTTTATTTGAAAAAATATTTAAAATTTCAACTTCAATATGCTTGTAATGTAATTTTAATTCATTTAAGCTTTCTATTATTGCCACCATAATATATATATATATTACAAATTCTTTTGTATAGCTATAGTTCGATACAAAGTGACTTTGCAATAAACATCATTGGGTGGTCTAGTGGTTGGACAATAACTTATGGGTGTATTACTTAAGAGATAACCATTAGAGGTATTCCTTGTCGTTAACTTCAAGATCCAGAGATTAATCGATGTACACGCAAACTGGTTTGGACAAAGTTAATAAACATCCCTGGTTGGTCTAGTGGTTGAACAATGACTTTTGAGTGTATTATTTAAGAGATAACCATTAGAGGTATACCTTGTCGTTAACTTCAGGATCCGAAGATTAGTTGATATACATGCAAACCGGCTTAACAGCTCCTAAAAAAAAAAAAAAAAAAAAAAAAAAAGGGCTTTGCTATCAACTATATATATAAAATGGGCTGTGATCTTCTGATTTAAACACAAGCTCTTTTTGTTCTCCTGGTAAAAATGCCACCACAATATCTGCTACTTCTGTTTTTGCTAGAGAGGGATCCAACCCTGTTGAGTATAATGATCGAGGAAATTAGAGCAAACCCTTTAGAGAAGTAAACACAATATGTAAGATGAGTAAATAAACAAACCTTGATTAGACCTGTCTCTGTACCGCATAAAACAATGTCATTGGCAGTGAGGAGACTTGTTATCTTGCTTCCTGCTGATATTCTCCCCACTTTCTGTTGTGTGCCTCTCAACCAAATCTGTATTGATGCATCAACGTAGCAGTCAAATCAAGGAATGTGTGTTATGTATGAAAAGTATCTTCTCTTTCGTCAATCAGATCGATGAATATGATTGATGGACTCGGATTGTTTCTGTGCGGAAAGCTGGAAAAAAGTACCTGCAGAGAGCTTGCTGAGTAGCTGCAATTTAAGTATATGAAGTCTTCCACTACTCCCATGGCTAGTATACTTGTTCCTTTTTCTGGAACAACTGTTATTTGTGGCTTACATCGTCTTCTCCATTCCTGTATTGTTCCTTTAATAAGTTTGAGGTTCTTGTGCAATATATGTGTACATGTTTACAGGATAATCTATTAGTTTACCTTTATATTTGAACCCTCTACAATTGAACTTGCACTATAAAGCCATTCTCTATACACAACAATCGAATTAATGGACTTGCTTTGCATTCTCCAAATCTTAGCTGGTGCCTTTATTTCTCGCTCCTGGTAGTTTGTCATTGCTAATTCCTGAAAAGATTTTAATGCATCAAATATATAAGATTTCTTTTGATGCATGAGTTTCTACAAGATAAGACCATTAAGCAAACCTGTATGCTTGAATCCGTGCAGCCTGCATAAATTCTTTTTTGAATAATACTCATGCTCTTCACTTTTTTACTCATGCAGATATCTTTCACGGTTCTGGATGAGTTAATCACCTGGAGAAGAACGTAGGAACTTTCTGAGATATATAACTTTCAAAGGCTCATGATAAATTTGTAAGTTAAATAATTACCTTCAATCTGTGGCCTTGTGTGATTGCAAAAATGGCTTTGCCATAGGTGTCTAACTTTTGAATTGGCTCTTTTGTTGATATAACTTCAATTAGCTCTAATTTCCTCTGGACCATTTGCCAAACCTGTAAAACGAAGATGGGTTTTAAAACAGACTCTTCAACTAGATGAAGGCAAGAAAATTTGTCTTTGTAGATAAAGAATACAATATACCCTGATGGTTTTATCAGCAGATCCACTTAAAAGGCTATCCCCTGGTTCAAAAAGAGAGAAACAAGTCACTGTCTTTCTATGCTCCTTAATGTCCCATACAAGTATGGCCGATTGCATTGTGATGTCCCACACCTGTTTAATTCACTCATACATCACCATTGTTGTTTTTCAATAACACAATTTTTGTGTCATTTTGGATGGTCCAAACAAGAACAATATACTTAATTTGCAAGTCGATCCACTATAAACGTACCTTAATTGAACCATCTGAGTATCCACTGTAAAGCAGTCCCTTGTAGTAGATAAGGGCGGTTACAGCACCACTGTTCTTATAACTTGCCTCCAGAATTGGTGTGTGAACACAAGAGATACGCTGCTCTTGCCGTTGTAAAGAGTATAGGTAAGAAAGTGATTGAATAATTGTCACTGATGCTAAATATGTAGATGTACATTATCAGACAAACTACTAACCGATTTGTTGGGAAGATAGAAGTCAGCCACTCTATGTAATTCCTCTGCCATCCAGGATACATTTGAAAATCGTCTCAATGACTCCCGCACTCCTTCTGAGAAATTGATTATTTTTTGCAATCCTAAAGAAAGAAAATGTATCAGAATACAGGTTGATCAGATTGCATACTTGACTATTACGCTACTCATGGTTGTGTAAAGTTCTGCTATGGCTTAATTTATCTCTGTAATTAGATATCCTCATATTCCTTTATATGACGTTACCTTTACCGGAAGCATAGTTGTAGATGCAGAGACATGCCAAAAGTCTGTCTTCAAGCTCCAATCCAGGGTGCAAAAATTCCTCAACTCCACCAAGTAATATTTCACATGCAGAATATCTTAGGCTATTTGGACTTTTTGCAATTTCACAACCAAGCCATGCAATAGCTGTGAGAGAGTCCCGAGAAACCCTCCTTATATTACTCTTTAGTCCCTTCTCTAAAGCATGGAAGACGGGTTTCCCAATTTCAATGATGCTTTTGGCAATCTTACTGCTCCATGAGTCTATTCCTGCATCCTGCAAGTTCAAGCAATTGTCTTCATTCTATAATTGCTACTACCAGTAATCATCAGTTATAGATATGTGTATGCCATACTAATACTAATTTCTTATGCAAATTACCTGCAGGCTTTGGTCCAACCAGTCAAAGTTTCTTATCATGTTCCGAAGACAAAATGAGCTCAAACTTGCCTTTTTCACCAGCCATGCTACTGTGTATGGTTCTCCTGTCCAGGAAAAAGTTCCACCAATGTTCGAGAAAATGAATGAAGATAGCAGCTGTGTGTTACAGCTTTCTTCTGATGCCATTGATTTGAGGAGGACCTGCATAGCATCTTCTCTAAACACACTTTTACCAGATGAGTTTTCCTGCATAAATTTATTTTTTGGTTATGTCAGTTCAAGCCTTCCCTATTAATTTTGTGTTTAAGTAACATGGAATAAAATTTTCTTTGGTGGTAGCTAAATATGTTAGAAAACAGTATTGCCAGGTAATGAAAGGTCATCTTATCACATGTAACATTAGTCTGGAAGAGTCTAGGTATATATCACAATTATACTACCATAGGTGAATTCATACCCTCTCTGAAATCTAGCCTAACATCAATATGACTGCAGGATGGGATCATTTTTCTGAGAATAGCTTCCATAATTTAGAAATTTACCAGTGCATCTAACTGAAGCAACAAATTTGCTGCCAAAATTTGGTAATCAGGCTGCAATTGCTGGAGAGAAAGCTTTAAAGTCTGTAGAATGTTGATGCTTCCTTCTTTGTGTATTCGCTGCAATAGGCCTATGGCTGATGATCTGCAATAAAAATGAAATCTCAGAAGGGCATCTTTAAGATTGGGATCTTGCTGTTAGCAGCATCAGTAACGTTGCTCCATCTAATGTCCTTAAAAACAGAATGAATGGATGCTAGACCATCCCTGTAACATGAATGTAAGTAGATTCAGGTTCATGCTTATTCACACTTTAATTTGGTGGTAAATTTCTATACACATCCAGTCAAAAGATTTCAAACAACTTATTGTGACGGTGAAAACTCTGGGATTGATTTTGACAAAGCATAAGTTTATGAATTTGTTTTCTTAATTTTCAGATTAGTTATATTTAAAATATGAAATACTGAATTTGAACCTTTTCTTCTGTACCTTGGTATGCGAAGGATCTCATGAAAAAATTCAAGAGCAATGAACATGGCGTGCTTCTCATTACTCTGAAGGAGGCAGATAAGTGGAGCCACTGGAATAAACTGAGAGAGATATTTTCTGCTTTGTCCATCAAACTGCATACATTTTACAAGAACAGTGGCCAAGGAGATTAATTCTTCCAGCTTTTGATATCTTGTAACATCTAGGAGGGCACTGAGGACGCGGGGTGAATTGATTGCAGCCAAGTGCATGTTATTAGTAGCATTGTCAAACGCAGTTACTAATACTTCAATAATCATCAATGATGCAGCTGGAGGTGTCAGGAGATTTGGTTTTGGCTTACCCTTATAAATGTCTGATGTGCACACAACCTCCGCCAGTGTTGGTAAGAGTTCTAAAGTCTTTATTTCTGTAGGAGATGGCTTTATCAAGTAGATAAGGATAGCTGCTTCATGAACATTTCTTTTAAGAGCACGCGCTAAGTCGCTTAAACATAAACCCTTCTTCTTGATGTCTTCTACAACTGATACATTGGCTGAAATGATAGTTGTTAGTATAGACACTGATGCCCTTATTACTGTGTCCTCTTTAGAGGTTGAAATGGCTGTCAGCAGCTGTTCCAATATTACATCCCTTAAAATTGCGTATTTTACTCCTGTTTTGCTCTTAAGCATTTCATAAATGGCAGTGACTTCTACAGCATAATCTTTGTCACCTTTCCTCAATTCTTCTGAGAAACATAAGCTTGAAATGGCTTTCTCAATTATTTCCAGCAATTCACTCTTGGAATTCCTTCCCCAAAGGGAATAATCTTCATCGAATCTTTTGCTACCTTGCGATTTCTGCTTTTTCTTCGTACAACTTCCGTGGCAGTCCATCTGAGTAAGCCTATATTTCTCCAGAGAATTAGATGTTAAGTGTTCAAAGAGCTGGACTTTCTGTGGCTGTAATGTTCTCTGAATTGTACAATCTTCTTCATAAAAAGTGTAATTTGATCTTTTATCTCCAAATTCAGAAATGGATAAATCTAATTCATTTATAGAACTCATGAATCCCTTAGAAAAATCCTTGGTGATATTCAATAGTTCATTAGATTCTCTGTGCATTGAATGTTGAGGAGCTTTTGTGAAAGTTATTGCTGTGGACTCTGGGCTTGATAAAGAGCAGTGAGCCTGCAGCTTCCTGCGTAAGCCATTGCATTTAAATGTGGAAAAAATCAGAAATTTTCGATACAAAAATATCTATTGCAGGCTTAAGGTATTCAACAAAAGTAACCTATAAGCAAGGACTGTGAACCTAACTGATCAAAAGTTTCTGGTTGTGGATTATCAGCATTTATTCTTTCATTTCCAATTAAGCTGATCTCCAGCTTTTCCTAATCACAAAAAGGTAGTGAGAAATGTGATACAACAAACCGGTAAACATTGATGTTATTTTGTAAAATACAAAATCATTAGCACACAATAATGCATTCTAAACAATTACCTCAAAATCAGCAGAGCATGAATCAACTGAGCTTAACACATCTAATTGAGATTCTTGCAGCATATCCTGGATGCATTTGATGCTTGAATTTTGTCCCGGTTTGCCAGTTTGAAGTGGTAACCTCGGAACTTGGTTTAAACGTTTTAAAGCTTTACTATCTGAAACTTCTCTGCTTCCCTTAGGTTCATATGTTTTGCCATCACTTATATTTTCGTGAGGATCAAGTGGATGCACCTTTGCATACTGCATTAATATCGTCACACATCACAAGAAAATTAAATATGTAAATGCATACTGTATTTTATCTTATATATGGGCAATATATGAATCTTAAAACAGATTTAGAACTGAGAGTCCTCATTGGCACATAACAACTTAGATACGGAGTACTAGAGATGAAAAAAAAAATGTAATTCAAAGCATACGTTACAATAAGTTTGCAAGGTGTGTCCATGGTCAATTGCCTTCGAAGATTCTGTACCACTGGATACTTCTTGCCTGTTCATAAATAGTAAATTATAAAGAGATCTTGCAGGGGCATTTGTAGTTTCTTAACAATTTTACTAGGAGAATTTTAATGAACAAGCAATAAAAGAAGACAAAATAACAAGGTCATATGGCAGGCTTCAGTTTAGATTTACACAAGATTTTCCTGTAATATTAAGATGAGCATAAAGGGGCACTTACGTGGAATAATTTGCTTCTACATGAGGAGATGAAATATCTGTTTGTCCAGAGTGCACCAGTGGAGCCTCTTTGTATATCAAGACCTGATAATACATTAACCAATGTTTGTATCTTTTCGCCATCTGCCTCATGGCTTCAGTGGCATTTTCTTTACCAAAGTCCTCAAGGTAAAAAGATTCCAAGTTCCTCCTAGACATGGTGCCTGAAGGAAAAAGACTTTGGCAAAGTTCTGGTGCTAATTCTGTTCCTATCAGTCTTGGGAAAACTGATAATGCTTGGAGAAAATGCAGTGCTACCTGCAACTCATCCTTCTGGAGCTTCTTAACCACAGAGAGGTAAAAGTAAGAGCAACAAACCAAGTAACGGTTTGGAATTCCAGCTGTGACTTCATGTTCATCAAGCAATGCAGTTACCTGAAGCATTGACTCTGAATTTTTCAGCCTTGAAGTCATCTCTTCAGGCCATTTCGCCTGAATTGCAGCTTCGATACAGTCTATACCCCAGTAAAGATTTGACAGAACCGACTGCTCGGAGAATTCGAAGAACTCCTGCTTTTGAATATTTATCTTGGAGGTGCATCTCATTTTTATAGACTGCCATCTTTCTACATTTGTTATGAATTCAAGAATGTATTGATTGATTAAAATGACAAGTGCCCTTATGGTTTCAAGGTCTGGTCTCTCATTATCTCTATATGAAGCTGATAAAAAGGAACTAGAAATGGATGCCATGGAGCTGCTAGACATATTGTTTTCATGAAGAAGAAGAAGAAGAAGAAGAGAAGAAGTGATATTTACTCTGGAGAGGAAGAGAGTGATATATACTATATAAGTGTTGTAAAGCAATTACGTATGGAACACTTCCCCGTGACTGTTCCAGCCAAATTCCATTCTTCAGCGCCCCTCTATTTCCTCCTATTATTTTTATTCAACGTTTTGTATTATCTGGAAAATGAGTAGCCTTGTGTCTAACTTTATGATAACTGGATATAATTGAGAAATGATAGAAATCTTACTCTGAAATCTATTTTTTGAGTATTGTATTTTCCACTCATGAGTTTGGAATCTACTAGCATTATTTGAAGGTACAGCTGATCCAGGATGGCCCCAGGAAAATCTGGCAGAAAGTTCCATAAAGTAAAATAGAGGTTAGTTTTTGTCTTCTTTAACATATTTAATCACTGTTAGAATTTTTTTTTTTTTTTTTTTTTTTTTTTTGACCTCCAGAAGTGTACGACAAACTGCAGTTTGACTGGACAGGGAGCAAACTTCATTATTAAAAAAGTACAGGACCATCACATTTTTTTCAGAGCTAATTAATTACAACAATGTAATAGTTGTTTCAGCTTGTGGTTTTGGTAATTTTTTTCACAAAGTAAACTCAAATTAGATATGGGTCTGTTCCAGTTTTGAGCTAAAATGCCAGCTTTGGTGAACCCATTCTGTGTGTTTTTTGTTTGGTATGATGGAGGCCAATTATGATAGAATTTGTGCAGTTGTCATGAAAAGACCCTCTTCTGAATTTGGCTCAAAGAGATAAACATCACAGACTGAACAGAAATTGGAAACTACAAATCTATCCCATCATCAACTCACAAAGATATCAATCTATAGAGACATCGCACCAACAGCTATAAATTTATTGAACTTAAAAGATGGAACAGAGAAGATAATCCGGATATGCAGCAAATGGAATCTGATATAATTGAATTGAAGGATCAACGTTAGATGGGTTGAATGAGTGGGTCCGATGGAATCGACTCTTGTCTGTCACGGGCTTTAAAATGGAATGGGGTTTTCAACGTTGGATCAAAGATCACATTCACATGCAGAGCAGACACTGGAGCATCTTGTGACGAAGAAAAAAACAAATCTTATTATAGCTTCGAATGTAGACTACTTTGTAAAGACTCTCATCTCCCACCGTCTAATTGCGGAGAATTATGCATAGATCATGCGATTGAAGATGGACCACCTCCATCACCCTCCTTCATAGCGTGTCCAGGACGGCACCAATTTTATACTTTTGTTTCTGTATATGTATTAACAAAAGGTATTTAAACGCATTTTAAAGATAAATATTTTTGAAACATTATTGGATCGAGGTTTGGCCCATTTTCAGGGCTTAAACTCGACAGCCAGGATGAAGCTCTTAAGCCAGCCCATAAATTAGAGGGCCTAATAATGTCACGGTCCATAAAACCATTTTTGGGTTTAAATTTGTGATCCAATTAATTTTAGACTCGATTCTCAATCTCAAATTTCAAGTTTTATGCAAGAAATTTGATTTTCTCATGAAGGATTCTGGGAGGATCCCACTTTGGGATCTCACACCCATCAAGTGTGGTACTCATCTAGGGGCTCTCTTACCTATCAAACCGGTGTTTTGAGTCGGGTTCTTCTTTGAACTTGAGTTCTAATATTGGTGCTTCTATGTGGCTGGTGTTTTGGGTTATTTTGTGTTGGGTTCTCCTTGGGAGGAGGTGTTGTATCAAATAATTGATTAGATTGAGGTGGTTGGTCTTTTGGGTTGGGTTCTCCCTGGAAGGAGGTGTTCATTGAATAACTGGGATATCCACTAGATTAAGGTGGCCGGTCTTTTGGGTTGAGTTCTCCCTGGGAGGAGGTGTTACATCGAATAACTTATTAGATTGAGGCGGAGGACATATCCATGGTGGCTATTAAAAAGGGGTACAATGTGAGGATCCCACATCGGCATCTCAAACCCACCAAGTGTGGTCCTTAATAAGCCTAGGGGCTCTCTCACCCCCTACCAGACTAGTCTTTTAGGTTTCCTAATAGATTGAGCGTGTGTTTATTTGTGTTTGTGATCTTGTTAAAAATATCTCCCGTTTATTTTGTAGACTTGGGTTAAAATACAAGCAAATTATTTATTTTTTATTTTAGCAGAAAATGCATGCATTTCTAAAACATAATTGAATTTCCATAGTCAGAATCTTGACACTTTGGACTCTTCTGCCTAATTAGATAAAAAATTTCAAGCATGCCTAGCCACATTAGTTGCAAGAATCTCATTGACTAAATGGAAAAAAAAAAATCAGGCATTCATCAGCATCTGTATATATACTTATCTAAGTCAGATTCATGAATTTCTCCTCTACACATCATCACCCATTTAATAGTTTGAAACTTATTAGGTTCATCCTCTACGTAATGATAGCGTCTCTTCCTGTTGCAGTTCACCAGCTCAATATCTTTAATTGCATAGACAATCCTGGTTCCTTGTCTTAGCTGCTACAGTTTTATTCTCCAATAGTCACTATTACTACTACTAAGAAATCAATATTCCAACCACACCCATGTCGAGTTTTTCCTTTGAATTTCCATGCTCTCTTTCTCTTCATGCTATCGGCCTTTCTTTCTCCTTCTACTACTCATCAAAACCTCCCATGTGATCATTAATGTTACTCATGCAGCTCGCCAACTGGGTAATTTTCAGGATTCTGATGATGCTCCAACGCACTTAAACTTCTTCCGTTCCGCTTTACGTGGAAGGCAAAGAGTGTTGTCATGTGCTACTGATCCTGGAGTGTGCTTGGATCGTGAGAAGAATCCATGGGGTGGTACCACGTGTTGTTTTCGACAATTCTGCAAGGATACTTTGAAAGATTCAAGCCACTGTGGAGCTTGTGGAACAGCTTGTGGCTATGGACTCGTTTGCTGCGATGGAAAATGTGTGGATGTTCAGACTGATCCTCAACATTGTGGCTCCTGTTTTGAGGAGTGTCCTGGAATAAACAAATGTGTGTTTTCAATGTGTGATTATGGTGGATGAATATTTGATCAGTTAATAAAGTTCTTAAAATCAATTCATCTTTCTCTCTAATAGATGTGCATGCTTGCAATGGATGGCTGTTCAGTTTGGTTTCTGTTTAATGTTGGTCGTCAGGATTCCACGAGTTTCCTTCTAGGTTTATGTATATTATTTACGCAGTCAAATTCTTATTAATTACAGAGGGCAATGTTTTAAAACCTGGCCTGGCCAATTTAACCTGTTCAACTGGGACCCAGAAGCTTCAACGGGTTAGGTTTATATTTTTCTTATTTACCCAAAACCCTAGGATTTGGGAGGATGATTGGCAGACAATTGACGGTCGGGATGTTGGGACTTTTGAAGAGAAAGTGATGGTGAATGCAATGGTGATAACAAAGTTGATTTCCGATGAGTAAATTGACCAAAACTGGCAGCGGCAACAACTGGCTTTTACCGGTAATTGGCAAGGCTAACAGGGGTGGGATAAGGTGGGTTTTGATCGGGAGGAAGAGGGAAGTAATTTCTTAGTGATGGGGAGGGTTGTAGATGACGGCGTCGATGAGATCTGGCCTAGAATGCCGATGCAGGTGTCGATGAGATCTGGCCGAAATCGAACATATTTCAACTAGATCTTGGGTATATTTTAAGGGAAATGGGTTCAAGAGACGATTGGGGTTGCATCTGGGGTGTCGCCGCCGCCAACCAATCGCTAGCCGATTTGCATTTGGGGTGTGTTTGCTAAATTTTAAATCTATATAGACTTAACATAATTTTTAGATGTTTATTTGCTGAATTTTAGAAGTTTTTATCAATCGGTTTGACCAACGGTCAAACCAGTTAAACCATTCAACCCGGGACTCAGCAACTTTGTTGGTTTTCACCCCGGGTTGGGTTTTAAAACATTGACAAAGACTAATTTGTGTGAGATAAGATCATTATTGAGTCAACTATGACTATGACATTGTAACTAGATTAACATCATCTTTATTAATAAACTCTTAGCTGATTAATAATTAAACGTACAGATTAATGATGATAAAAGTTGTGGAAAGAGATTCCAATAAATTAATTTTCCTAAAAACCAAATGCTTGGTCCATTTTTGGTGATCCATAATATTTTAAAACTGAAATCGGGGTGTGTGTGTGTGTGTGTGTGTGTATCCTACACATATATACACCAATTTTCAATTTTTTGTTTTATAATTAGGGTATCCGGACCAGCTTCCGTACACCTCAATTACTATTTGAGTCCATTGAACACCCTACTGTTAGTATATGCCCTATGAATCAATTGTGTTATCGATTCCAAGATATTATGTTTTGTATATATATGTTAATGTATATACATTTTTATCTTATTAATAAAAGAAAGTGTTTTTATTTCACACACACACACACACGTATATATATACATGTGAAATGTCTGAATGACATAAATCTTTAGAAGATCAAAATCATCAAAGTATTCCCTACATAGGTAGTATAGGTAGTATTAATTGGGCAATAATATTACATAGTAGGCATGTTGAATGCCTCCGTTGAATATCATGTGATGGTATTAGTGTGGGTGATTATAAAAGTTATATCACTAGGACATCAGCATGGATAAACAGTTAATGAACATTTTATCGAATATGACCATTTATGATGAATCACATGGACATTTATAATGCAATTAATGATGCATCATAAGATAGTACTAGTGTACTATTAATCCTTAGACTTGAGATATCATGGTTGGATTTCGCATAAACGCATATAGTTCATATGGTGTATAAACACAAGACTAATCACGTCATGTGTAAAAAGCCGATTTGGCTATGTGTTATTTATGTGTGAAGACAAGTGATAGTCAAGATGGGATCCGTTCACTTGGTATAGGTTAATATCAAGTTCCTAGACAAATGTCAAGATACATTGGAAAAGGCAAATCTCCGGTTGGGGTATATAAAATGTTACCTAAAATGTTATTTCATGGTGACACATTCTAAATGTATTAATTGTCAATTTGATATGAGATTAAGAGAATGATTTTGACATACCATGAATCTATTCTTAATCGAGATTAGACAACGAAGGGATTATATTATACGCTATGCACGATTATAAAAGGGTTCATTATAGTATATCTTCATTATGACTTATGGGTTATGGAGCATTGTTAGATGCCTGCCATAATCATTGGGAGTTTTGGTCATAAAGAACTATGACGAAACATATCAAAATGGATTACGATATTGAGCCCACGGCTAAGCCACAGTGAACCTAATAGGTCACACATAAAAACTAAGGAGAATTAGAAATAGCCAAAGAAAGTTGATTATCCAAGGCTGGCTAGCACCTACCAAGGGTAATAAAGTTACTTATATTATTCTCATTTAATTAGATTTAATAGAGGATTTTATTAGTAATTATGAATAAATTAAGAGTTAAATTGCTAATTGGAATTCCTTCATAATTAATCATTTTCCTTATATTAAATTGAATTTAATAATGTGTTGTAATTGTAAACATATAAACAATTTAAGGGTTAAATTGTTATGTAAACAACTTAAGGGTGCGTTTGGTTCAATGAATGTTGTATTATTGGAAAGATAGATTACCAGGAAATCTTTAGAGAAATGTGTTTGGTTGGTTGAAATAAATCAGTGGGTATGTTATAATAATATGTTTGGTTGGGAGGAAAAATGAGTTTGTATATTATGCAGATTACTAAATTGCCCTCCATTTTAAATAATAATATAATAATAATAATATTATTATTATTATTATTATTATTTTATTATTTTTTAAATTATTTCTTTTAACTCCCTATATTTGAAATTTTGCTAAAACACACCAAACATATAAAACTTTAAATTATAGCAAAATCACCCCCACCCACCTTAAACCACTGCCGGCAACCAGCCACCACCACCGACAGCTGCTGTAATAGCGCATGATTGGCCAGATCTGGTTGGTCGTGCACTGGTAAGGCCTAATCCGGTCATGGATTTGATCTATGGCAAAAAATGACTAGATCTGACCTTTTCACGACCAAATCTATGGCATTTTACAGCCACATCTTTGGCCATAAAACAGCCAAATCTGGTCGTTTCCAAGCATGGATCACAAATCCATGGCTGAAAATGTCCTTATCAGCACACGACAGGTAAGATCCTGTCGGTCTTACATCGATATGACGACTTTCACCGAAGGCCAGTGGTGGTGGCTAGCAGTCGGCAGTGGTCTTGGGTGGTTGGGGGTATTTTGTTAACTTTTAAACTTTTTTGTGACTGGAGTGTTTTAGCTAAATTCTCAAATATATGGGGTTTGGGTAATTGTTATTTGGTAGACATATGAGGGCAAATGTGTTCAAAATGATAAAAGACTAAAGGCAAAATAGAGTCAAAATTAAGATTACCTCGATAATCTTATATTAACACCCCTTGGAAAGGTAATCTGATTACCTCAAATATTATTAATAATAAATATTTGCAATAGAAGATTAAGTAAATATTTTATTACTTGATAACCAGACGAGGGAATATTTTATTACTTGACAACCAGACGAGGGAATCTTAAAAATTAAATAAAGATTACAAGATTAATCTTATATCACCCCGAACCAAACGTAACCTAAGAGTTAAATTGTTAATTATAATTAAATGTTAATCCAATTTCATAATTATGGAATTAGTTATAACCCTAAAAGAATTATGAAATTGCATAAGGGCATCCTTGAACAATTATTGAATTGTTTATTGGTTCATCCATATGAAGAAAATAATATTCAATTTTTTATAGAATGAAAAATTGAAAAACCCTAGCATTTTTCTCTCATTGGTTGAATTCTCTCTTTCAGCTTGGTGTGGACTTTCTTTTGCTAATTTCTCTTGTAATTGAAAGATCTCCTAACTACTAAGGAACCAAGGTAACAAGTTTTTACCTGATTTAATTCAAGTTTTTGAATTATATTTAAAAACCCTAATATGCATAATATAGTGATATATGCTTCCAATTCATGTTCTTCCATGCAATCCATCTTTCATCTACAAGCCCAATGGCCCAATGGGTCAGGTAAGTCACTTTACAAGTTCAATGAGCTAAGTAAGTCATAAATGTAGTAGGTAAACACTCTATGAGACTCGAACACAAGACCTCTAGACAGTGACGGATCCAGGATTTTTGCCGAGGGCGGCCCTTTGCGGCTCCGCCATTATTTACCAAACAACTAGTAAAAACTTTAAAAAATCATCAAACCTTAATAAAAAAAAAATAATAATACAATATTAAAAACTTAAGAGAAAAGAATATGCAATAACACAATATTTTCCTATTTGAATAAATCAATGAGAAGCAAAATTTTGAGTAAATGTGTTAAGTAAACCTTGAGCAAAACCTTCTTTTAATATTTTTATTTTTGGCTTTCAAAGATTATAATATAAATTTTTATGACTTTGATAATACATAGCCTAATTAGGCTAAAGTCAACAAAAACTTCAATAAAGTCAACGTTGCTTTGACTTTTAATATGAATTAATAAAAAAATGAAAAATTTTCTTAGTATAAACATAGATAGTAACTCAAATTTCTTTAATAATTTTGAGCAGCTAAACAGTGACGTTTGAAATATAGGAAAGTAGTGGGTGAAAGGTGAAGAATAATGTCCTTTAAAATATAGTCAATGTTTTAATTTGAGAAAGCATGTTCATTCAGTTTTTAAAAGTTTTAAGAGCGAATAGCATGAGAAAGAGAATGAGAATGAGAGAGTAAAGAATTTTGGGGATAAAATCATAAAAAACAAGTGGAGGAAAAGGAATGGAGAAAGTTTTAAACTTTTAATATGATGTGGGTTTGGAACATATATATCAATAGCAAACTTTTTGTGGACCTAGATATATGTATAATAGTTCTCATAATCTAAGCCCTAAGGGTGGGTCTAGGTATATATATTAATTAACAATTTTTGGTGGCCTGTACATTAATAATTATTATTATTTTTTTTTTTTTTAAATCTGAGGCCTACCCTCAAAGGGCTAAATCTGCCTCTGCCTCTGCCTCTGCCTCTAGGTAACTCACCTAGATGGTTAAAATCTTGCCGCCAAACCCCAAAACAAGTGGTTAAAGACAGCTAAAATTGGGATTAGAACTAAATGGTCTGGTTCAGATCCAAAAACTCAGTGATGCATGGTGGGCATCTGGGTTAATCAATTTCAACTGATAAATGATGTAGGTGATACTGAAATTATGAATTCCTAACTTTTATAATCAACATTTTCATTAAAGTATGAAAAGCATATATCACAAACATGTGATGGTGGGGATTCTATTATTTTTAACAATTACTTTACTCAGAACACTAATTCTTGTATCTCCAATTTATTAGTCTTCTGTCCCATGGCTATAGCTAAATGGCATAATCTAACATGTACTAATAAATATTTTCTTCTAAAGAGAAAAGAAAAAGGGCCCCAAATGGGCCCTCTGTACTCAAAAAACCCTCTGGTTAGGCTCAGTCTCTTGCGTGTACGCTCCAACATGGCCGAAGTCAATTATTTATTTACCATCTCTACTGTTCATTACTTAAATGGCAATTGTCTATTCTGTGCTGCCAGATCCTGTACAAGTATTTGCTAATGTGAAGCGATAAACTGATAATAAACAACCTAAATAATAATTCCCCATGCCCATGCCCATCGCATCTTCATAGCTTGGCTACTGTTTCACTTTACCATCTACCCAGAACATTGGTTCAGATTAATACAATTATCGGTCAACCACTCAACCGACCGAGTAAGCATCAAAGTAGGTGTAGCCGCGTAGGCTTATTATATATTATACGAGCCAGATCCGCTAGGTGTAAACTCTTTGAGATTCTTAAATGAATTATTTAAAAGATATTAAATTTGGATTGATTATTAATAAATGATAGTCATTAGAGGATGTTTATCCTATCGTTAATTTTAAAATTGTAGAAGATAGTTGAGATATATTTAAACTTATCAAAAATTCCAAACAGTCCTGTTGTACTTAAAAAATCACACTAATGTTAGTACCAACCAATCAAAGTTCAGAAAGGTTTTGTGTCATCTAGAAGTTGTCACATCGTCTCAAGACAGAAGAGATACGATTGTCATCAACCCAACAGATTTAAGTGTTATCTATGAGTGGATGATGACTGCACATTTGTCCCAATTTTATCAAAATAAAAAGATAAAAATTAAGGAATGATCCCCACATGTCATGACAACTCACAGAAGCATTCATTACATTGATCTAAAATGTGTATAAATGAGCACCTCTCATTACGAAAAAGAAGGTAAGACATATGAGAGTTAGACATAGATTTGAACTTCATTATTTCTCTCTGTAAAGCAAAATATTTCTTCATCTTTGTATAGTCAGAAAATAATAAAATAACAGTAGATGTAGGGTTTGCTAGCATCCGAACCACTATAAAAACCTATTTTATCAGTTTATTATTTATGTTTCTGCAACATATATAATATCAGTACCATATTCAAATCTCATGGATCGATTACATATAATTTCTAAGACTCTCTTAACACTTTACACGTGTGAGTCGTTAATGTCAAAATCAAGCATCATCGAGTCCAAACACCAAAAAAAAAAATAATAAATAAAAAAAAAAAAAAAAGAAAGAAGAAGACGGATGGCTTAGAGTTCCAGAAATGACCTAAAAGCCTCTGCATTTACACTGAAAAATCAAAAGAATTTTCATCTGTTAGTCTTCGAGGAAAAGACCAAGAAAAGTATGGATTAGATCCAACCTTCCTTACAATTTCAGGCTTGACCTTGAGAGCCCAAAAGGGTCTTTTGGTTTCAAATATTTTGTAGCCAGAGAAGCTGTCTCCGAATCTACCCTAAATTTTGTTTCTCTAATAAAATCACAGGTCATCTAACCATTTAAATATTAGATCATATGTATGCATACATAAGCTTTGTCTTATTTAGTTGAGATGTTAGCATTCAAAGTTTAAAAAAATGTGAGAAATGAAGGTTTTACAGGTTGATAACCTGAAAAATATTCAAATTTAATATTGGTATCAAAATCCATGACTTCTCAACCGTAACGTTAATTATAACGTGTAACACGATACTAGTCTCACCCATTAGTAGCTTAAATAATAAAACGAACATTAAGATGTATGATTTATTAAGAAATAAAATCATTTTGATTTTATTTCCTTATTATTATGATTATTATAATATCATATTTTTTTATATTTTTTATTAATTTTAATATTAAAATGATTGTATTTCCTTGTATAAAATATATTGAACTTATATATTCTATATTTTTTATTAATATTGAATATATAGCCATTTATACCATTCTTATCATTAAGACGCACCGTGCACCGTCTGATGTTCGAATTCCCCGTTGGGATACCCTTTAAAAAAGAAAAGTAAAAAAACACCATAATAAAAAAAATTAATAAATGGACAAACTTTATAAACCAAACAGCAGAGAAATTTACTTTGAAGTCTCAGTCCACAGAATATAAAAAAAAAAAAAAAAAAAAATTAAATACCGACTTGCTTTTGATCTCTCAAAAGGGTAAAAAGTTATTTCCACCTGAGACAAACGCGCCCCCTACACCTGTTATAAGCCACACCATTCACATTCTCTCACACTCATTCTAAAGGCTCTTGAAAAAAGGACTTTGAAAACTGCGAAGCCAAACCTAAAAGCAAAAACAATGTTTGATGAGAGACCACGTGGTCATGGTGGAGCGCCTCACGGCGTGCTACTGGCGGTGGTGGTGAGCATAGTGGTGCTGGTTCCGTTTCTGTTTGGTGACTCAGGCGAGGCCGTGACCGAGTTCATTGCCGAGCTCTTGAGCCCAGTAGGGCTCCTGCTTTTGCCTATTATTCTCCTACTCACCATCCAGTTTCTCTCGTCCGATCGTGGTTCATTTGTGTCCAGCTTGTTCTCTACTGGTGGACCTGACTCCATTCACAGGGTTAGTGGGTCGCCTGTTGGTGTGGCGCTTTTCCTCATTTTGATCTTGTTTTTGCTTTACAATCGTGTATCGATCTTTGGTGGTGATGATGATTCTGGTGATTAGTTCAAAACTTGAAATGGTAAATGGATCTGTGTTACTTTTCTTTGTTCTTTAATACTTTTGATATGTTATAATATACAGTGGGGTACGTACGTAGACTTTCATGTATGAACTATGAAGATGGTTAGGGGAACTGGGGAAGGATCTTTTTGTAATTTACGTAAATACCCAGGTATTGTGTGGTCATGTGGAACATAGTTGAAGTTGATTTTCCAATGTTTAATTATAGAAATACCCTTTTCATTATCACTGTTCATATCTAGTTTACTCTGATGTTTAGGGCATAATGGTCTTTTTATGCTGTAAATTATGTGAACTTTCGTTGGTCAGTAAAGCCACCTTCGGTGGCTGGTGCTGCAGCGCCAGTGGACACTGCTGGCTCTCTTTTTTTTTTTTTTACACTTTCTTTTTGTCGTTTGATGAGTTTCCCTTTTGTGATATTTTAATTGGTTCTTGAATCTTGATTTCTTGCACTGGCACGTGGGCACGTGGGCATCCTCTTTTTTTAATGTAATAATTGTTTAATGAGGTAGAGGAAATTATGCACAGCCAAAACGCATAAGAAGACGAGTTCAATAAAACAGGCCTTTATGTCTATAATGAAGTCACTGACATGTGGGTACAGAAGCAGATACTCCTCCTGACGAGGCAGATGCAATCGCCACGTGTCAGATTGATGATTTTATTTTTCTATATTAATTTTCAAATATTGTGAGGTGTGGATGGGATGGGAGTAATCGGTAATCACAAAGGCAGCTTCAGCACATATAATTGACTGCAGATTCCATGTCTTGTTCAAATTCAATTGTTAAATAGCCCACAACCTGAAGAGAACTGTGGTCCATTTACATGATCATATTGTGTGTTTATGCCTTGTATACAACACATGGATTTCTTGGTCCATGGCTAAAGCTTCATTTGCTCACCGCTCGAAGTTTTGGAAAATCAAATATCACGTCTTGGTTTTAAGCAAAAGAAGCCTATTTGTGCTTCCTAATAAAAATGCCAACGTCAATGTCTCCCCACCGGCACCCCAACACAGTTGCGTTCTGGATTATCAATCAGTGGAAAGACAGTGAAAGAGGGATCAACGAATACTGAGATGACGCCAAATGTCAAGGATAAGGAAACCTAGAAAGACATACATCGCCAAGTAAAATGTTGAACTCTTGTAATCGCAATACAACAAAGTAGTTGTGTACAAGTTAAACTCTACTGATTGACCAGATTACCAAAATGAAAGCGTGTACTGGAAATGATACAGGTTTCCAAAAACCATGGTTTCCACTTACCACCTTGGCAAATTCTGAAAAGTGAAAACCAGTCTGCAGACGAGGGACCACCTTGGCAAATTCTGAAAACCAGTCTGCAGACGAGGGACCACCTTGGCAGAGGAACGAGTGGCTAATGAGTCCTTGGGAATGAAAAGCAACTGCTAGGCTGGCTCACATCTTTGGAACTCAACCCCACAAATTTGTCTTATCTACCGACCCTACTCGACTCTTGGGTCTATCTTCATCATTCATAGTTTGTAATTTTACCCTTCCCAGATTCTAGCCATAATACTCTGTTCAATCGAAGAAACATCCAGTGTTATTTAGATTTTAGATAAATAAGATTGTAAGATCGTTCCAACAAGAAAAGACATCTACAGAGAAATATGTGGTCCAAAATGTTGCTGAAAATAAGTATTAGAACCAGGTCTGACAAAGCGTCCTGCTGTAACCAAAACTTATCATACGTCAGGTAAATGCTTATCAATGTGCCAAGTGTAAATCACTGTCTTGCAGTAATTGCTTTGTTAGTTCTCATTCTTGGATAATTGCAAGTTGCACCTCTAGCTTTCTGCCCAGAATGAATGCCCAAGGGCAGTTAATTCAAATGCTAAAGCTTGTTTACTGTCTCATCATGTCCAACGAAAACTGATGCCAATTAATGAAGAGACCGAAGTTTAAATTGCACCCAAAAAAAGGCCTATAAACTCCATGAACTAGAAGGATCATAAAAAAGGGGATGGGATACCAACAATTTCAAATGCTACAACAGCATCTCTTGTTAAGTGATGTGTCACGGGTTAATATTCTAAATTTTTTGGCTTAAGCACAAAAGAAGGGTTCTTATTCAAGCCGAGAAAGCAGATAAAATGCCAGTACAATTCACCAGCATTGACTGCATAGCATTAAGTTCACTAAATCAGTTTGGATGAAAAAACACTAAAACAAGCATACAATATAAACCTCATTAATGCACGTAAAATAAGCAAGGGGCTTACCTTTATGCTAGTCCAAGATTTTCTAATTTATTGCAGTGGGGAGTTGGCAGGTTCTTATTCCAATGTCGCTTCTGTAGCTCTACATTACAATACCTCCAAAGCAAAGTTTTGTAATCCTTAATCACACTGTCCTCAACGTGAGCTCGAGCAGGACTACCATGAGGAAAATGCTCATCAAATGCAGATGATTTTACGTAAAAATCAACTCCATGTTTCTCAGTAGTCCTAGCAATCTGATAGTGAAAATTCTTGTGCAACGAGTAGTTGGGCTCTGAAAATGGCAGGAAAGCAAGCAAGATTATTAATAAAAAAGGAATTATCTGAAGAAGAACCAAAAGATTAGGCCCTCCACCACGAAACTCCTCTCTTTGATGGCTCCTCGTCTCTCTAGTTCTAAAAACATGAGTTGTCCGAAACATATCTGTTTGACCAAAGAATGACCTGAATATCTCATCAGGATCAAAATCATCATCAAAAAAGTCATGCTCAGTTCTCCTTCTCCTCTGCCTAACATTATGCGTTTGGTTATACTCAAATTCATCAACCAAACCAACATGATCATACTGCCTCCTCGAATCATCATCACTCAAGCACTTGAAAGCCTTGCTCACTTTCTTAAACGCTTCCTCAGAACCCGGAGCCTTATTCTTATCCGGGTGAACCTTCAACGACAGTTTTCTATAAGCCTTTCTTATCTCTTCAACCGAGGAAGTCCTTTCCACACCAAGAATCTCATAATAGTCTTGGTTTCTCTTAATCTGCCTAATCAACTCAACATGTTCTTGACTATAACTCCTCTCCCCATTCAAATCCTCATCAAATTTCGCCCGACCAGGCTTATTGTCCTTATCATAACCACCATCAACACGCCTCTCCTCAGGTGACGACCCGGAATCACCAGAGCCAAACTTCTCACAAGCGGCCAAAAGTTCATCAACAGCTAAATCACGATTGAGCCGTTGCGCAATTTTGATAAATTTCAATGCGCGTTCTTTTTCTTCAGAAACAATCGCTTCTTTAGCAATACGAATACATCTCAACGCCTCGTCTTTGTTACTATCCATAACGAATACTCAACACTCACACATTCAAAATCAAATCACTCAACTCGACGGTTTCAATTTTCATTCTGTAAATTCGACATTACCTAAATCCAACAAAAATTTAAAATAATTAAATAATAAAACAGAAATTAGTATATAATCCTAAAATTCTAACACGTAATTATAAAAATAAAGTAGATCAGGAAACAAAGATAAAGATCATCCAAGAACAGAATAGAAAATTACCTGATACAGAGATCCAAGCCTCGTAACAGCGAGAGGATTCAGGAAGGCGTAGCCAAAAGAAAAGTATCGATTTATATATTTATTTATTTAAGGGAAAGCCACGTCGGATAGTTGGTCAGACTCACCAATAGGAGTCTGCCACGTAAGAGTGTATCTGTTTCATGATTTTATTCATTATTTAGACCAAAAGGAGAACCCAAGAGGGCCAAGACATTTGCTAAAATTAATAAACAATTATAATTCGATTTCTGAAAACAAGTTATAGCATATTTCATATTTGTGAAGCTGGATAATAAAATAAAATAGAATGGAATTATAATTTTTTCTTCTATATTTGTGTAATGTTATACATAACGGAGAGTTGGAAGCCTGTTTTAGAGCTAAAAACAGAACCCGGATGAATAAATGTATTTCTAAAGACATCAGTTTTCTTCATCTGAATCAAAAGTTTTTCTACTTCTCAAAGACTCTAATACATGTAAAGGCCTGTCATGTCGAGCTGTGGTTCCTCCCTGTCCCTGGGCAGTCTTGAGTTTAGGCACACTCATTGCACTGAGTGGTGGTGTTTGAGTGTTAACTTCCTTGAGCACAGACCGAGCGGTGGCTGCAGCTGCCGCATCTGCCATTGCTGAAGCCACTCTAGAGTCAGTTTGCAATTTTGTAGCCAAATTACTACGCCTCTTTGAGAGGGCAGGTGACGTGGCAACAGCTGCAGCAGCCTTGGCTGATTCATACTTTTGCATATCATAAATGAGTTCTTTCTGGAGCTGCCGATCAGCAACCAGTATGTCATCAATCTCGTTTTTATAGTCCTTGAGGAGAATTCTAAGGCATTCCATTAGTGAGCCTGTGAGGGGGCTGTTCTTGCTCTCTAGTAGCCTTTTAAGTTCTATGAAAATGGGGATGGTGTTTTGGATGAGCCCTTTTCTCACTGCTTGTGTTATGGCTCTTCCTTTAGCAGCAGCTGAAGATGCTCCCGTATCTCCGGCTTCTTCCTCTATTTCTCCAGCTTCCGATGCTGACCTGCGTGTGGGAGTAATTCGAATCTCTTTGCAGGCAAGAATTTGGAAAGCATCCTGCTCCACAATGTAAACATTGAATATTTATTTACATTCTTGTTTGTTAAATGAATGTGTATATACTCAAGTTTACAGAATATGCTTTAGGATTGTACCTGAAGAACAGACTGTCCAGTGGCATCTTCTGTGTTGAGCATGCCATCCGAAGCAGCTGCAAGAATCTCAGCACATAACTTTGCAAAGGTGGCTAAAAGGTGCTCTGGAGCCATTTGCTTAAGCAAAGAAACATAGATATGCATTCTTTTAGACCTGGACCTTTCATCATTTCCTCTGAAAAGGGAAAATATATTCAAGGTGATAAATCAGCATTTTTTAGTTACAAATCTCTTCTTGTTGCTGAGTATGAACACATGTACCTGATGGAAAATAATCGGCGCTCTGTTTGTGAACCCTTGGAGTCATTGAGACCATTATGGACGTGGCAATCATTTAGGACAAATATAGCCTCCACAAAACTGTTGTAAGCTAGAAGTGGAGCCTTGGCTGCCATGATGTTATAACAATGATCAAAGCCCCCCCAAAAAAGAAAAATAAACAAACAAATCACTGACTTCTGTGTAAAGTAACATCTGATAAGTTGAGGAATCAGTGTAACCTTTTAAAATATTCCCAAAAAGAAAATCAGCAAGTTGTCTAATCTTTTCTGATTCATCAACCAGAGACAGAAGAAATCGATGGAAGAGCACGCCTCTCCACTTCACGTAGTCCCTCTGAATGTATGAATAGAAATAGTAATCAACAGAATCTGTATGCCTTCTTACAATTAACCTTCAAAATGGAAGTGACATGTGACACTCAGACAACAAATTTACCTGTAATAATCTTGACAGTAGTATAAATGTCTGCCTTCTTACAAGTTCACATGGATCCCGGAGACACATAGTAATCTTTGCTATATAACTGTCAAATTCAAGAATCATTAATCAGACGGCAAAGAATTATTCAACACTAGCATTTTCTTCCAGAAATGTCAGTATCTTCTCAATAGATTAAATGATGAGTACAGTTATTTCAATTAAGTTTCTACAGGCCTCACCAATCAACCAAAGCAGTATAACGAACACAAAAATCTGCCATCATTACTACAATATTGTTGCGAAGGGCCACACAATCACTTTTTTCAAGCTCCTGTAACAACACAGACGCCGTAAGCATTTTGAATTCAAAATGTTAGGACAGAAAAAATCTAGGTGCTAGAAATCATGATATGATCAGGCAGGAATAGTTCAAATGGAAATAGGGGATGTTGGAGGAGAAGGGTTGCATTTTGCAGAACTATAGAAAGAGCATTGTTAGGATGTCTCAGGAATCTTACAAGAGACTCAAGTTAGATACTCCTTCACAATTCTTTTTGCAAATAAGTTGGGTCAGTTATGCATGAAATAAAAATTAGTATGAAGTGAGATAGTTTACGAGAATAGGCAATCCTGTCACTGTGATAATATATAAGATAAAGAGTGCCGCAGAAGTGTTTTGTGTAATTCCTGGTTTTAGAAACTCAGAGGCCAATGTTGATCAGTTAAGAGTCATCTAAGAGTACAAGACCAATGTGAAGATAAGATGATGATCAAACCTGCACAAACAGTGGAATATAACTCTTTGCAAGTTTGCCATCCGCAAGGCACAGCTTCCCCATTGTCAACCATGCTTGAATATACAATGAAGGAGCTATCTGCTTTGTAGAGACTGATGAGCCTGGTAATTTATTCAATTTTGGACCAGAATTCCCTGAAGTAATGATGGCGTATAATAGAGGAACAATAGAGCTCATATCAGCAGTGGGACAGACTATAACCAAGGACCCAATAGTATAAACTGCAGTGACTGCTTCTGACAATGATATGGACATGGCCACTGCTTTCTTGCCCTTTCTACTATGTTTGGGGGGAGTAAAGAAACTGCTATTTTTATTTTCTTCTGAATTCTCTGAAATGTATTTTTCTAAAATTTGTGAAGCTTTGGAGAGAAGTTGGCGCACCCATTTCAAGACAAGCATGTCAGACTCTTCAGCATTAGAAGCCTTCCGTTTACACAATGTTCTAAGAGCTTTTACGTGAGCATTAACCTGCCATTAAAATTCTAATTAAACAAAATGCAAATAGACAAACTAAAATAAGGAAAAACACAATACATTTCAAATGGGCAAGCAATGCATATTGCTTCTGGTGCTTTAGCTCTTTCTAGGACCACAGTTTCACCGCACATGACCTCTATAACAATTTAGATACCCTGTATTTGAACACATGTGAATGCTTTTTATCTTAATTATGACTGGTGAAGACATTTTCAAAAAATTAGTTCCTTGGGAATAAGCTATACAGTTCAAACAAGTCACCTACAACATGAACTGAAGTTTTCATCACATTGTTTTCTTTAATACCCTGGTCAAATCTCCAAATGGTAAGTACCTCTGTTGAGTGCATGTTGAATCCTTCAATCCGCTTAAGTAAGTTATGAGCTAAATCTGCAGCAGGTTCTGGAGGCAGCTCCACAGAAACATTAGAGATTGTTTGAAGGAGGGAAACACGATCACCAGCCCATGAAACAGAATTGGATACTATTCCCTCTTCATCTTCTTGCTCATCTCTTAGCATAAGTGGGCTTTTAAATTCATCTCCTGCTTCATACTTGTCAAGAAGCTGCCAATGGTGATGAAGGAACTCCCAGTCCACTGCTTTTGGAAGGTATGCTGATACCTCTGATAGAAGAAGCCAAGCACCAGGTGGGGCTGTCCACTTCTCAATTGGCATGGAATGGCTCAACCAGACAGATTCAGATGATCTTATAATGTTCTGAAGGGCTATGGCAATTTTGGGCTTCAGTCTTTTCTTCTTTCCCAGGCTGGTGCAGATTTTCTTCACCCAAGGTGTCACCTCCCCGTTACAGATCTCTTTCAAAAGACCCAAGGCCCCCTCAGGAAATAACAGCTCAATCTCCCTTTCTATACTTTTTTCCTTCACATTTGAGTCATGGAGAGTGGAACCAGAAGATCCAGCTCTAGATACTCGATCCAAGACCAGTTCCAGGAACAACTTCTCACATTCTTCTTGAATGCTAGTTTCATTGTCAGTTATTAAACGCGGAACAGAATGTAGCCACTCAGCAGTCACACTTTCATCTGAAAATGTTCTGAAAGCCTACATAATGAAGGTAGATCTAACATCAGATTCAGTAATGCACGAAGTGAAATTTATCGGAGAATAGTAGAAAGAAGCATATTTTAGCTATCTATGCATCTAAACAGTCTCATAGAATCAAATGACACTTCAATTTGATCTCCTAAGTCTCCAAATTAGAATAAACGACTTATAGAATAACATAAACTTATGTAAATGGAAAGCATAAGGAAGATTTTAAAGGCATCAGAAACTAATTGAACATCATATACTATTGATATCAAGCAACAAAGTCAAACTAAGAAACTTCATATGAAACAAAAAAGTAAACTAACCTCCGAAATAGCTGAAATTGCTGCTTTCCTGATGCTAACAAGAGGATCAGAACAAGACATGCCCAGCGTCTTGAGCAAAATTCCATCTACTGAACCACCAAAAAGACCTGTCAACTTGGTAACTAGCAGAAGTGCAGCCTTTCTAACGGCGGCCTTTTCATCCATACATCTTTTCCTTAAAAGGCTATTCATTTCACCTTCTCGAAACCCCATTACTTTCTTCAAAACCTCCTTATTTTTTTCATTACTAATAAAATCCCCCACCAACTGAGCCAAATTTGACAAAGCTCGAGCTCGTATTGCAGCACTAGAATCTGAACAACGCCGAATCAAAGCCTCCAAACAACTCAAACCCCAAGAATCTTCAACTGCACCATCCAAATCCACGCTTAACGGATCTCTCAACGACATCATTAATATCAATATAAGATCAACTGCTATCAATCTAAGATTATCCTTCCCTTGACTCATCTTCACTGTATATTCAACAAACGCAACTTGATCCTCAAACTCCATTGCTTTAACAATCTCTATTATCGCCTCCACAGCTAATCCCCTCGGCTCAGCCTTCTCCGGCGCTTTGTTTGCCAAGTACTTTGGCAAATTCAGTACTGCTTTTTTCACCCCCTCACTCTCTTTAGCCGCAGCCATCATTTTACCCCTCAAAAACCCCAATGCAAAAGTCCTCGCTTGAGATTTACCCATTAAAATCAACGATGTCAACGACTTCAACACCTCCGCAGCTGTTCTTGCCACATCACCGTGTTCACTTCTCAGCAACCTACTCAAAATCCTGGAACACAAATCAGTCAATCCATTATAACCACCCAATTCAAGCGACAGAACCGGAATTTCAGCAACCATTTGTATCAAAGATTTCAAACTGTCAGAAAATCGGTTCAAATAAATTAAACTCATAGCAGATTCCAACTTCTCGAGTACTATAAACAATGTCCTTCCATCATATTCGCTATCGTCCTGGTTAAATTCATCCGAACTTCTCGTTATATTCTTCGACGCCCGGGTCCTCCCACCACTCTTTCTCTTTCGAGTAACTGTCACCTGGGGCCCACCATTTGACGCGGGTTGTGGATGCTTGAGAGAGCGGCGGATGGAGCGGAGGAGAGAGAGAAATGCCATGGGCGTGAAGAGCGTGAAAACAGGGGAGTTTGGAGAGAGAAGCAGAGAAAGGTAAACTTTGGAACCCAAGAGGGACAGGTTGGTGGGACCCCCGTCCATGACGGATGAAATCGGATTGATGAGGGAGGACACGGAGAGGTTTCTGGAAGGAAGTTGGTCGAAAAATCGGAAGATGAGGTCGGGGTCATTTGTGTTTAACAGAGATTGGAGATCGAGGAGAGTGGAATGAGAGATGGGACTGGTTGGGTTTTGATTTAGGGTTTCTTCGAGGTCAGTGATGATTCTTGATATCGTTGCATCTTCTTCTTCTTCCATGGCTATCGTTTGAGATTGGGAATTGTCTGATTCTGAGGTTTTGACTTCTTTACGGTTAAAACTTAAAATGCTTTGAATTTTTGGGTGTCCCGCTTAAACCCAAAAAAAAAAAAAAAAAACGAAAAAGTAATGAATTACCTAAAATGACCTCCTAATTAAAACTACTCTTTTATCTTGAAAGGTAACATGTTAAATGACAAATATTTTTTAAATACTGTATTAATGCAATTTCTTTATAAAATATTAAATATATGTCCTTAAAAGCACATATTATGATATTAACAATAAGCCCCTACGAGCTCACTGGCAAGTGCTGCATATTCTTTTCACACCTGTGAAACTAAAAATGATGAAGAAGAAGAATGTTGAGTTTCCTGTATCGGCGGAGATCAGCACAGAATAGGCAGGTAACAAGTAAATCCAATATCCCACTAGAAATAATTATTTTTGCAAGCTTAAAAAAGGACCATCCATAAACCAAACAAATCCCAAAAGAGGTAGTCTACAGTATTCTGTGGCAAAAAAAGTTACAGGGCTAAAACATCATAAGCAAACTAGCAGTTGTAACAGTTTTAATAATTATTCAAAACATTCTACCTGCAGTTACAGTTTTTGGAAGAGAAAGAGTTTTATTTTCTGTGACATCTTAGATGCCTGATAATGTCACAGAATGTTCAGCCAGCTTCATTTGGTGCCATGCCAGGCACTTACTCTTGTGGTGCTCAGTAAAAATCCATATCTTCTGGAAAATACTCGTAAGGTGGAGCATGAACTTGTTCCTCGACATGGTGATGAACAAGAAACGGTGGCTCTGGGTAGTTCTGATAGATAGCATGTTGGTGTGGTAATGGTATCTGTGCTTCAGGAAGCCAGCCATGAAAAACGTTGGGTTGCCTCCTGTCCGACAACATAAAACCAGGAATTACGGGTGATAACATACAATGTACCAAAATTTCATATGTGGGTGCAGTTCTGGTTGGGCATGAACAACAACTCAAGAGTCAACAAAACAAGAAGCATCAAGCCTATGAAGATGAGGTGCATGCTCCACATCTTTGGAGCACATGATGTAACACTAAAAAGGAAAAGTAAATTGCATACTTTAATAACCTGTTTGTGGACATCTAATGAGATTAAGAAAGACTACTAATCTGAACAACATTGAACGCGTTAAAAAACCTGTGCAAGTAACTATTGAAGCAGTCAAAGTTTCTTCGGTTAACTTTTTGCATTAAAATCACGGCAAAATAGTGTTCATGATGCAAAGAGTTCTCCATGCCACGTCAGAATTCAGTGGCTCTGAGAGATCAATATTAGAAAATTTCAGGGTACCAATTAAATTTATTAGGCAGGTAGACTGAAGCTACTGGAGCTTACCCTTGCTCAAGAATAACATCATAAGCACCCAACCCCACATTTGGCAGACCGGCACCAGAATAACCCTGAGGAGCTCCCTGGATTCCAGATGAAACAAAAGTCCGATTGACACCAATAACATGGTTGCATGTAGGAGCAATTGTAGCAGGAGGCACCTGATTGGTACGATGAATGAAAATTTGGGAAGTAGATATCTCAGTGATCACGGGTGGTCCATGATGGTGATGATCACCTGGGAAAATGGCTGGTATTTCAATTTCAGCTATATCCAAATCAGCACCTACATAAAGAGTTCACTAAATTAATTCATAACAACGATCCAATTTCATGATCAGCAAATCCCAAAAACTTACTCTCCACAACTGGTGGCTCTGCAATCCTGCAAAATTCAAAAAATCAAGTGAGACAAAGAAGCTATAGCCCCCATAACTTATGAGGTCCATGTGTACCATTTTCAACATGGGAAGAGTGTGGTTGGCAGTTCAATTTTTACCAAAGGCTGGAAAAAGAAAATGCAAGATTAAGGAAAGTAGTAATAAAGTTAACAAATCATTCCTCAATTTGCTATATCACCATAAAGATGCTTTTAACTAAATTTTTAAGACAAATAGAAAGGCATCCTCAACAAGTTTTGTTAGTTGGCATAATAAATGCAGTATACCTAAAAAAAAAAAAAGAAAGAAGAAGAAGAAGAGTTTCATATGAAGTATTTTGGGGGTACTAAATAACTTTTTGCAGAAAATTATCTAGATACAGTACACCAATTCAGAACACTAAATAAAAACATCATAATCTCTGTAAAACAGAGTAAAAATACTTCAGGTAAATGAATTCTTTCTTCATGAGCAGAACATCAGACTTTGTATATGAATCTTCAAATTTCAATAGGCAAAGTGAATTCTTTATAATACAATCATCCACGTCTATTCCTTGGACTTGCATCCAGATGTGAAAATGAGCACTAAGCATATGCAGAGAAAGTGTAGCAGTGAACATGTTTTCATATGTCAAAAACAAGTATGTTAGCTATTACAGAGCGATGCAGCATTCAGAAACATATAGAACATTTCTTTAATCATGAAATATTGTTAAAACTTAACTATCAGCATTGAAAAATTTAATGTATATAACCAAAAATCCTACATATGGGAAATCATGCTTACTCACCGTCCATGAATGGGGCACCAGCGATCTCCAAGATATTGCTGAAACATCCATAAACATAGTAACAATGTAAGAGAAAAGCATCAAACACCAATTATCAATTAATATGACATGACATCTATTCAAAGGACAAGAATGAGATACACAAATTATTACAATCAAAAGCGAAGTGAAACTACTAAGCAACAAGAGGTCCAAGAACAACATTAAAGTACCAAACATTGCAAGAGATATCAGTCTTAAAGTTTTAAACACATTCACTATCAGTCAAATAGTGAAAACCAACAGCTACACATCAAATAGACACATTCACATAACAAGTGTGCCTGTGAACACGTTCGGACAAAGACCAGAAGCCAAGAAGAGAGTGGGGCAAAGAAAGATATCTGATATGTGGTTAGAGACAGCATGTTATATGTTTGCAAATGAGAAAAAAAAAAAAAAAAAAAAAAAAAAAAAACCCTTAAAGTGACCCGTGGTGGCATTGAAGTGTTTTAATACCTCTACAAGAATAAAGTAGATCTTCCAAGTCGCAATAATTGTATTAACTTCAAAGTTATAAACCTTGCTTTTGGGATATTAGCTAGGCACTGCTTTTTCATCTATTTAATTCTGCTTAAGGCATCCCTTATATAGGCAAAATGAATATGGCAATTACTCCAATTACTTATCCATCAAAGATTTTGTTCCAGCCTAGAATTCAAAACCTTAGCATCTACGGAAGGCATTTCACTTAGGGAAATGGCCCTCAGAGTAACTCCCTTGATAAGGCACAGGTCTTGGGAGAAAAGCAAGAAACTCATAAATTAAAGGCCTCTAAGCGTCTTGTTGTAGCAAATTTTTAGAACTATTTGATGAAAGGAACTTCCAGGAACATAGTCACATACTCCCACGGTGGTCATTTTCTTAAGTCTAATATTTAGCCAATTCACATGCAAGAAAGAACTACCAGGATCAATCAAATGGTTCAACGTATGACCTTTAAAGAAACTAGACTGAACATGATTGCATTCTTCCAGTTGTACTTCCCTCTAAGAAAAATAGAACTTCAAAAGGAATTATTGAATCTCATTTTAGACTTACCTACTTGAATCGTATATCTTAAATGCCTACCATGTAATATTCATTGTTAATGAACATTAAGGTTTAAGCAACTTTTCATTCAAGCACGTGAGCAACTAGATATGACCTAAAAGTAATATAGGTAAAGGTTGGTCATTGAGATAATAACTTCATCACCACAAGGCAAAAGACCGATCACCAGAATGTATATAATAACTTCATCACCACAAGGCAAAAGACCGATCACCAGAATGTATAAAATAACTTCATCACCACAAGGCAAAAGACCGATCACCAGAATGTATCTAAAAAACTGATCACCGGAATGTATATAATAACTTCATCACCACAAGGCAAAAAACCGATCACCGGAATGTATCTAAAAGAGATAAGGGTACGAATGAATAGAACTACGAGGTTCACTGGTTCGGAGAGACTATGGCGAACGAGGTTTGGGTAGAACTCACTCCCAAGCCCGCTCAAAAGAGAGGGGTGCCCAACCACATATATACACCATAACAGCTTAACAACTTAGCGATGTGGGACAAATTCAAATTTTAACAACCACCATCCTCCGAAAAATGCATAATAGATCATTAGTCTACCAAAGACAAATAACATTTAGTTGCCACTCAAAGCCTAACACAAATAAAAAACCCGAATTTTCTTTAAATGGCTACTTAGTGACAAAAGGCAATAAGGTTACAACTACAATTATGAGGTTCACCTAGAAGCAACCACCTTGAAAACATGTGTAATAGTTAATAGTTTACTTGCTACTCAACGTCCATAGTTCAAACACAACTTTACAAGAATGCAATAAGTACTTTGACTTTCAAGTTGAGCTTCCTATACTAGCTTATCGATATTAATGGTCAATTGTAAACAAAGAACTGAGAAGTTGCCTAGTTAGGTAAAAATACGGGTGGGAATTATGCTAAAACGAAGTCCCGTGTGTGTTAAAAGGATAAGTTAACAATTTTCAGTTGCCATTTTCCAATTATATTCTTCTTCCTTTTCTAACCAAGCCAAAATTAAATATCAAAGAAATCATAATGATGATGGAATTATTCTAAAAAGTAAAACTTATATTAATCCAATATTATCAATGGATAGCATTTTGGCAAAATTCTATCACGACTATAAGGATAAATGATAAAAGGAATTTCAAATTTAGCATGATCAAAATACTTGGGACTAAGAGTTGGTTGATTTATAGTTTTATGTACATAATGGATACTATTCATTGATTTTAGTTTTGACATTAAAGGTTTAAGCTTTCTCGCGCATACTTTTCTTAGAAATTGTAGGCCCAGAACAATTCATTTTCATGTTATAAACAATACTGTAATAGTATAATATAGAAGTAACGAGAAACAGGGCAAATTATGGCCTTATGGAAGTTTAGGTCTTGACAGTTATACAAGGCAATCGAAGATCCCAATAGAAGATAGCTTTCAAAAACCCGATGCCAATGCTTCGACTCAAATTTTGCAATGAACTCATTGGATGAATTACTACAAGAAAGAAAACCAATTGGACCGAAGATCCTAGAGACCGTTACAAATGGAATTTTTTCAACATCGATGATTGAAGCTCATATCAAGTTTGAGATTCTCGTTGAAACGAATACCCATTTCCATGAGCAACAACATCTCAAAAACATTGATGAAATCATCTCAAAATTTCTTGATTCCATCGCAACATGTGGTCATCATTTGCAGATTTATACTTTTTGAAACAAGTATGTACCATGCTTGAAGAGACTTCTTAAGCAATTGTGTATCCTTCGAGTCCTATGATAGGAGCTTGCAAAGTGAACCAAAATCTCCTAGGCAAGCAGGCTAACTTGACTAGTTGCTAGCTTTCCATAGTTCCTAGTAATCAACTACGAAGCATACATTTTCATTGTTGTATTCTCAACTACATAATTAATGACTTATATATGCTTCCATAGTCGAAATTTCAACCATATAAGAACATGGTTCTCATTATGAACTCCAAATACATGTGAGCTAGCCCCAGGGTGGGAAGCAAGAAAGCCACATATAGCCCTCGTGTCCAACATGCACAAAATGCATCCTTAGTTCTCCCTAATACAATTATAGTATAACACTCAATTATTTTAATAACATTTATACCAAGCTGGTATTAAAGGGAAAGCCTTGTAAATTAACTTATAATCCGTAAACTGTTTTTAAGGAAATTCCAACTAATGATTCATCAACTTGCAACAAACCATAATATCATCATGCTTCATTAGGCTATCCAAAAATTTGTTACTTTTAAAACACCTATTCTTGAGATAATTTTAAACAGCTACAAATCATTGGCATTCGTCTCTATAGAGAGAAATACCATAAAACTAATAAGTTGATGATAGATTTCTCAATCAATTTCTCAATCAACCTCTTGGCCTTGAAAAGGTAATCTTTCTTGTTGCTTAGTGAGAAGCTTCTGCTTGTCTTTTGTAAGCTACAAGAGTTCCAGTTATAATCTGGAAAATATATTATGTCATGAAGTTCATAACACAAGACAGTTTGATCAAGGACAACTTAGTATCTTTAGAGATTGGGTTTAATATTTGTATAGAATATTTCAACTATTTTCCTTTCGTACATGTTTTATCCATGTAAACCTTTGAGTTAATGCTTAAATGTAGTTCAACTTCAACCATCAAGGTATTTTGACACTACCAACATACTTATCAATTGATAAGATTTACTCTATCTAGTCCTTGACTTAGCTATGAAGCCAAAGAAGGAACTTTCCTTTTGGAATCAATCAAAGGGAACTTTCCTTTTGTAATCAATCAGTTGTTCAATTTAACACAGTGCCTTACTTTATGTGTGTGCAATGAACAAAACATAACTTTCCATCAATACACATATATCCAAGAATATCGAATGTTGTATCAGTTAAAGAAATAAATTTCAACTGATTTTGTTCCCTGTCACATCCTTTAAGCAATTTCTGAGAGAAGCATAAAATATAACATTTATGAAACCAAATAAGTTTTGCATACAAGTACTGCAATTGTCCTAACAGGATTATTGCATCCATTGTAGGAAAGTCAAGATAGAAAAACACTGAATGACAGAAACAATTTAAAATTTATGGGCAACACGATAATATATCGGGATTGTATAATAAACATAAATCAATGAGGCCCCTATTTTTACCGTTTGGACAACATGTTGCTGATCCTCGTCAGCCTCCTGATCCATGTCTTGTTCATTGTTCGTATTCTCAAAACGCCGCCATACACCATTTTCAATTTCTCGACAATTAGGGCATTGCATGATCCCCGATACATTAAATGCAGAACCAATGCAATCTGAAAATAAAGCAGAATATTAGTTATAAAACAACAATAAAGTTCAAGATAAAGGTCATAATAATCGATACCAAGAAGAAGACATACAACGGCCATCAAATTAACTGTATAACGAGCTTAACAAGTACAAAATATACAAGTGGTTTTGACTTCTAAGAGAAAATGAAACAACAGAGTATGTTAGCCCCCAAGTGCCCCAATAGTGGGCAAGGCTTAGCATACTAAGAAGCCAGAAGATAGAGTTTCAGCAATAGATTGTGTAAATACCCAATACGCTCTCACTGATGCAGATATATGAACACTACGACCCAAACAAAAACATGCACAAAAATTCATAAGATTTAATCTTTTTCTCCCCAATAATCCAAAAATCCTTTGGAACCCAATTATAACTCAGTTTGAAACTGATTCTCCCAAACACTTGTGGTTTTTCATCAAGCAGATGAGCCATGGCTCTTAGAAATGGCACCTGAACTTGTGGTGACAGACCACAGACACAGGCCTCACTCGTAACATTTGACAAAAGCATACCCATAAACTTTCATGTAATTATTAGCAAATTATAATTAAGACATGTCATTTTCATGCCATTACTTTGATTTCTCAAGAGGACGTCCCCAAATTAACCGTTGTTTGAATTCACCAATACAAACTTGCAGATAAATCCTCATATCAAGCATAATTTCAATGTACACGTAAACATCCATAACAATAAACAAAAATGCAAACTTCAAATTACTGACCGAGGTGGAACAAGTGAGAGCACTGGAGCCTGACAATGGAGCGACCACAGGTCTCAGATGCCTCATCCCAGCAAATTGAGCAGAGAACGGTAGAAGCTGAAGGTGCCTGAGCCATTTCTATTCAAAATTCTATTTCTTTTTCACTCTCAAACTGGGAATTGAAACTGCAGAAGAAGAGTTCAAACACAAGCACAGTAGTTTTATATAGAGGTCCTGAATCTTCATTGGCTCATTAAAGACCATAATCTAGTGCATGTATATTTGGGTTGGCACTTCTTCCATAACTGGCAAGCTCTTGATTGCTAGAAAGAAAACACCATTTATGGTCACTGAGTTAGTTTGGACACTTTACGCTCGGCCCCACCAGAGTACAAAATTTAACGCAATAATATCTAAACACGTGGCTAAGATACTTGTGTCCTGGTTTTTTATTGGAAGTTTTAAATTTATCATGAATTATGACTTTTGACTCTGGTGAGAACAAAAAGAATCACCCGCGTTTTGAAGGGTATAATAGTAATTAAAAGAAAGGACTCAATTAGTAACCATTAATTAAGGTTGAATGTAGGATTCTCTGGCTTTGTTGGTTCTCATTGGCTCTTCTTTTTATGGAAGGATGTAAGGTTGGATATACACAAAACCATTATTAGTCTTTTTGAAGTCAAATTTTTTTCTTTATAAGTTTCAACACCTTCCATCTATGAACAATGTTCAATGTCAAATTGTAAAAAATCGTCTCCTTTAAAACGTTAATATTACAAACAATGAAAAAATAATATTCACTTTATAAACTTTTGACTATGGATTCTTAATCCTATGAAACTGAGACTTGTATAATCAACAATGAATTTGGATGTATTGTGGAAATTGTTAAAAATGTGTTTGGGGTTGATGGTATCATACATATGGTATGTATGTATGATATGTTCTTAAAAATAAACTATATGGAAAGTAGGGTTTGCTTTTTAGACTTTATGCGAGTACATTTATTCAAAAGCATTATATTTTGATGAGAGGTGACATTATTTAATCAAAATATGTTTATTTCCATGTAATGTGACAAATTCTACATTTTGTGGACCTTTTGTCTGTTTTAGGAGATTGTCACATTGCATTATTAGGTTGCAAGTAAGTTCGTAACTAGGATTTCTAGTCGGTTGGGTCAAAAAATCTAGGTCGATAAATTTATAATAAAAAATATTCTGAAGTAATAAGTATAGAAAACTGTAATTTAAAAACGTAACTTTAAAACTTATACATATTAAATTATCAATTTTATACTTGTCATTTTTCATATTTTGAAAACGTTGTAATCAAATATGAGTAATTTTCTTGATTGATTAGAAAGTATGAGAGAATATAAGAGGAACTGAGGAAGAAATAAAAAAATATGGGTATTTTTTAATTTTGAGATTAATAAAATATGAAAATATTTTATTAGAGTCAATAAAATATGAGTAATTTTAGTAGGGTCAAAATTATTAATTATTATAAATATATATATTAAATAATTTTAGAATTTCCGTAGGGTCAAGTAACCCCACTAAACGCCCTTATTGCAAGTTGATGACATCCTTGAGTCTAACTTGCACAAATCTACTTTCTGGCACGTAAGCATATCATTCACTCAAAATCCATCAAGTTAGTTTAGAAACATTGGCACTTTATTTACATTTAAACTTTATATAATAATAAATTCTACGTAATCATAAAAAAAAAAATATATATTCTCAATTTATGATGGTTATAAATAAGAATAAACTTCATATTGTAACAAGTTGTAATTTTTCAAATTCCCGTCTTAAGGAAAGTTGTCTCTACATAGTAATAATTATTTGTATACTACAAAAAATACATGATATGGTATATTAAAGGTTTAAGATTAAATAAAATATTTATCTAAAGTTATTTGAAACAATGATTTATACTTTAGAGTTGTTACCAGTACCATATCTTTACGGGTACATTACTCGTTGGTATGAATATTTATAGCTTCTCAAGTATGTTTAGAGCTTATTGGCGCAAAATTTTTTGTATTTCCATACTATTATCCTCATGATTATTTTTTTTTTTCTCATATTATCATCCTCATGATTATTTCCTTTATTTTTTTTTTTTGTCTAATTGTAGCAATGGTTTCTTCTTCAATTAAAGCCATATGATTTGTTGCTCATTTGGATGATTGAAGAAGACATTAATATTTATTCGATTAGTGTAGTGAAGTTGTCAAATCTGATAACTCAATTATACAATAACTCTTTGATTTTCCTCATCTACTTTATTTTTAATTTTCAATTTATCGATATCAGGGGTTCTAATTTTGCAATGCTTAAAACAACTGATAATTGTCTGTGGTTTCACATCAATTGACCATGCAACAACTGCATTTACAATTCCATCAAAGACACTTATCATTGTTGGTTCCAATACATTATCTTCTATCCGTTTCAAAAGTAGGCAATTGAAACACTAATACTATTAAAACATGAACTGAAATCCTAATATTGTATTACAAGAACATGAATTATGGAATAAAGAATTTTTGTAACTACACATCTGTTATGTTATAACTTCTTCATAGTAATAAAATTAGTTAGTCCCACCATTGTGACTATAGAGAGGTTTTACTGTATATGTTAATGCAAACGTATGGTAACACATTGTTTGGAATATGAATTTGAGATAAATTTTAGGAAGAGTGATATTATTAAAATTAAATTAATTAAAAAATATAAAAAGAAGAGTAAGTTCTATTAGAACTTTAGAAGGGGTTTTTCTTTCAATTTAGTTGGGGCTAAATAGTATCGCAAGTCCATTAAGCAACAAGACAACAAAAACAGAAACAATCAAAGCCCATCATAATTCAAGCCTACCTATCGGCCCCAACCCTTTCTCTAACCCAAAAGAAAGTAGAAACTGGACGCATCAGGAATTTAAGAAAAAGACGTGTCCTGATTCCGTAATTTATAAGTTGCGTGATTTTTCCCGATTCTTAGCACAAACCCTCGCCTATATAAACCCGCTGTCCTCTCCTGCGCAAACCCTCTCGCTCTCTCACCGCTGCGTCTCTCTCTCGGCTGCTGCTCCGTTGATTTATTTGCTTGTTCGATCTCGGAGAGAGAGACTGCAATCATGTTGGTCTATCAGGATCTTCTCACTGGTAATTTTTTTAATGTCTTTTTTATTTTCTGCTTTTTTTCTGAATTTTGTTAATTTTGACATATTTGACTTTGATTATTGTTCGATAGTTTTTTTTTTTTTTTTTTTCCAATCTTGTGGCTTTAGTATTTCGATTAGATCTGTAGTAATTCTGTTAAGTTCAATACTGTTCGGATCTAGAGAGCTTCGGAAATTTTCAATCCATGTGTTGTTGAGCCTTCGATTCAACCAGTTAATTGGTTTAGTAATTTAATAAGAAAAGATCTATTTGTTAAAGTTGCTGTGTTATGTATTTATGTGTTGATAGCAGTGTGCTTGAATCATACATAGTGGAGTTACTAAAGCATCGCATAGAAAAACGATTTTGGTTACTATTTGGGTTTGGGTTTGGATTTTTATTTTATTTGAATAGAAAGCTATGACTTTGATCTAATTGTTGAATGCCTAAATAATATGTTCTTTAGGCGACGAGCTCCTCTCCGACTCCTTTCCATACAAGGAACTCCATAATGGCGTGCTTTGGGAAGTTGAGGGAAAGGTTAGTTTCTCTTTGATTTAGCTTTACAATGCTCTTTTAATTTGAACATTTGAGTTTCCTGCTACCCATCGCATCCTTTAAATAGTGTAATTAAGTAGTTATTTGTATTGATTGTGTTTTTTATAGTGGGTTGTTCAAGGAGCAGTTGATGTAGACATTGGTGCCAATCCTTCTGCTGAAGGTGGTGAAGACGAGGGTGTTGATGACCAAGCTGTTAAGGTGGTTGACATTGTTGACACATTCAGGCTCCAGGTTAGTTTCCATTTAATGGTTACATTGAGGTTTTATTTATTTTTGGAGTTTTCAGACCGAAAATGACATGTACTCTGTTGCTTGCAGGAGCAACCTGCTTTTGATAAGAAGCAATTTGTCACTTACATGAAGAGGTACATCAAGTTGTTGACACCCAAGTTGGAAGGGGAGAAGCAGGAGGAGTTCAAGAAAAACATTGAGGGAGCAACCAAGTTCTTGCTCTCGAAGCTCAGTGACCTTCAATTGTAAGTATCATTTTGTCTGTATGTTTATCTGAGTTAAATCTTATTCTGTTTTCACCTAGGCTTAAATGTTTTCTTGTCTGATAATTACAGCTTTGTTGGCGAGAGCATGCATGATGATGCTTCCTTGGTGTTTGCCTACTACAAGGAAGGTGCCACTGACCCAACGTTCTTGTATTTTGCTCATGGTTTGAAGGAGGTGAAGTGCTAAAAGGTGGGCCAGCTGGCTTCAAAGATGAAGTGCGTGCTGTAGTTTAGTTTTATTTATTGCCTGTCCTTTCTCTAGTGTATCTCTCTAATGGTTAGACTTGAGGTATTGGGTTTGCTATTCTGGGTTAATTGTGGATTTCGGTTTACAACATACCCTATTTCTATATGTTGTGTTTTATGTTTTGTTTGAGTTGGCAAATAAGTTATGTGTCTTGAACTTTCTTCAATTTTGCAAATATCAGTTTATGATTTTTGTTAATTCAAGTACAATCCAGTTACGAGTTCTAACTAGGTATATTTTTGTCAATTGGTCTTGAACAGAGGATCTATCAAAATATTTACTCATAGACTCTCCCAGAAACACTTGTTCTGGAGGTAATTAACTTTCTTTCAGGCACAATAGGCCGTTGGCTCGTTGGGTTCCCCTTTTTGTGGCAACCAGTGCCCAATAGGGAAACCTTTTGTTCTATTTCTACAAAGCTTACTATATTAAGGATTATCCTAGAAGCATATTAGTGCATGATTGTGCGATATAAGCCATATATATATAATAATTTTAGAATTTCCGTGGGGTCAAATAACCCCAATGAACGCCCTTAGTGCAAGTTTACGACAACCTTGGAGTTTAACTTGCACAAATCTACTTCAGGCTTCACGTAAGCATATCATTCACTCAAAATCCATCAAGTTAGTTTAGGAAATCTAACACATTGTCCCTTTATTTACATATACAGCAAAGTCGTTCTATAGTGAATTCTATATAGTAATAAACTCTACATAGTAAAAAAAAAAATATATATTCCCAATTTGAAATAGTTATAAATAAGAATAAATTTCACATTATGATAAATTATAATTTTTTAAATTCCTGTCTTAAGGAAAATTGTCTTCATATAGTAATAATTATTTGTATATTATAAAAAAATACATGTTATGGTATATTAAATGTTGAAGATGAAATAAAATATTTATCTAAAGTTATTTGGAACAGTGATTTATACTTTACAGTTGTTACCGGTACCACATCTTTTAACTTACAGGTACATTACTCGTTAGCATGAACATCTTCTTGTTGATGTACCCGTTAGCATGAACATCTTCTTGTTGAAGCCAAAATATTTATAGCTTCTCAAACATGTTTAAAGCTTTTTGATACAAAACTTTTTGTATTTTCATACTATCATCCTCATGATTATTTCCTTTATTTTTATTTTTTGTTTAATTATAGCAATAATTTCTTCTTTAATTAAAGTTATATGACTTGTTGCTCATTTTGATGATTGGGGAAGACATTAATATTCATTCGATTAGTGTAGTGAAGTTGTCAAATCTGATCACTCAATTCTACAATGGCTCTTTGATTCTCCTGATCCACTTTATTTGTAATTTGCAATTCATCGATATCGGAGGTCATAATTTTGCAATGCTCAAAACAACTGGTAATTGTTTGTGGTTTCACATCAATTGACTATGTAACAACTGTATTTACAATTTCATCAGAGACACTTATCTTTGTTGGTTCCAATACATTATCTTCTGTCTGTTTCAAAAGTAGGCAATTGAAACACTAAATTGAAACCCTAATACTATTAAAACATGAACTGAAATCCTAATATTGTATTACTAAAACATGAATTATGGAATAAAGAATTTTTGTAACTACACATCTATTATGTTATAACTTCTTCATAGTAATAAAATTAGTTAGCCCCACTATTATGACTATAGAGAGATTTTACTGTATATGTTAATGCAAACATATGGTAACACATTGTTTGGAATATGAATTTGAGATAAATTTTAGGAAGAGTGATATTATTAAAATTAAATTAATTTAAAAAAAGAAGAGTAAGTTCTATTAGAACTTTAGAAGGGGTTTTTCTTTTCATTTTAGTTGGGGCTAAATAGTATCGCAAGTCCATTAAGCAACAAGACAACAAAAACAGAAACAATCAAAGCCCATCATAATTCAAGCCTACCTATCAGCCCCAACCCTTTCTCTAACCCAAAAGAAAGTAGAAACTGGACGCATCAGGAATTTAAGAAAAAGACGTGTCCTGATTCCGTAATTTATAAGTTGCGTGATTTTTCCCGATTCTTAGCACAAACCCTCGCCTATATAAACCCGCTGTCCTCTCCTGCGCAAACCCTCTCGCTCTCTCACCGCTGCGTCTCTCTCTCGGCTGCTGCTCCGTTGATTTATTTGCTTGTTCGATCTCGGAGAGAGAGACTGCAATCATGTTGGTCTATCAGGATCTTCTCACTGGTAATTTTTTTAATGTCTTTTTTATTTTCTGCTTTTTTTCTGAATTTTGTTAATTTTGACATATTTGACTTTGATTATTGTTCGATAGTTTTTTTTTTTTTTTTTTTCCAATCTTGTGGCTTTAGTATTTCGATTAGATCTGTAGTAATTCTGTTAAGTTCAATACTGTTCGGATCTAGAGAGCTTCGGAAATTTTCAATCCATGTGTTGTTGAGCCTTCGATTCAACCAGTTAATTGGTTTAGTAATTTAATAAGAAAAGATCTATTTGTTAAAGTTGCTGTGTTATGTATTTATGTGTTGATAGCAGTGTGCTTGAATCATACATAGTGGAGTTACTAAAGCATCGCATAGAAAAACGATTTTGGTTACTATTTGGGTTTGGGTTTGGATTTTTATTTTATTTGAATAGAAAGCTATGACTTTGATCTAATTGTTGAATGCCTAAATAATATGTTCTTTAGGCGACGAGCTCCTCTCCGACTCCTTTCCATACAAGGAACTCCATAATGGCGTGCTTTGGGAAGTTGAGGGAAAGGTTAGTTTCTCTTTGATTTAGCTTTACAATGCTCTTTTAATTTGAACATTTGAGTTTCCTGCTACCCATCGCATCCTTTAAAAAGTGTAATTAAGTAGTTATTTGTATTGATTGTGTTTTTTATAGTGGGTTGTTCAAGGAGCAGTTGATGTAGACATTGGTGCCAATCCTTCTGCTGAAGGTGGTGAAGACGAGGGTGTTGATGACCAAGCTGTTAAGGTGGTTGACATTGTTGACACATTCAGGCTCCAGGTTAGTTTCCATTTAATGGTTACATTGAGGTTTTATTTATTTTTGGAGTTTTCAGACCGAAAATGACATGTACTCTGTTGCTTGCAGGAGCAACCTGCTTTTGATAAGAAGCAATTTGTCACTTACATGAAGAGGTACATCAAGTTGTTGACACCCAAGTTGGAAGGGGAGAAGCAGGAGGAGTTCAAGAAAAACATTGAGGGAGCAACCAAGTTCTTGCTCTCGAAGCTCAGTGACCTTCAATTGTAAGTATCATTTTGTCTGTATGTTTATCTGAGTTAAATCTTATTCTGTTTTCACCTAGGCTTAAATGTTTTCTTGTCTGATAATTACAGCTTTGTTGGCGAGAGCATGCATGATGATGCTTCCTTGGTGTTTGCCTACTACAAGGAAGGTGCCAGTGACCCAACATTCTTGTATTTTGCCCATGGTTTGAAGGAGGTGAAGTGCTAAAAGGTGGGCCAGCTGGCTTCAAAGATGAAGTGCGTGCTGTAGTTTAGTTTTATTTATTGCCTGCCCTTTCTCTAGTGTATCTCTCTAATGGTTAGACTTGAGGTATTGGGTCTGCTATTCTGGGTTAATTGTGGATTTCGGTTTACAACATACCCTATTTCTATATGTTGTGTTTTATGCTTTGTTTGAGTTGGCAAATAAGTTATGTGTCTTGAACTTTCTTCAATTTTGCAAATATCAGTTTATGATTTTTGTTAATTCAAGTACAATCCAGTTGGACCAGTTACGAGTTCTAACTGGGTATATTTTTGTGAATTGGTATTGAACAGAGGATCTATCAGAGTATTTACTTATAAACGCTCCCAGAAACACTTGTCCTGGAGGTAATTAACTTTCTTGCAGGCACCCATAGCCGTTGGCTCGTTGGGTCCCCTTTTGGTGACTGCCACTCTGCCAGTGCCGATTGGGGAAACCTTTTGTTCTATTTCTACGAAGCTTACTATATTAAGGACGATCCTAGAAGCATATGAGTGCATCTGTGCATGATTGTGCGATATAAGCCAGTGTTGTCGTGTTATTAATATTTGGAAAAGGTGAAAATAAATAATGAACTCTACAATTGAACGATCCCTAGTACATGGAATGGAGCTAAATAACGTTGAATTAAAAAGAAATAAAAAGCAATTCATTGACTTTATTCATGAGTAACAAAGTAAACAGATTGGTTTCAGTTTAGGACTTGGGTCTTGGGCTTCTTCACAATCATTATAGAGCAGCTACAATGGTGAGCACAGTAATCACTGACGCTGCCCAGAACAACCCTGCGAGTAGTTAACGGACATAAAACAAACGAAAATAACAATACCTATGCAGAATCTAAACCCATTTTGTACCTTTTGACAGCGCCATAGCCGTGACTTCCAAGTACCAAAATGTCTGCGTGGTGTTTATCTACGGCTTCAGTGATAACATCTCTAGGATCACCTTCCACTGATTCCACTGGCACATTATGCACCTGACATCAATATGTATTTAATAATTAAATTAATAATCAACTATCTGGCCCATTTTAAGGCAGTGCATTCTTAGAAACCCATCTTCTCCATAAAATTTACACCTAGATATGCATTCACTGATACCAAATATGAAGTACTGATAGCTCCGAAGAAAAAAGGGTTGCAGTGCCACCCCGACGAAAAATACCAGACTGTGTAGTTTGAACTGAACTCATATGCTGGAATCAATTAAGATCTTATGGCATATTTCACAATTTGAGGGGAAAAAAAAAGTTTTGGATCTGCAATTTTTACGAGTGAATCTCACCGATTTCTTGCTGCATGTATCCTTGACCTTTTCAATGATCTTTTGTGCCGCTTTCTTCGAATCAAAATCCATCAGTGATATAACATCAGTAGACGCTGCATGTTGCTCGAAAATCAGAATTTACTACATGGTACGTGATGTTGTGAAATTTTTTGCATGCAAGCAACTTCGTTGAGTCTAAAGACAAAATGAAAAAGGTTTGTGCAGAAGAATAAGAAGCTAAAAACTGATACGAAGATGGATCTGATTATTACTGGTTCCGGGTCCTCCGAATCCAAAAAAAGTAGTTGGAGTGGGTCGAGCATGAATGACCATGAGCCTGAAGAGATGATTGGAACCAACAGAAACAAAGAAATTATCAAGAGCCCACTCTAATGCAAAGAAGCTATGGTTACTATCGTCTACAGCCACCAACATCAATGGTTTCGATGTATCCCCCATTCTCTCAACAAAATCCCCTTTTCAAGTATCAGTCTCTTGGTTTCCTCCTCGATAAAACTAAAGCAACATCCAAACTAAAAATACATAAAACAAACTTTAAAAAAAAAAAACGAGCGAGTTTATGGGCTCTATCTGAAGTGTGTTCCATCATCCATGTATTGAATAGAGGCATGAAGGGTTTTGTGCTGAATTATTCGCAACCGCCGTGAAGTTTTTGCGGCCAATTGACTCGGTTTGTGAAACCGACGGTTGAGATATGTTAGGAAAGTCCACGGTGGGTCCTTCGCGATTTATATTTAATTTACTCTAGTTTAATTATCGTATGAGAGGCATAATTTCATTAAGTTATTCAATTAATTATTGTTAATTACTGTCAAATATATTTCCATCGATTAAGATAGCTTTCATCAGTGTTGGCCGGCCGGTAATGTAAAGTATCTTAAAGCTAATCGAGAGTTCTGCCAATTGGCCATTTCAATTTCAAATTCAATTTGATAAATAAATAAATATTTATTTTTTACTAAAATATTTTATTTTTAATCAGCAATCATCCTTATATTGTTGCAGTCAGAAAGAATTAAATTAAACTACCGAATAAGAGTATTTATTCCATGGACATTCCTTTATTGTTAGCATATCAAAATTAAATCTTGTAAGTGATAATTATTACTTCCAAATAGTAACACGCACACAACACCTCTGATTAATGACTCGTTGCCATATCACAACGTTACCAATAGTAATAGTACATCTACTTCAAGGAGAACCACAAAATCAAAAATTATGGATGTTTGTGTCAGTTTGTGTATACTTTAACTAATCTCTGCAGTACATTAAAAATCCTATAAGTCTAATGAGTCAAGTAAATCACAAATATGATAAATAACTACTTGGTGGGACTCGAACACAAGACTTTTAAGTAATCTAAAGTCTTACCAGCCGCCCACAAGCCAAGTAGATAAACAAAATTAAATTAAAAAACCAGCCATTACCAGGGATCGAATCTGGGTCGCCCGCTATTTTTAAGAGTGTTAGGCTTTGTTTGGTTGGTTTTTGGGAATATTATTATTAGTATTCCCAAAAAAGTTAAACAGTAAAATGCCTAAAAACTCACAATATTATCAATATTATTCAATTTTTTTTAAACCCTTTAAATTTGTTAATTTAATTAAATACCCCTAAATATTTTTTTTCAAAATTGCAAAAACACCCCTAAACCCACATTATACCAGATTCCGGCCACCACTGCCGGAAGTTGGCCGGAATATGATAAAATGGCGCACTACCGGTTGAATCTTGTCAGTAGTGCGCCGATCTAACTTTTTTCGGCCAAATCCATCGAAAAAGGCCAGATCGGCGCACTAGATGGCCAGATTTTTTGCCGTAACCAGACGTCAACGACGGCCAACATATGGTCGTCGTTGACCATCAACGACGGCCATATCTTTGGCTGGCTGGCAAAGGCCATATCGGTGTACGACCAACAAGATCTAGCCAGTCATACGCCGATACGGCGACTCCAGCCACCCTTCGGCGGTGGTGGCCAGCTGTGATTATTCAATGGGTAGGTTGGGGGTGTTTTTGTTAACTTTTAAAGTTTTATTATAGGGGTGTTTAGTAAATAAACAAACATAGATGATATTTTTATTAATTTCCAAATCCTACATCGTAATACCCACCTAATTCAACTTTTTTTAACTTTTTTCAAAAAACTTTTTTAAAAAAATGCAAAAAAGTGAACCAAACGAAACCTTAATTTCATTTATTTTGTAAGATCGGATCATTTGTATTATATTTATGATTTTCGAAAATTATTAAAGACCGTCGTATTAAAGTTTTTTGTTTTTCATAAAGGGGGTATAATTAAGATGATGATGAAGAGAATATTAAGAGACTTTAATTCAAAAAAAATATTTAATCGTTGGATCTCACAGCCTTCACGTTAAAGCAAGACTTTAATTCAAAAGAAGTGTACTGCAAGATATGCTTGGTTAACTTAGCCAAAGGGCCCACTTTGAGATCCACCAATATGATTCATCTTCACATGGCCCACTATGACCACTACAACACAACACACCCTAAAACTATTAATCTTAAACTGAGATTTTTTTTGGTCATTTTTTTATAATTTTATCATTTCCATGTAAGTCTGGCCCAGATTGACGGTCCAGAAACTGATAAATGAATAAGTCTAGAAAGGACATTTTCAATTTAATATCTCATAAAAGTCACCCACAAAAATACAGCTTTAGGTTTAAATAATAAATATGTGTCATTGCTGTCATCATCCTTTTTTCATATTTTGACCAATATATTTTAACCCATGGTTTTGCCAATAATGTCATATATAATTTATTATTTATTTATAACATTCTTTTACAATTTAATTACATTAAAGGGTAAATAATGAATAAACATTATGGATTGCACATAAAGTTTAGAAGAAATAATGTAATTAGTTAGATGTTTTGTTTTGAAGCATGCATTTAATTTGAGTTTGTGTACAAAACAATGGAGCATGCCAAAATAAACCAACAAATTTGATTTTATTAATGAGTATACAACAATTTATTCTATTATTGTAATTGATTATAACTTGCATTTATAACAACCTTGCTTTTTTGTCCATGTAAGTATTAGTGAATATGAAACCTCACTTAATATATATATATTGGTAATCAAGGTGTCCGGACCAAGTTGTGTACACCTCGACTAATCCTTGAGAACTCTAAAGTTAACGATCGAATAAACCCTCAAGTGTCAACTTATATTAGCAACCGAGAAGAATCGAATTTAAAATCTCTTAAATAATATACTTAAGGATCTTTATGACCTCGTTTGATCACTGAAAGGTGGTTAAATGATACTGTTGGGTTGTCACAAACCTTACTTAATATTTTGGAGACCACAAGGGTCATTAAAACAACCATTTTTATACCATTTATTTAAAATCAATTAATATTGTATTTAATAATATTATAATAATTAATATATTTAATATTAATCAATTTCACAAAGTTTATACAAAAGAATGAGCAATTAACACGATTATATTTATTTATGGGAAAATCTAAAGAAAGGAGTTCCTTGACAACCGAACAAGACCAGACAAGGGTACTTCTGTCATTATGAATCTTGAAGAATTAAGAAACTATAACAAGGAAAGGGCAAAATGGTCATTCCGAAAATCAAAATAGCTGTTCAATAATTTTGAAAATACAACCTACCCAATTAAAATGGATTATATCTGGATAAATAATTAAATCTGAAATCATCTCGTGGAGCCTTGGCTATTATCATCATCATCATCTCTTACAAAGTTTATAAAATTAAAAAAAATAGAAGAAATAAAAAAAAAAAAATATCAAATTTAGGGTTCTACTTTTGCTTTTAATTTCTCTCATTCAGATCTGATCATTACATTTATTTCTCTCAATTTTTAATCTTAGATCTCATTCTACTGTCACAATTTGGTAATTCTCTCTCCATTGTACGTTTTTTTTGAAAATGTTGAAACTATTTACGAATTTGTTTCGATTTGTATTTAAGGTTGATACAAGAATTCGTTGATTTCAACACTTTCATGTTCGTCTCTGAATTCGGATTCTCTCCTCCCTGTAAGCATATGTGAAATCGTAACCGTTAATTTTGATAAGGATGATGATCTTGTTGTTGGTTTTTTTTTTTTTTTTTTTAATTTTCTTTTTTGGGTGTGGATGAAGTGTTGTCGTTTAACAGATCTTGAAAATTGGCTCCGCAAAGGCGCTCGCAGCGCCACATGGGTGGCCAGATGCAGCAGAGCAATGCTGCAGCGGCGACGGCGCTGTATGATCACGCAGGTGGCGGCGCCAGTGGGCCTATGCATAACAATGCGGGTCCCACAAGCGATGCCGGCGATGCGGTTATGGCACGGTGGCTTCAGTCGGCAGGACTGCAGCATCTGGCCTCTCCCTTGGCTTCTACGGGCATCGATCAGCGCCTCCTCCCCAATCTCCTCATGCAGGTGCCGACAATTCTTCACATATCTGTATCTTTGCTTGTCATTATTACCTGTATCATTTGATTGGGAATTGAATTTTGGATTTTGGTTGAAATGCGACTTTATTATGTTTTGCGTGAAGTGAGATGAAGATTATATATAATTTGTTTTGTTAAATTTACAGTTTAAATTTTAAAGTTCCACATGTGGATTATAATTCTTTTTAACGAGAAAATCTGGATTATTAGTTTAACGATCTTTTTAAGTGATTGATTGTTCCTGAAATTGTTAGTCTGATCGTTTCACATGTATTGCGCTGGATCTTGAATTTTTATGTTTATTTTGTTTTATTTTTCTTTAAAGGACTGTTGATAGTTTAGATACTTTCACATTTGATTTCTATGTATTCGTATGGGTTTGGACTATATGAGATGACAAGGTATTCTGTGTCATTATTAAGGGTTATGGAGCGCAATCGGCTGAAGAGAAACAGAGGCTTTTCAAGTTAATGAGAAACCTCAATTTTAATGGGGAATCTGCATCTGAGCCTTTCACACCAACTGCGCAAACTTCAGGAGTAACTGCATCAGATGGATTTTATTCTTCAGAGTTCAGGGGGGATTTTGGAGCTGGACTTTTGGATCTTCATGCTATGGATGATACAGAACTTCTATCCGAGGTGGGTTCTTTATGTGGTATTCCATCTGAGCTGCTGGAGATTTTTACATTGGTTTATTATATTAATTGTACTATGATGCTAGAATGGCTGCAGTAGTCAGTTTCTGTCGTGGTGTCTTACTTTGAATGGAGTAAAACGGATTAGTTTTGCATGATAATAGGTCATATAAATTTAAGCTGCCTTACTTCTCTTACCTCCATTGTTGCCTTTGAGTAAGATGAGTTGATTTTTGCACCCATTGCAGCATGTTATTTCAGAACCATTTGAGCCATCCCCGTTTATGCCTGGTGTTAGCGAAGGGTTTGAAAATGACTTCAGTCTGACAACAGGCCGGCAGCAAAAGGAGCACCTTGATGCAGATGTCTCAGCTCCAGTTCTCACAAATGAAAAAGAGAACAATGCAAGAGAAACTAATGTTGCTAAGATCAAAGTTGTGGTACGTTAGTTCTAGTAGAAGTGAGCTTCTCCAAAAGTGAGTATTTTTCTATGTATGTGTATAGACTCATTCTATTTTGTCTAGGTTCGTAAAAGACCACTAAACAAGAAGGAGCTCTCACGGAAGGAGGATGATATTGTATCTGTGTCTGGCAATGGTCTTACTGTCCATGAACCCAAGCTAAAGGTTTGTTTCTCAACAATATCAGAACCTTTTATTTAATATCACTCAGATGAATGAGTTGGATTTACCTGATACTAGCCTCATAGGGTTTTCTTATCTGTTTTCTTTTGTATATCTCATTGAAGGACTAACTTTGGTTTTAATGAGAAAGGTGGACTTGACGGCATATGTGGAGAAGCATGAGTTTTGTTTTGATGCTGTTCTGGATCAGCATGTCAGTAATGATGAGGTAAACTCTTTTTATCTTTATTTATTTTTTGGTGTTTGAAAGTGGATTGCAACGTGTCAGCCACGTTTAGCATGTCAATATATTGTTACTCTGGTATACAAATCTTCAATGCTTATGATATTTTTTGTATTTCAGTTCCCAGGTGTGCTATTTTTATGGAAGTGTGTAAATGAGACTATCATTAAAGTTGTTCTGATTAGCCACTAATGATATAAATGGCATGTTTGCTTAAACAGGTATATCGGGTCACTGTAGAGCCAATTATTCCAATCATTTTTCAGCGAACAAAAGCTACTTGTTTTGCATATGGACAAACAGGTGTGTGGAGATGCTGATTTTCCCTCCCAACACTACATATTATGCTAGCATCTTTTATATGCTTAAAGCTTTATTCCTGTAGAAGAAAGTAGTGTTTGGTTCATTCAAATTGGGATGCTCCTTGGGGAGCAGCTAGTTTACTAGCTGTTTTGTTTGTGGATGTTATAAGTTTCTCATTGTCCTTTTTTTTTTAACTTTTTGTTAAAGTGTATTTCAGGGATGAAGTTCTTAATCATCTTGCCGTCTTTTGTTTTAATAATCCCTCCACGCTTTTTATGGTCCTATTTCCAATATTGCTGCTTGTCTTATTATCTTCTGTGATTGTGATGATCCTTTTGATTTTTCTAGAATTTTCACTTTTATCCTTGGCTTTGTAAACTTTTTGTAGACAAACAAATAATAGGCATTTAAGCCCCAACTATATTAATTTTAGTACAAAAAAGAGTAGCATCAATTGACATTCATATGACATATTTTTTGTCAGTGATGTGTTTGTTCCTTTACATGGTATTTTAAACACAGCATTGAGCAAAAATGTAGGAAGGGTTTTGGGAAACTATATTTTCAAGCTCCTGAATAGTATCCTTTGGTGGTCACTGAGCTACTTTAGTTGTGTGAAATTTCTCATGTTCTACTAAACAAGATTCTTTGATGTTGTTATGACAGCTTGATTATATCATAAGGTTGAGGTGAGATGTTTACAGGCTATGCAATATACATATGTAGTTTTTAATATGGCATATTGGTTAGGATTTAGATGAGAATTTGTAATGGGAGGTTGATGCATATTAACATGCAACGAAATCTAGTATATGTTGGAAAAGGTCTTAATAACATCTTTTGGAATTTATGGTACTGAGATTGAATTTTCAGTAATTTGTCGGTTTCCCTTGTTGTCCCCTTTAGTTATTTTCTATGCCTGCTTAGAAAATGGCTTATTTCTGCGCAAGAATCAGTCTTTAACTGCTGACAATGTATGGAAGTTGTGGTGGTACTGTACTAGTTAGTCCTTTGTCGGTTTCCTTCTTGTATTTGTCAGTTTTTTGGTATGCTTGCTAGTTGTTTCTGAAGCTAGGCACAAATTCACGTTATGGAAAAATGAAATACTAATTTTTTTTTTTTTTTAATTTTAAATTTCAGGTAGTGGCAAGACATATACAATGCAACCCTTACCTCTCCGAGCAGCAGAAGACCTTGTTAGATATTTGCACCAGCCTGTATATCGAAATCAGCGGTTTAAATTGTGGCTTAGCTATTTTGAGATATATGGTGGAAAACTTTTTGATCTTCTCAGTGATAGAAAGTAAGGATCTGCTATTTGTTTTACCTTCTCTCTCTCTCTCTCTCTCTCTCTCTCTCTCTCTCTCTTTTTGCATCTGTACCTTATGAATAAAATGATTTCTGTTTGATCTTAATCATTGGTGGAGAATATGACTTTGAAATGTCTACATCATTTGTTCTCTGTCTAGTATGTGTTGTGATTCTTATGAGTACCTAGGTATTCATTTCTATGTATTACTATTTACATACATCTGACATATTTCTGTGTACAATTACCAGTTTGGGCTTCGTAATGTTGATGGTGGTGCAATCTTTTTTTGCTTTGTTTACCAGACAGACAGAAATTGCTGAATGACTTGATTTATTTTTCTCAAATAGGAAACTTTGTATGAGAGAAGATGGGCGGCAACAAGTTTGCATTGTTGGACTGCAAGAATTTGAAGTTTCTGATGTGCAAATTGTAAAGGAATATATTGAGAGGGGCAATGCTGCAAGAAGTACAGGATCTACTGGTGCCAATGAGGAATCTTCTAGGTCTCATGCTATTTTACAACTTGTTATCAAGAAGCACAGTGAAGTAAAAGAATCTAAGCGGAACAATGATGCAAATGACTCTAGAGGAGGGAAGGTTGTTGGAAAAATTTCTTTCATTGATCTTGCTGGTAGTGAAAGAGGTGCAGACACCACTGATAATGACCGTCAAACTAGGTGAGCTTTTAGCTCTAAGGTGGTCAGCTATGGTTTTGTATGGGAGTTACGTTTAAATATAAAATTTGTCGATATAAATTGTGTGGACGTGGAACCATTTCCTTTTCTTTGTTTATTCAGTGTTTGCTGCTTGTTACTTGAGATCGAAAATGATAGAGAAACTATTAAGCATTGTTTTTGGCACCTTTAAAGATAAATTTCATTAGATTTACTCTGGATATTGCATGAGTCTAGCCTAATTTCATAATATATGCTTTTTAGGACACATTGAAGAGGTGGTTCTTGACTAAATGTTGTATGATGTGCCTAAGTGTTTAGTAGTTAATACCCTTGGTTGCAGAAGCTAATGTGAGAATCCTAGGAACAAGAGTAACATTAGTTTAGAGCGAAAAGTTACAATTTAAATGATGTCTTTCTGCTAGGCATTGGGTTGGTAGATGTGACAAGGTTAAGACGATCAAACTCAGAATTGTAAATGGCTTGGTTGGCAACTTAATAGTACTTTTAAATGTTTGTGGGGCTCAAGGGTTGTTGACTTATTTCCTTGTCTCAACAAGGGTGTTTTTTAAAAAAAAAAACTATTAATAATAATATTATTTCTAGAAAAACCTTAACATTAGAACAGTCAAATAGTAAACCAGACTAAGCTCAGAGCTGAGAACTAATCAAGCCATCAGTTTTTAAACCTGGTCTATGAGATCAGACTGTTGCTTTTTGGCATGGGTTGGGTCCCTATGAATGTTGGGGCTTGGTTCACATGCACCACAGTTGGAAACATCAGGTTGATGTATTTATGGTCGGCTGTCTCTTTCTTGACTCTGTGCTACCATCATTTGAATTAATGTTGCTATTGGCAGGTGTTAACTAGGTATTGTGATTATAATACTTATGTCTGTGGCAGCTGGACATAACTTTCAGGCTGTTAATTCTTTTTGGGAAGCTATTCCTAGTATTGCAGTTCCTTTTTGTTTCTTTGGTAGGACTGGTGTTGCATTTCCTGATACTAGTGGTATGGTTCATTGTCAGGATTGAGGGTGCAGAAATCAATAAGAGTCTTTTGGCTCTCAAGGAGTGCATTCGTGCTCTGGACAATGACCAGATTCATATCCCATTTCGTGGGAGCAAACTTACAGAAGTTCTTCGTGACTCCTTTGTTGGCAACTCAAGGACTGTTATGATCTCTTGCATATCTCCGAATGCAGGATCATGTGAGCATACCCTCAATACATTGAGATACGCTGATAGGTAATGCTTGTTCTTATTTTCAGCCTCTGCAAAATATATTGCTAGTAGCATTGATTTAATTGTTTTATAGTTTTTGACCAAGGGCTCTCTACATAAATGAGCAGGGTTAAAAGTCTCTCCAAAGGTGGGAACACAAAAAAGGATCCAGTTGTAAATTCACTACCGCCACTTAGTAAAGATGCTTCATCAGCATCTTCCATGCCAGTTACTGTCGAAATGGAGGATGCGTTTGAGCCACAAGAAGTTAAAATGGTTGATATAGGTAGACGAGTTGTAGAAAAAGAAACTCTTTCTTATAATCCTACTGTTGATCTCGACAAACAAGCAGCAAGCTATTCTTCTAATCTTCCCTTCCATGGAAGAGAGGAAAGCGGGGTGGCTTCTGGCTCAATGGACAGGGAAAGGTTTGAAACTAATAATTCTTATGGCGGTTCTACAAGTCAAAAGATGCACCCATCATATTCCCAAACTAATATTGATACAGAAGAGAAAGTGCAAAAGGTATCACCACCTCGAAGAAAAGCATCTAAGGATACTGAAAAATCAGAAAAGATGGGGAACTGGCTCAAAAAGGATAGTGGTGGATCAGATATCTCCATCACTAATGCCAGGCAGCAGAATACGGGAAGTTTCAACACAAACAATGTTGGACCTAGACAATCTGAACCCGAACCTCCTTCAGATGGCAATATCAATGCGTTACTGGAGGTTGGTGATCTGTGGCGTTGTCTATTACTTGCTATTGTTTAATTATATTAGGAACTTTATATAGACGTTGCTTTATGCATTTTTTGAACTCTTGTAGGAAGAAGAGGCCCTAATTGCAGCTCATAGAAAAGAAATTGAGGATACTATGGAGATTGTTCGTGAAGTAAGTGACGTCTTCATCTTTTTACAGATTGACCTAGAGAAAGTATTAATANATATTATTTCTAGAAAAACCTTAACATTAGAACAGTCAAATAGTAAACCAGACTAAGCTCAGAGCTCAGAACTAATCAAGCCATCAGTTTTTAAACCTGGTCTATGAGATCAGACTGTTGCTTTTTGGCATGGGTTGGGTCCCTATGAATGTTGGTGCTTGGTTCATATGCACCACAGTTGGAAACATCAGGTTGATGTATTTATGGTCGGCTGTCTCTTTCTTGACTCTGTGTTACCATCATTTGAATTAATGTTGCTATTGGCAGGTGTTGACTAGGTATTGTGATTATAATACTTATGTCTGTGGCAGCTGGACATAACTTTCAGGCTGTTAATTCTTTTTGGGAAGCTATTCCTAGTATTGCAGTTCCTTTTTGTTTCTTTGGTAGGACTGGTGTTGCATTTCCTGATACTAGTGGTATGGTTCATTGTCAGGATTGAGGGTGCAGAAATCAATAAGAGTCTTTTGGCTCTCAAGGAGTGCATTCGTGCTCTGGACAATGACCAGATTCATATCCCATTTCGTGGGAGCAAACTTACAGAAGTTCTTCGTGACTCCTTCGTTGGCAACTCAAGGACTGTTATGATCTCTTGCATATCTCCGAATGCAGGATCATGTGAGCATACCCTCAATACATTGAGATACGCTGATAGGTAATGCTTGTTCTTATTTTCAGCCTCTGCAAAATATATTGCTAGTAGCATTGATTTAATTGTTTTATAGTTTTTGACCAAGGGCTCTCTACATAAATGAGCAGGGTTAAAAGTCTCTCCAAAGGTGGGAACACAAAAAAGGATCCAGTTGTAAATTCACTACCGCCACTTAGTAAAGATGCTTCATCAGCATCTTCCATGCCAGTTACTGTCGAAATGGAGGATGCGTTTGAGCCACAAGAAGTTAAAATGGTTGATATAGGTAGACGAGTTGTAGAAAAAGAAACTCTTTCTTATAATCCTACTGTTGATCTCGACAAACAAGCAGCAAGCTATTCTTCTAATCTTCCCTTCCATGGAAGAGAGGAAAGCGGGGTGGCTTCTGGCTCAATGGACAGGGAAAGGTTTGAAACTAATAATTCTTATGGCGGTTCTACAAGTCAAAAGATGCACCCATCATATTCCCAAACTAATATTGATACAGAAGAGAAAGTGCAAAAGGTATCACCACCTCGAAGAAAAGCATCTAAGGATACTGAAAAATCAGAAAAGATGGGGAACTGGCTCAAAAAGGATAGTGGTGGATCAGATATCTCCATCACTAATGCCAGGCAGCAGAATACGGGAAGTTTCAACACAAACAATGTTGGACCTAGACAATCTGAACCCGAACCTCCTTCAGATGGCAATATCAATGCGTTACTGGAGGTTGGTGATCTGTGGCGTTGTCTATTACTTGCTATTGTTTAATTATATTAGGAACTTTATATAGACGTTGCTTTATGCATTTTTTGAACTCTTGTAGGAAGAAGAGGCCCTAATTGCAGCTCATAGAAAAGAAATTGAGGATACTATGGAGATTGTTCGTGAAGTAAGTGACGTCTTCATCTTTTTACAGATTGACCTAGAGAAAGTATTATTAAGTTGCATTGGTTTTTGGTATTGAATTTTTTTCAGTTATTTTGATATGTCATGTAGTGAACCCATTATTTATTTTCTATGGCATTATGGCGTGTTTCTCATATTACATTTTATTGTTTGGTTTGGATATCAGGAAATGAAACTACTGGCAGAAGTGGACCAACCGGGCAGCCTCATTGACAACTATGTGACCCAGTTGAGTTTTGTGCTTTCACGCAAAGCAGCAGGTCTGGTTAGCCTTCAAGCTCGACTTGCTAGGTTCCAGCATCGCCTCAAAGAACAGGAAGTACTCAGCCGGAAGAGAGTTCCTCGTTAGGGCAACACTCCAATTTCTGCGCTTCGCTGACTGCCTCCTATCTTGTAATTCTTCTCTCCTGTATTATATTGCAATATGATTTTGTTATTGTTGAATGATTTTTGTTTATTTTGCTGTAAATGGCTCCATGGTTGAGGTCAACTAAAAATGTACTTATGCTAAATAATAATTTTTTTTTTTTTGGTTCAAATTTTATGTTGGTTCTGGCAGTCAAAACACAGGTAGCAGTGTTTAAATATTTTGTGGGAGGAACAGAGATATGGCAGGGTCAAATTGATTTGCCAAGCCTAATGTTGCTGTTGACATCCAGAATTTGTGGCTTTATATGAATGACAGTGGTAAAACTGTCTTTTTTGTTGGTGACCGAGGGGTGGACTGTCAAATGTATTATTTTAGACGTATTCTTGCTGAGTTGTTTATGGATTTGTGGCTGTTGCATGTTGGTGACTGGGGAATGTTTTTCAGGAAAGGAAAGAAAAGGTGAAATAGATCAAAATACTCTGGAAATTCGTTTTATATTTTATATTATTTCTACTCTAATGCATTGCACAGTATGCTTTTAATATGCTAATTCGAGATTGAAAAATCCCACGATTCTACTTAATTAAACATGTCATAATCTGTCAAGAATTTACCTGAGCTAGAGTGGGTTTGAACGTTGGTGAAGATTCAAAAACATCAGCTGTTGGTTTATTTTGGAATAGGGATTCAACTAGAGCATTAGCAACTTGATAAAATGAAAAATTTAGAAGTACGTCATTTGTCAAAACAACAATATGTACAAAATAATAAGCATACTGATAAACATAGAAACTTTAATTGACAAATTATCCATCAATTTATGTCTTAATTATATCCACTATTTCATTTATTTTTATATCAAATTCATTCAGTTTTAAGACCAGATGGAAAATCCATGACCTGTGCCAGTCTAAGTGTCCTTGAAATTATAAACTATTGACATCAAAACAAAACCAGTAACACAACACTTCTTGGTAAAACTTACCCCACAGATTCCCTATTGAACTACAAGAAGTGAATTGCACTTGAGTATGCTTTTCAAAAATTAAAAACTGATCGTCATCCAATAGTCAGTACACAACTTTTCTTATCAGAAGTGAAAGCAAATTCCACAATGCCAAACAGGTAATTTCTCATTTCTTAAATTTCAAATTGATCATTACAATTGTGGATCAAACTCAAGATTGAAAAAGGGACGGCTTTAGTAAACCAGCAAAAAAGATGGATCCGGAAGCAGAGCAAGAGAAACCAAGATGCAAGTAAACTAAACATGAATCCTAACATTTCGAATATAAACTTACCAAAATCTATGCCACACCTTATGCTTACATATACAGATTATATACCACTCACTGCTCCTGCCTTGTACACTAAATCGCACTATATCTTAAGTCATTTTACCAGGATAATCTTTGATCTATCAACCAATCTAAAAACCAAAACTTAAGCGTAGCCATCACTTAAAAGAACCTTCAAAATGGTGAAAGCATCCTCAGAAGATCGGCTATTTCATTGGTGCAGAATTCTATGGCGTACCACATCATGTTATTAAATCAGCAGAATCCACAACCATCTCCAAACGAAGACCTGCTATCTGCTAAATGGTGAAATAATAAAAGGGCGCCACAGTAAGTTACAAATAGCTGATTCACAATTTCAATCAGTCAGCTCTCAATCTCAGGATCTCTTTTGCTGTTCTCACACGAAAATAGGGCATATGACTCTGCAAGGAGAAAGAAACACGAGTTAAGAGTTGAAATATGGCATGGAGGTTTTTCTTCATAATGTAATTAGGAAGGGGCAAATATTTAGCAAAAATGTCATAAAACTCATAACCTAAATTCTTTCACCCAAATAATATATTTGGCATCAGAATACAGTTAAATAAAAGAATTTCCATATCTACACTGGTGTAGACTTATAAGCATGTTCCAACATGAAAAAAGATTTAAAAATAAATAAATTTTCAGATGCACAGTTGTGCAGAAGAGCCAAGTTCCTTCTATCCTTACCTGGTCAAAACAAAGCCCTAGACCTCTGCTATAAAAGTCAACATATTTGAGCATAAACATACCACAGTCAAACCTGTTTGGGAGACAAAGTTCAAAGAGAAAAATATCAATAATTAGACAGAACCACATAAAAACATTATGAAACTAGAGTCTTTGGTACTTGAAGACGTCCAACTAAATAGGGGAAAATAAGATTATAATAGAATAATCTAGAGATGTATGGTTGATCACCTGAACTTCAAAAATTGATTTTACAAAATTTTCAAAAATATACTATAACCAAAATATTACATGTAAACTTATTTCCCGAAATATGTTCAAACTCGCTGTAATCTAGTTAATTTATTCCTTAATCCAAAAACTGTTCATGAAATCCATAAAATAAAATAAAAAAAGGCATCTCCGAATGCATATCTTTCCTATTTGAACAATCTTCAAGTATGTAACTCACTTGTAATTATTGCAAAATAACAGAAGTATAAAGAATACACACCCATTCTCCTGTGNAAAATTGATTTTACAAAATTTTTAAAAATATGCTATAACCAAAATATTACATGTAAACTTATTTCCCGAAACACATATTTTCAAACTCGCTGTAATCTAGTTAATTTATTTCTTAATCCAAAAACTGTTCATGAAATCCATAAAATAAAATAAAAAAAGGCATCTCCGAATGCATATCTTTCCTATTTGAACAATCTTGAAGTATGTAACTCAATTGTAATTACTGCCAAATAACAGAAGTATAAAGAATACACACCCATTCTCCTGTGCAGGAAGGTCTTCAACAAATTCTTGCTCCCAATCGCTTACATCTATGTCTTTTCCACTCTTGTCTTTCACTTCCTCCACATAATATCTAGCCTGGCACACACAAATGACCAGCATCAACAAACTTGCAACAGCCGGATGACCAAATGCAGATTTTCTCTATAAGGAAACAAACAGTTCTATTTCCCAATATATACAATTCTATCAGCAATAAACAAGATAGGCAATGCAAAAATGAAAATTTGCAAATCTAAGCGGCTGAACAATCATGTCAGTCTTCATCACAGAGTAAATTTGTAAAAAGACAAAAACCACTAGTGCAAGCTATGAAATCCTTTGACTCAATTGACTGCATGAATCTCACAGTTGAAGTTTAATCTCAGTTGAAAAAAATCAAATTTTTATTTCGGTCCAATTACCAGAATTAGATTACTAAAACATACCAAGGCATTCAGCACTTTCATATCCCTTCCTTTCAGCGAATCAAGATATTGAAATTTCTTATCCTTCTTATTGATAACAGCCAAGCACCAATGTATCTCTCTGTGGATAGGAACAAATATCTGAGCCCAAAAGAAGAACCAAATCAGAGGTAAGTGCAATATTCAATCAAGCAAAAATAAGAATAAAAGAAAAGGGTGGTGAACAAGAACTTTACTTTGTTACACTCAAGGAGAGTGTATCCCAACTTCTTGATGGACGTCCATCTTTTCACGGCTTTAAAATCATAGCCCTTGTTGCCACTCACTAACTGAAAATTAGTAAAATAGGAGGTAAAAAAAAAAACATAAATACTCACCTAGAGAGGAGAACATTATAAAAGCACATGAGACATAATGGAGGAATGGGGATCAGATGTGAAAATTTAATTCGAGTTGGCAACAACTTATTTAAGTTCTAATAACAGACCCTAAAACTTGTCTTAGATGAAGAAAATAAAATGATAAAAAGTAAGTACTACTAAGATAGTTACTAATAAAGAAATGCGTAGAATGATTTATAAAGAAGAAAATGAGCATACCAATCCTTCTCTTCTATTACTACCAGAATACGAAATCCCAGAAATAAAAGACCATATTTAAGGGGTACTAGGAGCAGTGATATCTGTTGTTTTCTTGCTGATATTAATTTGATACAATGACCAACAGTGTGGAAAAACAAAGATGGAAGTCTGGCAAATAATATCTTAGGCTCCTCTGGCAATTAATTATATTGCAGCACGCAGAAACCATAATTGTATTTTTTTCCACTTTCCAGAAAAGATGAAAAACACGATTAGATGGACAAAGTATGTATCTGAGGACTATTCAGTGTTCACGTAGACTAACTTTTACCAAGATTAATGATAAAATTAAGGAAACAAGTCACTAACCTTCTTGTAAAAAAATGTGTTGAAGAAATGGCATTTCAGAAACTTCTTTGGATCCCTCTTTTCCCTGCCTTTCAGTAACTCCAGATATACATTTATGACCTAGAAATGAGAAAATGCATGCACATGAGAAAATAAATGACTATCCACTAATATCCACTAAATCCCTAACAATTATTAGGATGTGAACAAAGTAAAAATTCCCTTCTTATTCACAAATTAAGCAAAATTTAACCCTAAAATGATACCTCATCATTCAACCATGCACCTGGCCTAAGGCACTGTAGAATTTGTCCAGTAATGTCAATATCTGTCCCCGAATCACTGATCAAGACCTGCCTCCTCCTGCATGAGAAAGTCCCAGTTGTTTGTATTAGCATTTGAGCAAGTCCCAGTTATGTTATAGTACAAACAGCGACCATTAAACTACCCAAAAATACCAATAAAATCATTTGGTCATACCTATTAGGAGCAAATGCACGACCAACCTCAGCTTCTTCCTCCTCTGTCAGAGGGACAAAGGGTTCGCGAGGTACTTCCTGAAATGGATTATCAACAGTTCTCAGTGTCATATAATGAATAGGGGACCTTATTTATTAAGGTTCCAAAAGTAATTTCCTTGATGTTACAACAATTCTATCATTTAATCCCAAAAGCAACTACAGTATCAACAGTTCCAGTAGACCTCTAAATATATAACAAAGAAAATGAACAGACCTCTACCAGTTTTTCCTCTGGTTGCTTCAGGGGCTGCAACAGCCTGAGAGAATCGCGACGCTTCTCATTCAACTCAATCTCAAACCCTATTGAGTTCAACTTAGAACTCCTCCTCTCTGCACTCTCCAACAACTTCTTATACACCTCAAGATTAGGCACACCAATTACCTCCCGATTTAACGACAATGAATCCAATATCTTCTCCGCACTCTCCATTCTCAAAATATCACCATCAGCAACACCATTATTCATATCTGTAGTAACCACAGAAGAAGACGATGGCTGGAAATTATTATGATTTCTCTCCTCCACAGCTTTCCCACTAATTTCCCTAACTGGTACCTCAAATTTCTCATTCTTCTCATTCTCAACTTCTTCAACACTTGAATCATCAGAAACTATCTCCTTCTTATCATTATATTCCTTATCAACATCAATCACTTGCTTATCTTTTCTCAAATACCTAATTGCATCAAATGCTGTTTTCTTTGCCTCAACTAAGCGAGAAGTCAACAAATTACCCATAGCATTACCTGATTCTTGATTTTCACGATACCCACGAGCACTTTTCGGGCTTGAATCCTGTTTTAGCTTGTCGGAGAATCCAAATTTGAGAATTCTACAAGGGGCATGTACTTGTCTTTTCAGAGGGGCTCTGGCGTCCGGGTACTTAGAGATTCTCGAAACCGTGCTGTTCGATGAAACTAAATCTTGGTTTGGGGTCTGGTGCATGAAAGAAAACCGGGGTCGCTTTGAAACGTGAGAGTTTTGATATGGACTTTGGAGATGATTCAATGATAAGTACTCGTCGCCACGTTTACGATTGCTCGTCAGAGCACCCATTGGTTTTAAACTTGAAATTAGAAAACCCTAAAAACTTCAATCCCATTTAGAAAACCCCATTTTGCAGAGAAATCATGTGAGAACCCTAGATGTAATAGTGCAACTGAATGACCTAGGTCTTGAGCAAATATAACTGAATTCAAAAGAAAAAGGTAGCTATAAAATTCGACCTGGGAGACCTAAACTAAAACCCTAATATTTCACAGATTAAGGGTATAACTGAAATAAAAAGCAAATGATGAGGAGTGAAAAGTGTAACTCAAAGCAAAACAAAGACAGATATTGAGATTTTGTACGAGCAAATTTGTGTTCTGTTGAAGTGGTTTCGGATCTAAAAAGGTTTGGCTTCGCCGTTCATGTGGTATTTCTTATGGTACGGCAACAAATTTTCGCGGCACAAACACAATAAAAAAATACAATAATAAAAACTAAAAAACAGAAAAACGAAGAAAGCCTATCGTAATATAATAATACATTCGTCACAGCCACATTCTTTGAAATTTTAGCTACATTGCGTGGTCCCCGTCCCACTAGTTTAGCATGCATATATATATATATGTTAAATTACTTTGAAAAAATTATTGAAAAAAAGAAAAACAAAGTTTATTAAGGATCGAACAAGTTTCTAATAAATAATCTATTTATAATAATAAATTTAAATAATATTTTTTAAGTGTTCATTAATATTAGTAAATTCGTTTATCCATACTATTTCAATATTTGCAAGAGAAAAAAATGGTTTGTGAATAATAATACCTTATGAATATGGATATTATCAATTTAAGTACAATTTTTTTCATGAAATACTAAAAAAGTACAAAGTTTCATTTTGTTCAATTTAGGGACATAATTAATAATTTTTTCAATTTAGAGACAAAATGAACATTAATTTCAATTTGTTTGATTTAGAGACATTAAATAACATCTTTATTCAAATTTGGGACACTTGTTACTTTTAACATAGGACAACAAAAATACATAAATACCCTTAATTACTTGTTGTTATTTGGTTTTAGCCTTTCAATTTTTAACTTTAAAAACTAAAAAGAAAATAGATAAAAATTTAAAAAAATTTGTTTGATTTCAAAGTTTAAATAATAAAAATAATAATAAAAAATTTAAATAAAAAGGAGAAAAACCAGTTTTAAAAATAAAAAAACATAACAAAAACTTTTATATACAAGAAAGAAAAACCATTGTTATTTTTAAAATTGAAAAATAAATTAAAAACATAGAACCATAAATTAAAAAATAAAAAAGACGTCGGCTTTTTATCATGCCAGGCCCAGCAATCAACAGAGGCTAACGTCGTTGGCCAGGATCTGGCTCGACCTGGCCAAATCAAGGCCACGCCAGAGCAATAGCCTGGATCAGCCAGACCAGATGGGGCAATCCCATGAGCCCGAGATATAATACGAAGGGGAGTGTTTGATTGAGGGTTATGTGGGATTACTGAGGTTATGTCATCTTATATTACTTGATTACCATGTTTGATTGTCAAATAATATAGGATATCGATAATTTTTAAATACCAATAGTGGTTACTATTGGTAATATCGGAAGTAATCTGATTCTATTTTCTTAGGTATTCTTAGATTATCAGGGTTATATTTTTTTGTTACAATTTTATCCCTTATTAATAAAAATTTTGGACAATAATATCCCTACTTTAAAACAAATTTACATTAATATCCTATTTCAATTTTATCTTTATTTAATAAAATTTTGGACAATAATGTCCTTATATTTAAAATAATTTACAGACCACCACTGCCACCCAGCCACCACCACCACCGCCAAGAGCGGGCCAACCACCACGGACCGCCGTTGGAAAATCACCGGAGTCCCTAAAAAAGAACGAGATTCGATAGGAGACTCTAGGAGGCTTCGATATGGCCATTTCTGGCCGTTTTCGGCTATCAATATGGCCAGAAATGGCCATATTGAAGCCTCTTGGTCACGGTGAGGTACTCACAGACTTTCAGAGACTTCCGATAGTGATTTGTGGTGGTGGCAGGTGGCGGCAGGAGGTGGGGGTGATTTCGTCATAAATTAATGTTTTATATAAGCAGGGTGTTTTAGCTAAATCTGAAATATTGGGGGTTAAAAAAATTATTCAAAAATTAATAATAAAAATAATATTATATTAATATTTAAAAGGGGATAATTTAGTAATTTAAATAATATACCCATCAATTTATTTCCCATATCCAAACATATTAATATAACATACCCACAAACTAACCAACATATTTAAAAGATTCCCAATAATCTTCCAAGGTAATCTATCTTTCCAATAATCTAACATTCATGAACCAGAAATGACCATGGTTGGGCTTTGTCTTACCTGATATAAATTGATGCGCTGAAACTTTCGAAGGAGCCCAAACAGGTAGTCCTCCGGCTAAGCTATCTTGTTCCATTAGCACAATCTTGTAAAAGTGAGTGCAGTTGTAGCATTCCACAAAGAGAGTAAAAACGTTTATAATGCCTATCCCAAATACTGTATTGACAAAGAATGATGCAGCTTCTAGAAAATTGTGTTTCACTAGTGGAATCAGTGTTCAATTATCAGCTTCCGTCACCTCAATAAATCATCATAGCTGAAAAAAAACAAAAAAAAAAAAAAATATCATATTTGATCTAAATTGGAAGCAATAACAAGCCAGAAAATTATATTCAATCACACAATAAAAGAACATGTATCATATATGAACACTAACGTAATACACCCTCATTAAGTGATTCTATATCTGCGTTGGATGCATAGAAGAATTATCCCGTATTTGAGAGCGAAGAACACCTTTGGAGAATTTTAAATCTTTACATAGATGGATTAAAACAGGAAATAAGGTCATTTCTTCTGTTTTCTCACAGAAATATTTATGTAAAGAAAGCATTAATTAGGTTTATGTTAATGGGGAATTTACATCACCTCGTGCGGATTTGGAATTGGATTCGAGAAATTAGTCTCCAGAAAGCGAAGTCAAGATGTGAAACTATTTCAAGCACAGTCGAGTCAGAACGTCAATATCAATAAGAGGGTTTAACCTTTAAGTCTCAACAATTAATAAGCTTCCTGGAAGGTGGTCCGGCCGATATCTGCAAAGCGATAAAATTTCATCAGACCTAAAATTTATTCCATTTATGATTTTTTAATTATTATTATTATTAACTCACTCACTCACTCCACATTCATGTATCTTTTGTTTGTTAACGTTTTGGTGGGTGCGAATCGAGTGAAGCCAAAATTACGACATTCACGCCGGTGACGGAGTTCTCATCTAACCCACCAATCACGTTCCTCCACCTCACCCTTTCCTTCACTTATTTTCCCTGCCACGTGTCCCGTCTTTCACCGATCGGTCAACCCTTAACCTAAAAACCCATAAACTCACAATCCGTCTCTCCCTACAACTTCACTTTCTTTACTTGTTTTCCTAAATCAGATCTAGTGATATTTTTCCGGGTCACAGAAACCCTAACTAGATCCGATGGAAGAAGAAGATGAGGTGCACTCAAATCCGTCGCCACCGGCCATCGGATCTCCGTCTCCGTCATCTCAGTCACCGCCAAACGAACGGATTTCAGTGACAGTTGCGGCGGCTGCACCACCAATTCAGCAACAGCAACCGCAGCAGCAGCAACAGCAACAACATAATAGTATAATAGTGGCTCCGCCGCCGCAGAGGAACGGTGGTGGTGGAGGGAGAGAAGACTGTTGGAGCGAAGGAGCCACTGCGGTGTTGATAGACGCGTGGGGAGAACGGTACTTGGAGCTAAGTAGAGGGAATTTGAAGCAGAAACATTGGAAAGAAGTTGCTGATATTGTGAGTAGTCGAGAGGACTATAGGAAGACTCCAAAGACTGATATTCAGTGCAAGAATCGAATAGATACGGTTAAGAAAAAGTATAAATTAGAAAAAGCTAAAATTTTGTCAGGTGGAGGAGCTAGTAAATGGGTTTTCTTTGAAAAACTCGATCAGTTAATTGGTCCGACCGCTAAAATTCCAGTCCCGTTAGCAACGGCACCAGCAGTAACACCTCCAGCTGCAGGTAGTTCAAGAGTACCAATGGGAATACCTGTTGGATTAAGAACTCCGATGGTGGCTGCGGTCAAGAATCAGCATCAGATACATTTGAGGAAAAGGAGTGGTAGTGGTAGTGGCATGGCGGCAGCTGTGGAAACAGAGTCGGATGAGTCGGAGGAGGAATCGCGAGATTCAATGGATAGTTTTCCTCCGGCAAAGAGGATAAGAGTGGCTGTGGATTTAGGGAAAGGGAGAAAAGAGAAGGGAGGTTGGGGTGATTCAGTGAGGATGTTGACACAAGCTATATTGAAGTTTGGGGAAGCTTATGAGCAAGCGGAGAGTGCGAAGTTACAACAAGTTGTGGAGATGGAAAAGCAGAGGATGAAGTTTGCCAAAGAGCTGGAGTTGCAGAGGATGCAATTTTTTATGAAGACACAGTTGGAGATTTCACAGATAAAGCATGGAAGGACGACTGGGAATGTAAGTAATCACCACAGGAATAATAGCAATAACAATAATAACAACAATAGTGATTGTAGTATCTAATTCTAATCAAGTTATCTATGTTTGGGTTGAGATGTGTAGTTCTAGATTGAAATTTAGATTTAGGCTTAGATTTAATTTAGATTTCTTTGTTGTTGTCTGTGGGTGAAGACCTCATTGATGATTAAATGTTGTACTGGAATTGTTGGCTTTATGTAATGTAAACTGAAACAAATATTCATGATTGAAAGCCTGTGGGATTTGTTTAACCCATTTTTTCCATTGCCTAGGTGATACTATGGCAATGTTTGTACCTTTCTCATCAATTTCCAGCGCTAAAAGGAGAAAGAACAAGAGGGTAATAAGTTATTTTGTACTATAACAGAGTATAACAAATATGTTCAATTTCTCAACTTTGCTTCACATATATTGACAATTTAAAAAAGAAAAAAGAAAAGATATACAAGCACAACAATTGCTATCACTAAAGATTAGCACAAAAGAAAGGCTGCCCGCCCGGTTATCAGTTCCAATGTCATTCATCCTTGCACTAGCAAAGCAGCTCGACAGGGGCATATAAAGAAAACTATAGCGGTGGTCTACATCTGAAACAGCAAAAGAGAAGAAAACAATTTGCGTTCGCATGGATTTTTGAAAAAATATTTCAACTCAGCTCGAAGTAGGTGAAGTGCCTTGTATAATACTTTCATACTAGCTGCACGACAGCGGCTACTCTCAAGGTTCCATTTTGGAGAAGATCAGCAAGCTCATCAAACAACAGAGCTGTACGCCAACCCCATCCCTTCGGAGCTTTGGGCAAAAGAGTGCCCCTTTGTTTGAAGCTTCCAAACACCATGACTTCTCTCTTTGATGGACATATCAACTAATAATAGCCACAAGATATAGTCATAACAAATACCATTGTGTGTTATTTAGTAACACTGTAACACAAAGTATGAAAAGTGAAAAGATGGCTGCTTTTTCATTTATTTTTGGAGAGGAGATGTGGATATTACCTGATATCGAGCAGTAACCTTTTCACGAGAATCTACATACATATGAATCTGAAAACAGGAAGTCCATAGAGGCAGCCATGGAAGAGATGATCAAATACTTAAAGAGGCAAAATTGAGCATAAAAAGGACGGCAAACCAACAGAGGGAGAGATGATCAAATACTTAAAAGAGGCAAAATTGAGCATAAAAAGGACGGCAAACCAACAGAGGGAGAGATGATCAAATACTTAAAAGAGGCAAAATTGAGCATTAAAAGGGCGGCACACCAACAGAGGGACAAATAATCCTGCTTAATGTACCAAGATCAAGGCTAACCTTTCTTAGAGAATCAGTAATCTCTGCCTTCCGGCGATGAAGAAACAATCCTGAAAATATACATTAATCTATTGTGACTCTGATGGACACGTATAAATTGTTTCTAAGGAGAATATTTCTATGATACACAACATTACCAAGAGTTCGGCGTCCTTGAGGATCTTCATCATTGAAAGCCTGAACACTAACCTATGAATTCAAATAACACATATGAATAAATTCTCTACCAGACAATGACAACTTGAAGAAGAGGCCTCACAAATTTCTGAATTTTATTATATGAAGGAATACCTTCCACAAGGAACCTGCATAAAAATGTTCTAGAGAGTGCTTAACTTGCCCATCATTGAGCCTGTGCACATCTTCAAATTCAACCCTGCAGAACCAGCAGACTATTCACAATATAAAACTATCATTTAGAATATGCATTATTGGCTATGCAAAGCAAGAATAATTACCCAAAACGGAAAGGAGGAAAGTGACTCAGAGGTGTTTTCATATCCAATGATATCGAAGAACCACCTGCATTCTCCCACTCAATTCCAATAGCATGTTCTGGTGACTCTAGCATCTGCATGGACATACTACTAGTAGTTGGCCCTGAAATGGAAGTACCTGACAATCTGCTTTGCAGATCTGTCTCATATCCCCTCTCTGTTTGCTCTCCATGGACATTAGTGGAGTTGCTCCCTTCTTGGCTTAAGCCAACTATAGCTGTCAGTCCATCACCAGATAGGTCTCCATTGTGGTCAGTTCTAGCCTCAGTGTCGTCATTAGCAGGGGATTGCTGACACTGTCTATTGCCCACACCAAAGGGTACTCGAGAAAAGACAAAACGTGTTGGAGGCCAAGCAGATGCTGGCACAAATGTACTTCCACGTCCTATACCTGCAAGCCCATCAATTGGGCCCCTAACATGAACTCTCACAGGCCTAAAGAGGCCATTTCCTTCTCCTTGAGAAGAATCAGCAACATATATGTTCCCAATGTTTCCAGGTGAATTATTCTGATCATGCTCATGCATATAATAACCAGTGGCAGTAACTCCAGGAGAAAATCCAAAAGGACCAGTTTGCCTGCAAGTGCAAGCCATACTAGTACGACAGCAATTTTTGCAAGTGTCGGCAACAATTTCTTGCACCCTCTGTGTCAAGAGCATCTACATGACAGCCATAAAAATGAAAAATTAATATCCTTGTATAAGGTGAAAGCAAAAGCAACATTTTGTACAAAGATAAAGGCTCTGTAGTGGGATGAGAATCAATGTCCAAATTTCCAGTCGAAGAAAGAAAAAGGAGAGTTTGAAGCCATTCTTTCCAGGACCCTTAAATCCTGAATGGTCATCTTCAAGACTGTAGTGTCACATTTTTGTCCAATAGTGCTGTGATATATAACTATTTTGGATAAAAGGAATCAGTGACTTAGGATTAAACAAAAAACCTGGTGGTGAACAACTTGTTTATGTTCAAGCACAGAGCAGTAAGAAATCATGTGGTTTTAAGGACTTTCTCATCCTCACTTTCCAGAGGAATTCCTTGTATATAGCAATTGACATAGAATAATAGAGGCAAACAGATTTCAATAACAAACCTGCAGCCAAAGGCCATCATTTACTGCTTTGCAAGGAAATCCCAATTCTTCAAGCTGCTTTCTAACATTTAAAAGTGCCTCAAAAGACATGTTGCAGTATAAAAGAGAACCGCCTTCAAATATATTGACAAAAGCATCATATTCCTCACCATGAACCCCACAGTTTCCTTTAGCATAACCTTTTACCTGTCTTCTATCCACAACCCTCCCACCCCATGAAAGACCAGGCATGCCACATCTTCCCCAATCATTCATCATAATCCCATTGCATGAAGCGTCCATTGAAGAACAATGCTTCGATTGGTCACTTGCAAGCCAACTATTGTTATTTAAATGGTAGCATGAGCCTTCCTCAGATGGTCCCTCCATAGCCGCACCACTGACCCCAAGCCTACTGGTCCCAACTCCAATCGGCATTTCAACATAAGAACATGAAGTCCTATTTCTAACTGTATCTGAATATGAGCTATCCAAAGATGAAGACTGATTCATATTGCTGGGATATACTGGTTCCAATCTCGGCTGAGTGTATACAGCTTGTTGTGTCTGTTGCTTTGAATCAGAAACTCCTGTCTGTAGGTCAACTACACAGTCTGCAAGCTCAACCAGAAGTTTATGAGCCGTATTATGGCCCTCTACGTCATCTGTTAAATTTAAGCGTCCTAGTTCAGATTCTAACCTCTTATTCATGCAGCTATTGGTCAAATTTGTTCCCTTTGCTTTACAAGAATCAGAATGGATACCTGTTCCCATATCAGAACTTGAACTTCCTTCCTCAAAATGTTCTGTCTTACAAAAAGCACCTTTCGCGAGGAATGCATACAAAGCCAGTTCAAACCTTTATTTTGAAAGGTACAAAAAGAAGAGTTATCCAACTTATAAAGTTCAGAACTTGAACCAGAAAACCTTTTAGTGCCTATAGCTCTTACCGTTTTTCTTCATTATGTATCCACAGTTCATCTGAGGTCAGCAATGCATGCAAACTTTGAGAGGAAAGTTTTGGAAGAACCTATTTGTGATTGAGAGAATCAATAAAATAAAAGTAAAAGACGAAAAGTGAAAGTTCAAAAACAAAATGTAAATATCAAGTAAAATCTTCAGAAAATTGAATCAGGAAGTTGCAATTGAAAACATATTAGAAGCCTTATGTACATAAGAAGCTACATGGGGTATATGTTGGACAGTATGGAGTCATTTAGTTAAATTGATAAGGGCCAAGTCCTTTGACTAAATGAGCAATATGTATGACAAGGTTATCATTATCAAATAGCAGTACAGTGAAAATTTTATCAGATTTAGTAGCAGAGTATATCATAAAAGGTATAATTTTTTTCTTTTCTTTTTTTCCTTCATTTATTTTTTGGGTTCTCCAATAAACTATAAAATTGTGGCAAATTTATTAAAAATGTAAAAGATAAAACGATTCTTTCACCAAATTTTCCCTTTTTTTTTTTTGAATGAAAAACACTAAAACATTAACAGTGAGGATATTAAACAAAAAAGCAACTCACCAAAACCCCAACCCATCCTCTTAATGCCTGACATAAGACCCCAGCTACTAGGATTATATGATACCTAATTGACAAAGGTAGTAAAAACAAAATAACAGCTTGAAGTTTCAATCTTATTACACTTAGAAGAACTATAACCTAATAGACAAAACTATTTTTTCTAGCTTCACTTCATATTCTTATTTCCACATATAGTAATTGCAAGCTGGAACACATACCTCTTTCAATTCCACGGCGCCACTTTGACAAAGGTAGCCCCAACATGCATTCCTTACACGTTCTCCATGTATGCCATAATCTTGATTCTCTGCAAATACCTGAAATTACAAGTAGACACAGTTTCAGAAACTAAAGAAATAAGAATGATATCGAAAGTCTGGTAAACAAGAGCATTTTTAACCTGATAAGCTAAGAAGTTTGAAGTCCACAGCTCGGATATAATGAAATCTGTGCATATTGCACACAAATCCTGTAACAGCGAGAACATCAATTTGTCGTCCAAGAAAACAAATACAAACACCAGCACAATCAAAATAAATAAATAAAAGCATATTTTTTTACCTGAAGGTCAAGAAATGAAGCAGCAGCCAGCACACGAAACGCATTAGTATCATTAAGCTTAGGGTGATGGCCATATAGATAAGCCAAAGCCATAGCAATTGCTTCACCATTCACATTCTTATCATCCACGTGTAAGGTCACCACTGGAGCAGTCGCTTCTTTCCATGGATCATGTAACATGTTCCTGCGCACATTACATTATAAGAAAATCAATATTCGCACTGACAGTTAGTTTCTGAGTAAAATTCAAAGCAAAATTTCTAAATATGAATACCTAAAGTATGAGCTGCGAGATAGGATTAAGCGATGGAGGTGGTAGGTGGACCCCATGGCGTGAACGACGATATCGGAGAAAGAACCGGAATTGAAGCCCTCCATTTGGATGTGATCGCAGAGAGCCGTTAGATTACAATCGAGCGCACGTAACTCGCTGCTGCTGCGGTCGTTATCGGAGAGCTGCGAGGGCGGAATCGTCATTTTGATTTGCGGGTGGGGCCCGTATAATCGGGGCTTGGAGTACTGCGGTTCCATTATACAACAAAGTTTAAGGTTGGTTTGGTTTACAGGAAGAGAATGGAGATCAGAGAAGACATTGTTTGTAGAAAAGCTGGTTCTGTGAATTGCAGCTGTACATGTTTCTGGGTGTTATGTGCTGTGACGCGTGACGCGTGAGAGGGACGGGACCGAAGGGAAACAAAGAAACATGAGTAAAACGCGGCGTTTTGTGACCGTTATGAAAAACGGAAAGGATGTGCATAAATTTAGAGCTAAACGGTGTCGTTTTACTTTTGGGTCTGAAGTCTGAACATAGCACTCTCTTAAGAGTCTCAGATAAACCTGATTCTCCAAATTCTTCTGTGGTTTCTCTACAAGGTATGTGAATTCGCCTGAAATTTCCTCGCTTCATCATAGTGAAATTGTATATTTCCATCGCATTTTCTTGGCATCCAAACAAGCACGGTTAAAATTGATTTTTTTGTTCTCACGGAACCCAGGTAAATTTAAAGGGAGAGTGGCAGCTTAGACATGTATAAATGAAGATGCTCTTACGTAACCCAGGTGAATTTGAATGTTGTGAGACTCGTTTTTTTTTTTCTTTTATACATAACTTTGCATGATTTGAAATCATAACTTGTAGCCACTGTTTGTTGTGCTTACAGGAGTAGTAGTTCATTTTGGTTCAAACAGCTATCGAATTTTCAATATTTGTAAAAAGTTATCATCCTTATCTGATGGGTCTTCATTGGATGGTATTCAAGGAACTCCAAGAACGAATGATTATGCAAGAAAAGTTGTTGATGATGTGTACAATATTTTGCAGAGTGGTCCTTGGGGACCTGCTCTTGAGAATGCTTTATCAATGCTTGATGGAACGAGTGGAATACCTCAACCGGAATTTGTTATCGGAGTTTTGAGGAGGGTGAAGGATGTTGATATAGCGATAAATTATTTCAGGTGGGCTGAGAGGAAATTTGACCAAGCACATTGTCCGGAAGCCTACAATTCACTTCTTATGGTGATGGCTAGAAGCAAAAAGTTTGATTTTCTAGAAGAGATTCTGGGAGAAATGTGTCTTGCTGGATTTGGCCCAACTAATAACACGTGTATTGAGTTAATTTTAAGCTGTGTTAAGTCAAAGAAGCTGAGGGAAGCTTTTGATATTATTCAGACCATGAGGAAGTTCAAATTCAGGCCTGCTTTTTCAGCTTACACAACTTTGATTGGTGCTCTTTCTGCAGTTCATGAATCTGATCTCATGCTTGCTCTCTTTCATCAAATGCAGGAGCTAGGTTATGAGGTTAATGTTCATCTGTTTACAACTCTTATCCGTGTTTTTGCCAAGGAGGGTCGTGTTGATGCTGCTCTCTCCCTGTTGGATGAGATGAAGAGCAACTCTTTTCATGTTGACGTTGTTCTTTATAATGTATGTATAGATTGTTTTGGTAAGGTAGGAAAGGTGGATATTGCCTGGAAATTCTTTCACGAGATGAAAGCAAATGGGCTAGCACCTGACGATGTAACTTATACCAGTATGATAGGGGTTCTCTGCAAAGCTAACAGACTAGAGGAAGCTGTGGAGTTGTTTGAGCAGATGGACCACAATAGGAAAGTTCCATGTGTATATGCTTATAACACCATGATCATGGGTTATGGCTCAGCTGGAATGTTTAATGAAGCATACAGTTTACTTGAGAGGCAAAAGGCAAAGGGGTGCATACCAAGTGTCATTGCATATAATTGCATTCTTACTTGCCTGGGTAAGAAGAAGAGAGCGGCTGAAGCTTTAACGATCTTTGAGGACATGAAGAAAGATGCAATGCCCAATATAACAACCTATAACATTCTTATTGACGTGCTTTGCAAGGCTGGAAATCTTGAGGATGCTCTGAAGGTTAGGGATGCCATGCAAGAAGCTGGCTTGTTTCCTAATGTGATGACCGTAAATATAATGGTTGATAGACTCTGTAAAGCTCAAAGAGTTGATGAAGCTTGTTCAATTTTTGAAGGAATGGATCATAAAATCTGCCACCCAGATGCGGTAACTTTTTGTTCACTCATAGATGGCTTGGGCAAGAGTGGTAGGGTGGATGATGCATACAGGCTTTATGAAAAGATGTTGGATTCTGATCACGTTCCAAATGCTATTGTATACACATCTCTCATTAGGAATTTCTTCAAGTGTGGCAGGAAGGAGGATGGTCATAAAATATACAAGGAAATGGTCCAAACTGGCTGTTCTCCTGATTTGATGCTCCTTAATACCTACATGGACTGTGTTTTCAAAGCCGGGGAAACTAAGAAAGGCAGGGCTTTGTTTGAGGAAATAAAGGCTCGAGGATTCATTCCAGATGTACAGAGCTATTCCATCCTGATTCATGGCCTTGTGAAAGCAGGTTTTGCCCATGAAACCTATCAGTGGTTCTATGCAATGAAGGAGCAAGGTTGTGTTCTGGACACCCGTGCTTACAACACTGTTATTGATGGATTCTGCAAGTCAGGTAGGGTGAACATAGCTTACCAGCTGCTGGAGGAAATGAAGACAAAAGGTCACCACTCCACTGTTGTTACCTATGGTTCTGTCATTGACGGGCTCGCTAAAATTGACAGGCTTGACGAAGCTTACATGCTTTTTGAAGAAGCAAAATCGAAAGGCATAGAACTAAATGTAGTTATTTATAGTAGTCTCATTGATGGTTTTGGGAAAGTTGGTAGAATTGATGAAGCATATCTAATCATGGAAGAGTTGATGCAGAAAGGTTTGACACCTAATGTATACACATGGAATTGCTTGCTTGATGCCCTGGTAAAAGCTGAGGAAATCAGTGAAGCCCTTGTCTGCTTTCAGTCCATGAAAGACTTGAAATGCACTCCCAACCATGTAACATATAGTATTATCATAAATGGTCTTTGTAAGGTTAGAAAATTCAACAAGGCCTTTGTATTTTGGCAAGAGATGCAAAAGCAAGGTTTAAAACCCAATACCATCACCTACACTACCATGATCTCAGGACTTGCAAAGGCTGGGAATATTGTAGAGGCTAATGGGCTTTTTGAGAGGTTCAAGGCTAGTGGAGGTATACCTGATTCTGCTAGTTATAATGCTATCATAGAAGGTTTGAGCTATGCAAATAGAGCACTAGATGCGTATGCACTTTTTCAGGAAACCAGACTGAAAGGCTTTAATATTCATACCAAAACTTGTGTTGTTCTTCTAGATGCACTTCATAAAGTTGAATGTCTTGAGCAGGCAGCTATTGTAGGGGCTGTCCTGAGGGAAACTGCTAAGGCTCAACATGCTGCAAGATCTTGGTAACATCATGTTGTTTTAATTGGTTGTTAAGAGATCATCTGGTTTACAGGGCGAATTTCTGATGGCACAAGGGGTATTTTTTTTCCTTGCTGATGCACAATTTGTTGGACAGCACTTTGATAACAAGTCTTCATCTATCCCTTTCTTGCTGGTATTAAGTTGCTCGCAGCAGAGGTATTCTCTTTTCTATCACTAATGTGTTTATTAGTCTTATAGAATGAATGAATTGAATTCAATGTCATTACTTAACTTGAACTCCTCTCTAATTGACAGTTCTTTGGGTATCTTATGTAGGCTAGTAGTTATTTAAATGTGCAAGCACAGGTGTGTGCACGTGTGTATAACTCATATAATAATTTGGCTAATCAATAGGTATTAATGTATTTTTAATAAGACGAGGAAAGATCTGTAGCAGGTGTGAGATAACACCAAAACTAGTATAAAAACCAATCTATTGCACTGTTATGTTACATTCTCTTTATTTTTCTGAACATAATAGAAATTCTGTCTTTATATTTGTTTAAAGATGTATGATGGAAAAAAAACCTGTAATTTGTTATTCTCTGTAACTCCCGGCTAGTTGTCTTGACTTCATGCTCTGGATGCAGGCATCGGATGTGGAAGTCAACATTGGTGATAAGGCCTCCTAATGCATCAGTTCTTGCAATTAGCTTGTACTGCTCCAACATATGGGCTATCTCTCCATCATGAATTTGTTCCGTGAACTGATGGTGCTGCATTTCATTTCTTTGGCTGTGTTAAATTCTGCTCTGGACATTTTGTTAATTCATGGATTGCATGCATGGGAACATGTCTCAGAGTTCTCTTCTTGGGTACTATTTTAGCTTCCATTGGTGGACACTTAATGCAATCGAATTCTTTTTTATCCTCTTAACCATTGTGAGATAATTTTCTGTTGAGAGACTATATAAGATAAGTATAATTATTGTTCGGCCATCTTATTATGTATCTCAATTTTTCATCCATGATCAGATCAGGGAAATGTAATAAAAACAGAAAGAGATTATTGGTTGTGTTTATACATGCAAAAAGGTGATGTAATTAATTATGTTGGGGGAGTCCCCATTAGTTTATGCATTATTTTCATTTCATTCATACAAACTGCTACTTTATACATAATTCAGAATTCAAGCAGGTGGAGTTTTGGTTGCCTCCACATATCCCTCAAGTTATAGCTACATGGTCTGGAACTGGCAACTAGAAGGCTACAAAATAAGAACAATCACTGACCTTTTTTGTGTCATTTTTATGGAAAGTTTGAGGCTATCACCATCCCCAGACTGCTTCTTCTTTGATTAGCAAATTTAAACACATCCAATTGTCGCTACTGAACCAGGAATAGATTTTGCCACCCAACTGAAAAGTAGCTGGTGATAACAAGAACGCACAGCAGAACCACATGCTTCTGTTTTCTTTCCTTTCTTTCACTTCACTTTCCAATATTGTTGCTCCCTGTCAAGGCATATGACAATTTTTTTAGTCTCGAAACTGTGTTCTCGGATTGCTCAACAAATGGTCCAACCTACCGTCCCAAATTCGATTCCCTCGTTAGGTGTAAAGGTAGTATTTTTGTCCAAGATTTATCTAGGAAGTCATGACAATGAGTTATTATAGGATAACTTTTCTTTAAGATTAGTTGAAGTGTGCGTAAACTGAACCGAAAACCTCAATTATATATATATGGGGGGCGTAACAGTTGACATTCACATAAGTTTTATACATGAAGACTAATATTTCTGTGTCAAAAAGAAAGTGTGGAGGATGCTTTTGATCGCNCGTCCCAAATTCGATTCCCTCGTTAGGTGTAAAGGTAGTATTTTTGTCCAAGATTTATCTAGGAAGTCATGACAATGAGTTATTATAGGATAACTTTTCTTTAAGATTAGTTGAAGTGTGCGTAAACTGAACCGAAAACCTCAATTATATATATATGGGGGGCGTAACAGTTGACATTCACATAAGTTTTATACATGAAGACTAATATTTTTGTGTCAAAAAGAAAGTGTGGAGGATGCTTTTGATCGCTAGTCGCTATATATGACTTTATTAAGAGATTTTACATAATAAATATAAAAACCCTTTAAATATCAGGAAAAAAAAAAATTAATAAGCACCCCAATATATAAAAATGTTATAAAATGATAAAAACACCCCCACCATCCCCAGTGTCAGATTCCAGCTACCACCATCGGAATCTGACCAAAAAATTATATAACGACACATACCGGTCAGATCTGACGGGTATGGTGTCGATCTGGCCTTTTTCGGTCAGATCTACGGCCAGAAAAGGCCAAAGAAGTCCATTTATGGCTGTCGTTGACTGTCAATGACGACCATTTCTTTGTGACGGCCAGATCGGTGAATTACCAGCCAATTCCGGTGGTGGTGTAGGCCGTTATAACAGATTCTGACTATCATCGATGGTGATTGTAGGAATCTGGCAAGTATAGGTCAGTGGAGGTGTTTTTGTTAATTTTTAAACTTTTTTCTGGGAGTATTTAATGAAATTAATAAATTTAAAATGTCTAAAAGTAATTAAAAATATATAGTAATATTTCATAAATAATGTGTCAAATAATATTTAGGGAATATGATTCGAAATATAGGTAGAAATAGGAACTAAACGCACCCTAAATTATTCTTCTGTGTTGAACATCTTTAAAACATATTTTACGTCCCACAAAGCAAAAATCTGGTTAAGTACGAAGGTGGATTCCAGTATGGTGCACGACCCGTTTAATTTAGGATGGTGGTACCCATGCCACGTGTCGTGAAAGGATAGTGGTACTCATGCCACGTATCGTAAGAGGAGTACACGTGGTTTGACTGCAAATAAATATTGGCAACCTTGGATAGCTTTCCGCGTTTCATTGATATGACCGTTACTAAAAAGTTCTAACGTCTCTTTTTTTAACTTTCTTTCAAAATTTAAATTTCGGGAAGCCGCAGCAAATAGGATCATAGCAACCTTTCTCACCTTCACTATTTGCATCAAGGAATCTTGAATCTCTCTCTTCAAAATTTAAAACTGTACGATCTTCTTCCTCTTTCCGGAGAAATGGCGTTGAGACCCATTGATAATGCGCTTCCAACAACTACACCAGAGAGACCCAAAAAGCAGGTGAAAATCTCAGTTCCAATCCAAAAACAGCCTGATTTTGGAGTAAATGATGAAAACAAGGCTCCAATGCCACCATCTTCAGATGCAGCTATTGATTACATCTCTTCTGAGAATCTCGAAGCCATAACTGATCCAGAGTCCAAATTACAAGTAAGCATTTCCTCTCTCTATATTAAATGGTTTATTTTTTTTATTTTTTTCATCTTTTAGTTTTAGCGCAGACCCAATTCCTTTTCTGATTTTCGTTTGTTTGTGTTGTGAAATCTCAGGGCCTAATTGAAGGACTAGATTCAAAGGATTGGACAAAGGTTTGCGAGTCGCTTAATAATGCAAGGCGGTTTGCGTTATATCACTCCTCTCTCTTGGTCCCTATCTTGTAAGAAACTTATTTTTGGAAGAACTTTGCGTTCTTGTGTCAGTTTTGATAGGGAAGGGAGTTGGCTAACATGTATGTGATGGTGGTTTTTACAGGGAGAAAGTGATGGTGGTTGTGGTAAAGGCTATGAAGAACCCAAGAAGTGCTTTGTGTAAGACTTCTATCATGGCTGCTTCTGATATTTTCAACGCCTTCGGGGATAAATTACTCGACGAAACCAATTCTGCTGCATTTGATAACATGGTAAATATTCCCTTTTGATTTTACTAGTTTAGATTGTGTAGTCATGTTTTATATGATTAGGTTCTTATAAATTAGTTGGTTTTTGACATTTTGTGATGGGTTTACAGCTACTTCAGCTACTGCTTAAAGCTTCTCAAGATAAGAAGTTTGTTTGTGAAGAAGCAGACAGGACGCTGAACGCAATGGTGGGGTTCATTACTCCTCTGCCTCTTCTTCATAAGCTCAAGGCATCTGTTAGCCACAACAACCTTAGAATCAGGGCAAAAGCCGCCATGTCAATTTCTAATTGTGTCTCCAAGATGGTAACACTAATATATCTCTCATGTATTGTTTATACGTGTTTTTTTATTTTTAGTCTCTAACAATGAAGTAAATTGAACAATTCCAGGGGCTAGAAGAAATGAAAGAGTTTGGGTTGGTTTCACTGGTTCAAATGTCAGCCGAATTGTTGAAGGACAGACTGCCTGATGCGAGAGAAGCAGCAAGAAGTACTGTAATTTCCATGTACAATGCATTTACTGAAAATGAAGAGCAGAAGCAGGAAGCATGGCAATGCTTTTGCCAATCTAGTTTGCCACCCATTGATGCTCAGTCCGTGCTCAAAATTACCGCTTCACAATAGAGTAAGGTTGTTGGTGGGCAGCTGCAGGAGTTCAGAAGTTTGTGTAAATCTTTCTGTCTCCATCATCATTGTGGTTAGGAGACGATATTAATATGTTGTCAATTTTCTACTTTTCTCGATACTTTTCGAGAAAATGGAGGAAAATTCTAAAATAAATTATTAGATTTTTGAATGCTAAATCTAGTTTGCCACTCAGTCCATGCTCAAAATTACCGCTTCACAATAGAGTACGGTTGGTGGTGGGCAGCTGCAGGAGTTCAGAAGTTTGTATGAATCTTTCTGTCTCTATTATCATTGTGGATAGGAGACTATATTAATATGTTGTTGTCAATTTTCTACTTGTCTCGATCCTTTTCGAGAAAATGGTAAAAAAAACTGTTAGATTCTTGAATGTTTAATTTTGTAAGTTGCTTCAATAATATCGATTAGTGGGAGGAGCAGCAGAAACTGCTGTAACAAATTGTTCTTGCATCCAAAATCATTCTCAGAAATGAACTTCAGTTCATTTTGTTTTCAGCCAGGACATCAATTATGATTTCAGCAACATCAATAAAAGAATTGTAATTGTCAATTACAGTGGGCGAGACTGGAGAGTTTAGGCTATTTCTCCCAAATAAACCTAGACTTTGTCTGCAAAATTGTGATTTCAGCCAGGACAACAACGTGCTAGCTAATAAATGTTCTCTTGTGTACACGGCACAAGCCATAGAAGAAATCAGCAAATGGTTGTGCTACTTTGCTCAATCAGCGAGAATAAAGCTTTCTCGACATCAGCTAATGGCTGTCTGGCATAAAGCTTAAGCTGCCTCTTCTTCACAGCAACAATGTTCTTCATACCTGATTTAACTTCATCATGAAGTTCCTGCAAAAGTTGAAGTTCTCTTTTACTGAGCTCAATCCTAACAACACTCATGTAAGTCTACAACAAGGTCTGAAGTTTAATTGAAATCAAGTTAGAATGCTTACTTTCACGGACAGAGGAACAATATCAGCACTAAAATCGCCTAGATCCTCAAAAAATGATTCGAGTAGACAACAAAAGTTATTAGCATCACCACGGTCCTCAAAAGCAACCGTATATGAAATCTCACTCCGGTGTTGCACCTGAGACGTGAGTCTTAATGTAAAAAGGCCTCCTGGACCTTCATGGTGCAAACCTCTACGCATGAGAATAGCCTGCAATTGAATAAATAACAGCATGATGCTTTAGAGTAATTGAAAGACACTTCTCCCAAACACAGAACAAACATTACAAAGTACACACAAAACAGCATCAGCAAACATCTATGGTTAGTATAGAACCTACATTAATATCTCCTGCTTGCCAATGAATGTTTGGTGCATATTCCAACATCTAGACTCGGAATTATGAAAGGGTGCTTTTCATTACATTTTAAGGTAAACAAGATCGAGATGAAACATATCAGATGCAAAGTTTGTGAATTTAGAATGGAAAATGAGGACATTGTCATATTGAATGGCCAAAAGATACTCTAATATAGGCATAAATGTCATCTTGTGGCAATTATCCATGAATTTATACACGAGAAGATGATTAAACAGAACAAACATTACAAAGTACCACGGTTTGATTAGGCTCATACACATATATAGAAAAAGGCATGAATTTCAAACCCTAAATGAAAACCAACAAGTCATATATAATTGAGAAAGAATGGTTTGTGCCACTGATAAAAAATATAGTGCCACTGTTTATGCAATTGATAAAAAATAAAAAAATGCCACAAGGGAAGAGTTTACAAGTTTCAATAATATACCAAAACGTAAGGAAGCTTCAGCCACAACAAATCAGACTTGATATCTGATAGATCACTACTAACTATGTTCGCTGATGAACCATTCCACCCCAACCAGAATCTTTATCAAATTTCATGGTAGTTTCCTGCTTTCCTTTTGCAAGGTTCTGCAACTTTAGTGCCTCTATATCTTTTGTTTCTCTAAACTTCATAACTTCAACCAAAGGCCCTCTTTGACTCTTCTCCAGGCCAGTACCTAAAAGATTACAAAAAAAGGTCTATGTATATAAACAAAAATACTCTCAAATTATTATACTTCCCCTATTTCATTTTTGTTTTTTCCATGATCGTTCCTACCATTAATACAGTCAACCAAATTCTCTTTTTGGTCGTTCACAATGACTGAATAAAACAAAAAAAGCCTGTAACAAATTTGCAGAGTTCACCAACATTAATAAAACTGTACAGTATGTTTGCAAAATAGACTCGTAGAAACATTACCAAACCTCTTGTCAGTGTTCCCGACTCCCATTGAATCATGATTTGCACTTGCTATACCACTCTTCTTTTTCTCATACGTTGAATTATCCTTCATACCTGAAAAGTGAAAACCCTCATACCTGAAAACCCTTCGCATCACTTCTCAAACTCCTAGAATTCCTGAACTTAAATTTTTTCTTAAACATTAATGTCTCATCCATCTCTTTTGCTTCTTCAACACCCTTAAACTCGTTCAAAATGTTCATATATGATCCGGGTGACTTCCCTTTTCTAGAATTCAACTTCTTCTCCAACTTAGACAATCATAAGCCAATCTCTTTTTCAATGCCTGTTCTACTCTTAGAATTCACAATTCATCAAGAATGTCACCTTTTTCGTTATCAGCTCCCCGTGCCTTGCCTTCAATCTTTCGCACTTCTCTAGCCATTGCCCTAATTGCATTAATTTTATATTCTAACTCAGTTTCATCCAAATCAACCACGTTTTTATCTACCAAAAAGCTCCCTTTTTTTATTCTGTTAATACCCCTATCTAAAGCATCCAAATTCTTGTTTTCCTCGTCGGAATTTGAATTTCCCAGAAAACAAACACTACAAATTGTTTGTAACATCAAAACCCCAACTAAACCGATGCCAACTTTCAAGACAGACATTGCAGACAATTTACCTTAACTGCCACTGTAGTCTCCAGCAACACCCTCGGTCTCCGTGACCTGAATTTCCTCGACTTCATCAACGGCAGCGACAACTCCGACGAGTTCATCGAGTTGAGGCTCGGAAAAGGTGTCGTTTAGAGGCGGAAATACGATAGGGATTACGGGCTCTATTGGGAATGGTTTTGTTAGGTTTTGAGGATTTTGGGGCGCAAGTGATTTTTCCGCTTCGTGAGTTTTTTTGGAGCGCGTGGACTGGAGATGGAAGAAGAAAGGAGTGGTTTTAGTAACTTTGGGGTGGTGTTAGTTAGTGATGTAAGAACGGAGAAGGCGGAGCAGTGCGCACCAGCCATTGCTGAGGAAGGGAGGCGGCGCCGTGGTGCGCGGCTTTTAACTTCGGTTTTTGGCTGGGAATTTTAGAGAAAGCTTTTACTCGTGCTAACATACGCCGGGCGTAAACGTTGTGATGGCCCGATGGGGAAGATTACGAAAGGCCATTGAGTTTATGGGCCAAAAATCCCAACCCAAAACAAACCCATGGATGATCCAGGATCAAGTTTTTCTTCTTCACAATAGCGATACTTAATGTTTCACATCGATCAATTAAACTGTTTTAATTTATATTACATAATTCATGAATTCAAAAAAATATGATGACTATTGAAAACAGAAGAATCAAAATAAATTATTAATCATGTGAAATAAAAATTATAATGCTTTATTTTTTGGTGTAATTTATAGTTTATAATCTACCTATAACATACTGTGTTAGCTATAATATTATTTTTTTTTTTGGGAACTTTTTTAAGATAATATTTGTTGGATTTAAAATAACTGTCCAAAGGCCCTAAAAGAAACAGTCTATGAACCACCCCTAAAGGGTCGGATGGGACGATAAGAACTCTTAGGTATATTACTTTGGGGTATTTAGAAAAATGCAAAAACTGAATCGAACAGAATTTTCAGTTAACCGAAAAACCGGTATAGTTTCGGTTAATAGAAATTAAAAAACTACATTTTCGGTTCGGTTACCGGTTTGGGAGAAAATGCAAACCGGTTAACCGAAACCGATTTTATTAATCGGTTTACAATATTATAATAATATATATAATATATTATATATTAAATTAAAATAAAATAAAAAATCTCTAAACCTAAATCCCCTTTACATATATATGAATGTTTAATTTTTATTGGGATATGTATTGTTGATGTTTACAATTTAAATTAGGAAAAATAAAAAAATAGTTTAAGCCTTAAGGGGAAAACCGGTTAACCGAAAAATCGATTTTCCTCTAAACCAGTTCGATTTCGGTTTAGGAAAAATCTTGAACAGAAAAATTAATTCGGTTCAAGAAAACGGTTAACCGGTTTTAAACACCCTTAAAATTACTTAAGAGTTATTAAGTTTGACTCCCCTCTGTGGCTAGTAAGAGTGCTCACAAGAGGTCTACACAATTCTTAACTTCAGGGTCTTGAGGAATTAGTCAAAGTTGGCGTAAGTTGACTTGAATACCCGTAACCTATGAGATCAAGGCGCCAACTGAACTAATGCTTGAAAAGTTTTTAAAACAGGTGTTATAAGATTAACTTAATAATAATAATAATAAAAGTATGCGAAATCAAGTGATTAAAGCTCGTGTAACATAAAATAACCAAATATTTTTTAGCTAAATTAGTTAGATTACCAATACTTTTTTTTTTTTTTTTTTTTTTTTAGCTAAATTAGTTAGATTACCAATACTTTTTTTTTTTTTTTTTTTAATGAAGAGTTAGACTATTTTTTATGCAAAATTTTATAATCGATATAAGACAATTCATTTATTTATAAGTTAAAAATAATTATTTTTAACATTTTTTCAGTCCATTAAATTATCTCCAATTAATCGATAATCATCTGTATTACAAATTTGTGTTATATATGTTAATTATTGCATATTAAAGCATATGTACTTCTTTGAAGACCTACGAAAAATCCCTATTACATAGAAAGCTAACTCTTACTCTCTTACTGTAAAACAAATACTTTAATTCCTTAATTACCACGAAGTAATTATGTTCAACAACAATGGTTAGTGGCCATAGATTATGCCATGAGGTCTAGAGGTAAGTCAAAGGCCAGTGGCGACGGCCATGAAGTCTAGAGGTAATCTGGTCAAAGAAAATTCCATTGATCAGATTGCCCCTAACAAAGGGTAAAATTTCGCTCGAATTTTTTAGGGGTAATCTGGTCGATGAAATTTTCATTGACCAGATTACCCCTATAAAACAGTAGTGGAGCAACATGCAGCCGCCCATAGTTTGCCTAGAGACATTAATTTCCAAAAGGTTTAAAAATTATAAACAGCTACTTTCCATCAGGTACTGTTAAAAATTTCCGTAACAATGCTAATAAAAAGACTAAAAAGCCTTTAAAATTTTGATATTATAATTTTTTATTAATATATAACAAGTCAACTCAAACAATTTCATAAATACCCACATCCTTTACATTAAATTACTAATATGCCATCAAGTTGTTATGGGTTAATAAAAAGACTAATTTGTCCCTGTGAGTTTGTAAAAGATACTGTTATTTGAGATTTAAAAAAAAAAAAAAAAAAAAAAATATATATATATATATATATCTTGAGTTTATGGATTTAAATCATTTATTTGAATTTAGGCCATTAAAATGTTGATTTATTATTTATATGAAATATATAAATTTATATATTAATTAATAATTAATTCAAACCCGAAATCTAAAAACCCTAGTCACCCCTGGTTTCTTTCTCTACATCGCCTCTTCTCTACCTCAGCCACACCGCCGCTGCTTTCTCCCTCTATCTTCCACAACAGAACAAAAATCCATAAATCAATCTTACAATTACAATTAAATATTTTTCCGTATCAAATCTCCATCAATTCAGACTACCATCATATCATATGATTCCATAATGAGATTTCTAAATTATTGAAAAACAAGAGTTATCTTATAGTTAAAAATTAAAGGGTGCGTTTAGTGTAGTATTTTGGATAAGATTTTGAGGATAGTATTGGATTGTTGGATAGGGGAGTATTATGAGGTAAATTTGAAAAATTTATGAAAAAACCCTTAGGTTTACTAATTTAATTAAAGACCCTACTATATAAAATAACAAAAACACCCCCACCACCTGCAGTGTCAGATTCTGGCCGCCATCGCCGGAATCTGGCCGAAAAATTTCGTTACGGCACAGACCGATCGGATCTGTGCCGTAACGCATCATTATGGCCTGTTATGGCCGTCGACGGCCGGAAAGGCCAAAACGACGGCCATCTTTGGCCGTCAACGACGGCCAAAGATGTGGCCATTGTTTTCGGTCAACGACGGCCAGATCCGTGGTGGATCTGGCCAGAAAAGGCCAGATCGGTGTAATTCTGGCTATTTATGGTCGGAATTTAGGCCGTTGTACAGATTCCGGCTATCACCGACAGTGGTTGCCGGAATCTGACAAGTTGGGTTGATGGAGGGGTTTTTGTTAATTTTAAAAAAAAAAATTCAGGGGCCATTTAGTGAAATTAATAACCTTATGAGATCTAAAAGTAATTAAAAAAATAGGGTAATATTTCTGGAATAGTGTGCCAAACATTATTTGGAGAATAGGATTGAGAATATGGATAAAAATAGGGAGCCAAACGCACCCAAAAATATTTTAATAAACTTCATTTTAAAGAAACATATTTTTCAATCCATACCGAGGATCAATTTGTTGTTCAAAAAACAATCTTGGCCTTGGGACGTTAAAGACATCTCAACAAACAAAAAAGAAGAAAGAAAACTGGGCAGTCTAAAGGCTTCCCCAAAATAAATTAATAGAAAAAAAAAAAAAAAAAAACAAATCATTCAAAGGTTTAAATAGCGGAAAAATCTTAAAACACAGGAATTTGATGGAATTAACAAAAAAATATTTATGTGAAAGCCTCTTCTGTACCGATTCCATAACCCATCACCACCACCACCGTTCTATCTTCCACAATCGTCAACAAGATCACCAAAATTTACAAACATTTAATCACCAAAATCCATAACATCAACAAAACAAAAATCCACAACAGCACCAAACTCATAAGAAATCTAAATGAACAAAATAAACAAACCGAAGGAGAGGATTTTTGACGAAAAATGTACAACACTAACAGATCGAAATACAGCAAAAGATTGAAGCCGCGGTGGTGGGTTCGGGAAAGGGAAAATGGAACGGTCGCTGCGGATTAGGGATAGGAGAAAGGGGCGCGGCTGTTGGTTAGGGAGGGATAGAGGGCGGGGGTTGTGGGTAACGGTGGGAGAGAGGACCTACGATTGTGGAAGATCGAGGGAGAACGGAGCGGCGGTGTGGGTGAGGTAGGGAAGAGGCGATGTAGGTAAAGACACTAGGGGTGACTGGGTGTGTTCGATTTGGGGTTTTTTTTATCTTCTATTGTTTTATGTTTGAATTAATTATTAATTAATATATAAATTTATTATATGATATTTTTTTTTTTCAAAAAAGTGATTTAAATCCATAAACTCAAGATAAAATTTTTTAGTCATTTTATTAACCCATAACAACTTGATTGTAAATTTAATGTAAATGATGGGTATTTATATTATTGATTGAGTTGACTTCTCATACACTAATAAAAAATTAAATATTAAATTTTTAAGGGTATTTTAGCATTTTGAAGAATTATTG